CCTTATTATTTCTGCCTCATACTTGGAATTGCCCATTTCTCTAAGGAGTTCCAGCCCCTACTAAGAAGTATTTAAAGTTTATACTTCTGCTCAAAACAAACATTGCCTCTCTGATAAATTGGTACATTCTCTCTGCCTGCATTATTTTTTACCTGCTGATGTTTTTGTAGTTAGCAAACAATCCATTTATAGTTTCAAATTCCCATCGTGTTTAAAATCTTACCTCTTTATCAACTGCAGTTATTATGAGCTTTGATCTCAACTTTGAAGTTTTTTTGCTCAGTTTTCTTTCCATTACATATTAGGGAGGATAATACAAATTAAAAACCCTGAATTAATACAAAGGACCACTGAATTATAAGTGATTGTGAACACTTCCTTTGAGACAGGCTCACTAGTCAGGGAATGCAGTAGTCAGCACAGACCTGGAATTTCAGTGAAGCCTCTAATATAGTCTTTCATGATAGAAATGCAGGCCAAACCACAGTTTCTAGCCTAGTGAAGAGATAAGTTGGTTAAATAATTATCTCCAGAATACTAATGATTAAATCAGATTAAAGAAGGGGCTTCAGAGGTTTGCCCAAAAGTCATATCTTTTCATTGTTATTGTCATTGTTATTTTTTTGGTACTGGGATTGAACTCAGGGCTTTCCCACTGAGCTACATCCTCAACACTCTCTTCCTCCTTAAATTATTTTATTTTGAGACAGGATCTTGCTTTGTTACGCAGGCTGGGCCTAAATTTGTGATCCTTGTGCCTTAGCCTCCCAGAGTGCTGGGGGTCACAAGCATGTGTCACCATACCGTTCAGTATTATTTAAGAATGGAAATGAAAATTATGTAGCACTGACCATACTTACAGGAAAAAGAAGGAAGAAATTATACAAGGTAGCAGAAACTAGACCCCCAAAGATCTCAATGGACTAGAATAATATGCAGAACTTATTATACAAAGATAAAATTAGTCAAAGACAAAAGTAAAGTCCTGCCCTTAACAACCTTTACCTGTTTCCCAAGAATGGAATAAGAAAGACAGGGAAATAATATAATAGACATATAATAAAGACTTCAGAAGATCTTGAATTCTAATCTGTATTCAATCCTGTACAAACCATGTATTGTGTCACAGATTTTCAGTAGTGATAAAATTTATGTGCTTCTTGGTGCTAGTAGCAAAAAGTTATAAATTAATTTGCCACCAGACTAAATACTCATTTACTAGTTTAGTCTTAAACTGTATTAAGAAAAACAATCTATTCAGTTCTGGATATTTTAAAGAGATTTTGAGACCTTATGATTAAAAATTTTTAGATGAGAAAAGAAAATAATTACAGTCAGAAGCCCCATTAATGTCTTTAATCTCAGTACTTTTTCTATGAACTAAGTTAAATTATGTTTTTGATTGTTATTTTGTGGTTTGTTGTGGGGTTTGTTATATTTTGTTGCCACATGCATGTTACTCAGAGTAATGGGTAAATTTCAAGTTTGGCTCAATGTAAATTTATAGGAGAGATTTTGAACAGTTAGTTCTGTCTAAAGTTAGAATAAATGGACCCACAAACACTTGTCTGCCTAGCACCCTGTGAGATTGAGACAAGAGGATATTTAAACTCAGTCTGGGCAACTTCTAATTTAGCAAGACCCTGTCTCAAAAAAGGGGTGAGGGAATGTAGCTCAATGAGAAGGTGCTCAATCACCTGTGCTACAAAAAACAAAAACCCCACAAAAACAAAAACCAGAACATGGCAGTAAGGATAGTAGTGGCCAAACAGAAACAGAGCGTTCAAGACTGTGTGTATTCACTGCTAGAGAAATATGTTCCAGTTGCCTTTGATCTCAGTGTGATCTTTTGGAGCTATCATGGGGAAAAGGAAAAAAAGGAGTGTCCCCAGACATGAGCATATTCTTAGCAAGTCTGCATTTAATTGTTGTCTATGAGTTCTTTGCTCATGATCCCAGGTGCTACATAGCATGCCATATAACTGGGATGCTTTATCAAGAGATTATTGAACTCCAGTTCTGACATTTGTTAGTGTCAGATCAGCACTTCTAGGTGGGCAAGCTGAATAACTGTTTTTGAGCCTCTCTTTTATCACTTAGGAAATAGTGGTAACAGTTGTACTCACCTGTTGAGTTTTGAGAATTACATGAGTCAGTGAAGTGTAAAGCCTACCTGGTTGTGGTAGGTACTCACTAAAATCCAATCCTATTACCAAAGAAAGGAAGGTGTGTTCCTTATAGTTACCTGTTACTTACAACTAGTTCAAGTCCGTTCTAGTCAGGTTCTGGTTTATATTTTATACCTGATAGAACATTAATCGGTTTTGTTTTGTTTGTGGTTCCTGGGGTTGAACCCTGGGCCTCATTCCTGCAAGCTAGGCAAATGCTCTACCACTGAGCCATTAAAATTAAAATTAGAAAGTCGTAACTCGGGGCTGGGGATTTAGCTCAGCGGCATAAGCACCTGCCTTGCAAGCAGGCAGTCATGAGTTTGATCCCTGGTATCGATAAAAAAGAAAAAGACAAAAAAAAAAAGTCGTAACTCTTGTGTAGCCGATCATAATTTCCTAACACTGTTCCATGCTCTATTTCCAAGCCTTTTCAGCAGTCAGAGTCCAGCACTGGGGGTCCTGGTTTTATGCCATTGATTTTTCCTATTTGACTTTACCTGATATAATTTCTAAAGTTTGCTGTTATTATTTTGCTCTAATGTGTACCTTGAACTGTGTTTTCAAAAGTAAATGGAATGGGGCTGGAGATTTAGCTCAGCGGCATAAGTGCCTGCCTTGCAAGCAGGCAGTCATGAGTTCGATCCCCGATACCGATAAAAAGGAAAAAGACAAAAAAAAAAAAAAAGTAAATGGAATATTGAGTTTTTTTTAAATAGCAAAATGTTATCTAAATTAGTAAAAAAGAAACAAGGCATATAATACAACAACATACAATTTCAGTTTGATACAATTTACCAATTTGCTATTAGCTCACAGTTATGAAGTACATCTAAGACTTAGAAACTTGGAAACTGTAGAGCAACCCTCAAGTACCCAGGCAGTCCTTCCTGTATCTGTCATTCTCTTTATTTCCCTGGTTGTATGGTCTGAGTCTCATTCATCTGCTTCTCCTTGTAGTGTGACAATCCCCCTGCCCATTGTTGGGGACTGAATCCCTGGCCTTCACACTGAGCTACACCCCCAATCCTTTTTCACTTTTTCATTTAGAGACAGGATCTTGCTGAATTGCTGTGTTGCCCAGGCTGGGCTCAAACTTGGATCCTGCTTCCTCAGTTTTCCAGAGTGCTGGAATTGTAGGTGTGTGCCATCACACCCATCTTGGACAAGTCTTAACGTGTCTGTTTGCCTGTCTCCAAAAATGGCATGTTACATTACCTGTATAGCTGTAACAAATTACCACAAGTTAAGTACCTTAATGAACAGAAATTTATTTTCTTACAGCTCTGGAATCAGAAAAGTGAAAAAAAAAATCAGTATTTCTAGGCTAAAATGAGTATGTTGGCAGGACATACCCCCTTTAGATGTCTAGAGAGTCTGTTACTTGCCTCTTCCAAATTCAAATGGCTGCTGGCATTCCTTGAGTTCTTGCTCCACTCTTCATATCATCATCTCTATGTGAGTGTATATCTCCTCTACTATCATTATCAAATCTTCCTCTTGTGATTGCATTTAATCCCATTTATATAATCCAGAATAATCTCAATTCAGATTCTTACCTTTATCTTGTAGCATTTACAATTTCAAGTGATTAGGGCCCACTATCTCTAGGTGGCAGATACTCAGCTTACTAAATGGTGATCATAAAGACTTGTCTATCTCAAAGCTTGCACATAATAAGGGCTTCATGAATGCAAACTTCTGTCCTCATCCTGCTTACCTGTTGTTATGGCTGATACCTTTTATCAAAGTGAGAAGTTTAGAAGTTTAACTAAGACACTCAGCAGGGAGCCAGGGGTTTTACTTTGTAAATATCCTCATCCTGTGCAAGAGGAGGGAGCAGGGCTCCCTACACTATAAGGAAGGAAAAGAGGTTTGTTCTTTCCCCTCTTTTGCTTTGCCTGCTGCCTTGGAAGTGTTGCCCAATGCCATGCCACCCTGCCTTGGAGCCTGCTGATTATGGACTGAAACTTCCACAAACAGTGAGCTAAATAAACCTTTCCTTCACTGATTTTGAGGTGTTTTGCCTCAGCTATGAGAGAAAAGTTAACCAAGATACCTGTGTCACTGTGACTTTCAAAATTACCTTAAATGCTTTTTTTTTTTTTAAACCAAAATGTCATTATCAAATTAAGTGTGAACCTGTTAGGATATTTAAGTTTTCAACCATTATACTTTACTTATTCAGGAACAAGGTTCAAATCTCTGGTTTCCTGCCATAGCCTCTGATCAAAACCTTTCCTGTAAATTCTGGTACCTCCTACCTAGCAGGGTGTCAAGGTGCTTTCTTTGTTTTTGTTTGTTCTGTTTGTTCTTTTTCTTTTTGTACCAGGGATTGAACTCACAACCTTACACTTACCAGGCAAGCACTTGAGCCACTGAGCTAAATCCCTGGCCCTTAAAAGTGATTTCTTTTTGTCACATGCCTGCTCTTTGGCATGGTACTCTTTGAAGGAAGAGGAGAGCTATATTCAAGCCTGAATCTTTACTATCTTCCTACAGGGTAGCATTGATGTGCTGTGGGTGAGAAGGACAGGGAGAGGGAGGAGTCACACTTTTCCTAGGTTTCTGATGTGGATACTGTTCAAAGTGAAGATAAAACCCAGGGTAAAGTGTATGCATGTGCATTTGCTCATTTACTTTTATAGTTTACTTTTACACACAAGATAAATAATGTTTATAATATCTGTAGGTAGATGTAGGGGTTTCCTGGGACAGAGTTTTCAGAGATGCCCTCTGTTTACAGTTAGTCTGAAGATGGTGGTATGCTGAGTTTTCCCAGAGCAGGACTGCTTATTTTATTCTATTGTGCTCTAACTTGAAAATATTCAGTTTCTGTTCCAGATGATCGAGCTGAACAACGAACCTGCCTCATTTGTGGGGACCGTGCCACAGGCTTGCACTATGGAATCATCTCCTGTGAGGGCTGCAAAGGGTTTTTCAAGCGGAGCATTTGCAACAAACGGGTATATCGCTGCAGTCGTGACAAGAACTGTGTCATGTCTCGGAAGCAGAGGAACAGGTGCCAGTATTGCCGCCTACTCAAATGCCTCCAGATGGGGATGAACCGGAAAGGTGAGTGGTGCTCAAGGCTCTTTGTGCCCACCCTTCACACATCACTGCCTTTAGCATCAGCAGCTATGCTTCGGAGATACTCAGTTCCCAAACTGGCACTAAACTCCAGGCCACGTACTACGTGTTTGCAACCCATCCTAGGTGAGGAGAAAGACCAGTGAGATGTTAAGGATTCTGTGGGAGTGAATGCACAGGCCCCCTGTGGCAAGACTGCAGTTAACAATCAGGTCCCAACTGGGATTAATGTCTTCCTAGTTTTTCAAGGGATCATAGTAGGAAGTAGAAGTTTTAGATGAAAAGACAGGAAATTCTCTAAATGATACCATTTTATTTACTAGAATTATAGTATATTGTGAGGTTAGGTATGTTAAGAAATCTGTATCTTTAAAAAAAAAAAAGAAATCTATATCTAAATTCCCAAAGAGTTTGGGGTTTGTTGGGAAGCTTTTAAAAAACTGTACTGGTGTTTTCATACATGCAGCATAGCAGTTTGATAGTATCCAATTTATCCATTACCCTCCCTTATACCACTACCACCTTCCTCTTGTCTAATAATAATCTCCCTTCTACTGTCATGCCTTTGAGGGTTAGGGTTCTGCATATTAGGGAAAACATGCAGTACTTGTCTTTCTGAGTCTGACTTATTTCACTTAATATGATGATTGCCAATCCTATTTATTTTCCTGCAAATGACATAAGTTCTGCCATTGTGTACTTACACCACATGTTCTTTATCTGTTCATCTGTTGGTGGGCACCTAAACTGGTTCCATGCCTTGGCTATTGTGAATTGTGCTGCAGTAAACATGGGTATGCAGCTCTTTGAGGAGCTTTCTGAGAGCCATTAGCCTGAGATGACATGAATGAACTGATGTTGTAATAGGATTCATCTGGAGGCAGCTTTGAAGGATGGATTGGGTGAGAGGAAGCAGAAAAGCCACTTCGGAAGTTTTTAGAAGAACCCACAAGGAAAGTATAGAGAATCTGGAGAACGAGAAAGAGAACAAAATGACATAAATAGGAGGTGTGGAAGAAGCTCACCTGATGAGATTGGTGCCACACTGAGGTTTGGGCAGCACCAGAATCTGGAGTTAAGGTTTGAGTTGAAGGTAATGGCCAATAGGGGACAAGGCTAAAGAGCAGCATAAGGCTCAGTGCTGACCAAGGCAGTGCTGAGTTGAGGTACCTCCAGGCAGAGATTTTCACCAGGACATTGAATGTGTAGAATTGGAACTGGGATGAAAAGTCCTGCCTAGATGTTTGTGGAGCTGCCAGCACAAAGTTAGAATCAGCCCTAGAGAGACAGATTGGATACAGAAGAGAGAGCTGCTTATGCTAGAATCCGAACTGTGTTCCCTTGGAGAGTGGGGAGTAGCGCAGTACCATTTGCTAGAAAGAATAGAGGCTCTAGAGGAAGGGAGACTGCTCTGTGGCCTTGAGAAGTTTGTTTTATGTTCCTGATACTCAATGATCTTACCTTTAAAAACACTGATACTACTTTTTAGGGTTCTCTAGGAGCTGAAAAATGAGAGTGTGTACAAAATGTACAGCAAGCTGTTGGGAGTTCTTAGCAGCAAGCAAGGCTGGGAAGTTAGATTTGTGAACTGTTCGAACTGGTTCTGCGGCATGCTTTACTGAATGTAGATTTGCAGAGTAGTTGAGACGGATTTTACTGTGTGAGGGATGAAAAGGATTTTTTAAACACTTGCCCATTACTTAAAAAAAAGAAAAAGAAAAACTTGCCTTTTATGGGAAGGATAAGGGCTATGGAGGGCATTTGAATAAATATAAGTGGCTGGTAATTTTTTGTAATACTAATGTTTATTGAGCACTTACATATACCAGGAGAAAACACATAATAGTTTATGGGTTACATGTTTTCTGTACATTACACCATTGAATACACACATAAACCCATTGTTGACTATCATTCCACCTTACAAATGTGTCTGGGTAGTTACGATGACAATTAATATTTTTTAAATTATAATTTGTTAGTAATCGAGGACAAGGTGAACTGTTTCACATGTCTGTTCTGCAGGACAGCTATTTGCATGTCAGAGTGTCCTATGTTTACTGGATACTAAACGAATGCCTTAGTGGGCGTTTGAGTGTTGCCGTTTATCTTCTGCTCCTTTCTAACCTGTCTTCTACTAAAGCACAGCCACAAGGCTGCACTAGCCATTTTCCCTGCACTCGTGTTCCTTGCTCTGCCTGTGAGTCTTTTCCCCACCATCACTCTCCTTCTCCTAGCCTCCAATAAGAAACTAACACTGCCTTGAAAAAGAGTCTGTGGTTGTTTTTCCTCCCTCATCCTGATTTCATCTTGTCCTCTACCGGTGTCATCTGCCTTTGTTCCCCTCCCTGAGTATTTAATTCAAAGCATAGTTGTGAGATGCCTTCTTGACTGCTTTATCTGAGGAATCTGCATGCTTATTCAGTTAGAATGTGAGGTTTCGAAGCTTCTAGCCAAACTCACTTGTTTTAGAAAGAGGAAACTTAACCTTCTAAACCCTCTAACTATAGCCAGAAAATGATACTTGGGCTCTGAAGGGCAAAGATCTGTCTGCATTCAAGAAGACAGGCAGAGTGCTAAGTGAGACAGGAAGCCTTCGGAAAGAAATCCTGCCACCTTCTGGTTGGTGCTGGAAAAGCCTGACTAAAATTACAGATGCCATGGAAATATTTAAGGGAGTGAGAAATAATTCATTATGGAACTGTACTAGCCAGCATGTAGCTCTGTGCATTCCCCAGAATCCATAGAACTATACATCTCACAAAAAAGAATTTTCCTATGTGTAAAATCCCTTTTTTAATCAAGCAGGATGCAGTAGGAGGAAGGCAGGGAACTGAGAGCCAGAATGCACATATGACAGTTGACTCTTTCCTGGTGCTACAACGAGTCACATAACTACACTGAAGGTGATAGGGAAGAAAGGAGCTGACCATGGGCAACAGTATTTTGACTGTATATTAAGGATAACAACAAAAAGAATTGCATGTAAACAAAGCACTCTAGTTTGTAAAATTTGTTTCTCTCAAGGTTATGCGTTGGAAATTCTGTATAAATGCATAATATGATTAAACAAGCAGGTAAATATATTGTAAATAATGTGGAATATTTACACAGCAGAGAAAGAAGCTATAAATTAGGAAAGGGAGGGCTAAAGTGAAAGTTAAAGTGCTAAACTGGATCAGTAGTGTCAGTGTGGGCTCATTTTTTAGGTTAGTAGATAGAAAATATAGACATGTGGGAGTACATGAGTTAGTACATGTATATGTATTTCCAAGCACTAGCCATTGCAAAGGGCTAGAAGTGATGATACTCCAACAACAATGAACACCGCCAGCCACCATATCTTGGCTTCTAAATATCAATTAAAGGAATCCAGACCCCTTGGAGAACTGGTGGATTGTAGGACTGGGATAGCGAAAATAAATGAGCCTGAAAGCTAGCATGGTGGTGCACAGCTGTAATCTTAGCTGCTCAGGGTGCTGAGGCAGGAAGACCACAAGTTTTCAGAAGTAGGCTGAGCAACTTAGTGAGACCCTATCTCAAAATAGAATTAAAGAAAGTGGTGGTGTGAGTGTGTGCAATTATAGAGGATTTAATTAGCATACACAAAAACCTGAATTCAATACCTAATGCTGCTAATTAATTTCATTAATTAATTTTTAAAAAGAAGCATATTGAAAGGGAACAGAGCCCAACCTGGAATAATTTTCAGTGGTCAAAGTTGGAACACCATGCACAACAAAATAATTCTTCCTTAGAGAAGACTTGCAGTTATAAGAAGAAGTACAACTTTTCTGAAGGGGAAGGTAACCAAAAGATAGAGAGAAGGATTTGATAGAGCAAGAGAAGAGGATAAGAAAAAATTGAGATGTGTTTTGGACATGAATTCACTCCCCACAAGGAATGTAATCATCATGTACTACAAACATGTACTAATAAAAAACCTGGATTTAAAAAGCTGTATGTGGGGGCTGGAGATTTAGCTCAGCGGCATAAGCACCTGCCTTGTAAGCAGGCAGTCGTGAGTTCGATCCCTGGTACCGATAAAAAGGAAAAAGACAAAAAAAAAAAAAAAAAAGCTGTATGTGGTGATAGATCACACACAAGATTACACTCTGGAGGCTGTGGCAGGAGAATCACTACAAGTTCAAGGCTAGCAGAACTAATAGTGAGATCCTGTCTCAAAAAAAAATGTGGATAAAAAAATAAATGTAGAAGGCATAAAGGAAATACTATAGAAAATCACTGTTGGGATACCACAATATTCACTTCTGTAAGCAAGATCCTTTGATAGATGCCAACAGAAGTGAGTATTTATTTATACAAAAACAGAATATTTGCACAACCTGAAGATATGCAGTATTTACATAGGCAATAGTATTTTCCATAGAAAATTCTATTTGCTTTAGCCAGGTGATCAAGGTTAATGTCACCAGTAAAACACACCAGCATTATTTACATCTAATATAGTACAGTGAGCAGGACAAAGGTGACCACACAGAGCTAAATTCATGTTTCACCAGTTAGCTCGCTGTCCTTAATAGCAATTGTGTTTTTTCTGATTTAGGAGCCAGTGGAGGATTACACTATATTTAGTTCTTACATCTCTTTAGTCTTCTTTAATCTGAAGTGGTCCTCATTGTTGATATTGAAGTAAATGGATTATTTATTTTGTGCAATATTCCTCAATTTGGACTTGTCACTTTCTGCATAATCAGATTCAGGTTATATATTTTGGACATCACTGAATCAGTGTTGCATCTTTCTCAGTGTGTTACATCATCTAAGTTTTCCCTATTAATGGTAATGTTAACCGAAGTCACTTGGTTAAGATGACATCATTTGGGTGGGATGGTGTTACCAGATTTTTCCACTGTATAGTTTCTTTCTGAGTAAAATAACACAGAATCATAACTGTGGAACAACGCAGCATGGTCAGGGACTAACACTCAGTTCTATGTAGATGGGGGCCAACATTCATGGGCAAATGAAGGTGGGGAATCCCACAGGAACCAGACCAGAGAGGATCTCAGACACTGAGCTAAGGAGCTTACGTCTAGACCCTGGGCCACAGAGAAAGCACTTTCAAGCAGGGCCCTGCTGTAGTCACCTATGCATTTTACTTTTGGTTTCTGGGTTTGGTTGTCTGCCCAGGACCAAGCAGGTGAAGGATGGCGGTAGGCACATGGGTTTCAGAACAGAAAGTGTATTTGGCTGCTTCTGAGCAGATTGAAGAGCTATAGCAGATGCCATTTTCTTAGCTTGGATAAGAAATACCAGAGCCCCTCCTGGGATGCTGCACCTTGAAGCCACTTGTTCATGCCAGTCAGATTGCTGCCAGAAAGGTGCTCAGCACAGCTAGGTTGAAAGCAGCACAGTCAGTTCTTCCCTGAGTAAGCTTGAGCATGGCTGTCTCCCACTGAGCACTGTCTCCTTGTCTCTAAAATACACAAGATAGTAATAGTGTATACCTTTGAGGTTATTAAAAGCATCAAAACAACCTGTGTGCAAGTACATTATCAGCTTGAAAATATAGTGCAGATACTCATTTTGACAAAAGCACTGTTACACGGTATATTTTTCCCCCACTGTTCAGCTAGTTTTATGCCATCCTGACAGATTTTATCATCTTTGGTTAAACCAGTACTATTGTTTGCCTTATAGTGTTTAAATCAACTTTTTTTTTTTGTACTGGAAATCAAACTTAGGGCCTCACACTTGTCAGGCAGGCACTGTGCCACTGAACTGTATCTCTGGCCCTAAATCAACTTTATAAAAACAAAATACTAGTTAATTTTCAAAGGAAATTTAACATCACAGTGGATTAAAAGAATCAGTATTTGTAACAGACACTAGAGTAAATACATAATTAAGAGTTTATTTACATACCAACACACTGAATGTTTCTCCAATAAAACTCATACATGATATGGGAAATACAGGTGAGAGAAGGAAGACTGGTTTTAGTTTTATAATCTGAGATCCAATCCTGGTTCTTGTGTTTAGTTCTTGTCTCCTTAAGCAAAATGCTTAACTCTGAGCCTTAGGTTTTGCTGTTCAATGGGACGATACTGATACTTTCCTCATGAGGTTTTACCCAGGGTAATAGTACCTAACATGCAAGTACTTGTCTATCATATGCTAGTTTTCTTAGTGTTAAAAGAGGATTGAAAAAGGACATGAGTTTTTAAGTTTCAGAATAAAAACTGGTAAAATATAAATCTTTAAGATTTTTTTTATTGTTTGGAGGTTTTTGTTGTTTATCTTTGGGGGGGGTGTTTTAGGGTTTTTGTTTTGTCTGGATGAGATCTTGCTATATGTTCCAGGCTGACCTTAAGTTCACTATGTAGCCTAGCCTAGTCTGGAACTCATGGCAGTCCTACCTCAGCTTCCTGAGTGCTGGGATTGGTGTGGGTTTTTTTTTTTCTTTTTGAGACAGGGTCTCTATGCAGTTCAGGCTGGTCTTGAACTCACTTTGTAGCCCAGGCTAGTCTCAAACTTGCAACAATCCTCCTGCCTCAGCCTCCCAAGTGCTGGGATTACAGGCATGAGCCACCACACCCAGCTCCTGAGTGCTGGGATTACAAGCATGTGCCACCATACCTGGCTAAGGTTTTTGGTTCTTAAGTAGAGCATGTTAAGTTTCTTTCTCACCTCTAGGATGGTGAGAGACATCAGCTGAAATATGTGTAGTGTTCTATCTGGCTTTTGCTAGGTCTTTGTTTTGTAGTTGGGACCTGGAGCAAAGACATATGAGATGTCAGTATTAGAATTGGAAATATCTAAAGATTGTCACTGACCCTAGAAGAGCAGGGAGGGAGTTAAGCATTCTTTTAAACTTGAAATTAGATTGAAAGAGTGCTGTCAGATAATAGCCAGTATATATCCAGCTTAATATAAGCCGTGTATGCTTCTCACTGCAAATTCATAGCAGGCTTATAAAGCAGACTGTGCTCCTCATTTTCCAGATGAGGGTACAAAGGCATTTGCAAAGTTGCTGCTGCCTTTGTTGAGCATACTGCATGTATCCTGTGTATGCCATATGTATCAGGGTACCCGGGTGCCCCACAGTGTCTGCTGCCAGTGAAATAACCTGCAGTAATAGAGTAAATGCTTTGGGTCCAGAAAGGTTTATTTTAAGCTCAGCTTCCCCAGACTTTAGCCAAACAAATTCTCTTTTTGTGCTTAAACTTCTAAGTTTGCTTCTGCCTCCTTATGTTTCTTCCAGCTATCAGAGAAGATGGCATGCCAGGAGGCCGGAATAAGAGCATTGGGCCCGTCCAGGTGAGTTCTTGGAAGTCCAGTGCTCCAGACGCCTCAACCCTTTCGTCTCTTTCTCTGGGGAAGCCATCTTTGTTTTCCATCTGAGAAAACTGTTTTAAAGCTTGGGTTTGAAAGTATTCTGAAAATCTCAAATGTAGAAGCTAATAATTAAATCCTTCCTTGTGATCCCTCAGCCATTCCTAAATATTTCACAGGCAGTAAGCCCAATTCTGGCTCTGAACTAGAGATTGTTGTTTTTGCTTGTTTTTGTTTTGTCCTTCACTTAAAATTGTAGATAACTTCATCTGACAGAAATCAGACTACTTTGTTGTTCATATCTTGTAAGGATATATCAACAGAATGTTCATTACTTTATTTGTAGAGTAGGAATAAGAAAACCCAAATCAATTTCACAAATGTTTCCTAAGCTCCTGCTCTGCCAGGATGTATTCTGTGACCTCGGTCCAGTGGGGCATAGATATGTAAACAGGTATTGTAGTACAGTGAGGATAACAGAGATTGTCCTAGAAGGGAGAACAAGGGGCTTCTGTTTCTTTTAGGCTAGAGACAGAATTGACTGAAGATATTCAAGGAGACTTGCTTCAGAAAGCGGTTTTAAACAAGTATTAAAGAAGGGGGAAGAATAAGGGATGGGAAGTTACACACTTTTTATTCCTGCTAGACAGAATAGACTCTGTGGAGATATGAATCTTTAAGGGATGACATGAAGTGAGATGTTTATTCAGTTAGGCAGAACCATTCAGCACGTGTAATAGAGTGGGAGAGAAAAGATGGATTCCTTAAATTTGGATAAATATTCAAAGGAGTAGCCTCAATAATCTTTGACTTTAGCCCTTATATAGGCCTTTTTTTTTTTTTTTTTAACATTAAACTGGAAATTGAACTCAGGACCTCGTGCTTGCCAGGCAGGTGCTTACATTGCTGAGCTATATTTCTGGCTAGCTTTTTTTTAAAAACAGACCTGGAGATTGAACCTAGGGCCTGGCACATGCTGGGCAAGTGGTATACCACTGAGGTATATCCCTAGCTGTGCTGTTTTGTTTTGTGTTTTGTTTTGTTTGTGAGACAGGGTCTCTCTAAACTGCCAGCCTGACCTTGAATTTTGTATCTTCCTGTCTCCTCTTCCTGAGTAGCTGGGATTATAGGCATGCACCACTGTGTTTGACTGAATCTCTGTGGGGCCAGCCTACACCACTTGTTCTTGTCTGCCAATAGGACTTTGTGAAGGTAGAGAATTGGATCTGTTTATGACCCATCATTAACTGAATCCCTCAGCACACTAGAGAACAAGTACCATCTCTTAAGAGGTTTTGGTTGTATACCAAAAGGCAACCATTAAAAAGGCTTTTTTTGTTGTTTTTAAGCAGGATCTCACTATGTAGTATTGGCTGACCTTGAGCTCATGTAGCCCAGGCTGACCTCAAACTCATGGTGATCCTCCTGCCTCAGACTCTCAATTGCTGAGGTTACAGGCATGTTCCACCATGCTCATCTAAAAGACTTTAAAATAGGCAGAGGGCCCTACTCATTTGCATTTTATAAAAATCATTCTAGTAATGGAAACTGTAAAGAATGAAACGGGCTGAGTATGGTGGCGCACACGTTATAATCCCAGCACTCCAGAGGCTGAGGCAGGAGAAACATTTTGAGTTCAAGACCACACTGGGTTGGAAAGCAGACTCAAGGCCAGCTTGAACTGCATAATGAAACCTTGGCTCAAAACCAAAACAAAAAAAAATGTGAAACAGAAGGAACAGCGATAAAAGGATTTTGTAGAAGTTCAGTCCAAGAGATACAGGTAATAGTTTGAAGTAGGGCAGTGACAGTGCAGATTGAGAATCAGATACCTTTTCTTTTTCTTTCTTTCTTTTCTTTTTTTTTTTTTTTTTTTTTTTTTTTTTTTGGTATTGGGGATCAAACTCATGACCTCATGCTTGCTGGGCAGGTGCTTAAGCCACTGAGCTAAATCCCAGGCCCAGATTGAGGATCAGAAATAGATTCAAGAGATGGTAAATAATCAGGCTAAATGATATGATTTCTCCAACTAAACATGAACAAATGAAAGATAAGAGTCCAGAGTTTGTCCACAGTATACACCCAATAAGAGTGTGTATATTTTAATTTTTGTATCATAGACAGAGTCCATATCCTATGTGTTAGCTGGCTTCCCTGTCTGAGTGCTCCTATATTTATGACCTGGGTAACACAGGTTCTCAGAAGCTGCTAAAACAAAGAATTGTGCAAGTGCAAGTCAGACATGTTGGATCTTCTGAGTTTACATAGGAATAGTATATAAAAATTCATCTGGCCCCTCCTCCTGAACAGTTCCTCTCCCTTTTGATGTTGAGGGCAGGCAGTTCGACCTCAGGTCTAGGTTAGACATGTTGTAGAGGTTTATTCACTCTGTAGTAGCAGCTAGAGCACTAGTCTCAGTCCTTGTGTACTTTGGCTTCTTCCTCAACTTTCTGCCCAAACATGGATATACAGTGTAACCAGTGCAAGTTAGTTCATTTACATAGACTTGGGGGTGTCCTTACTAAAAAAAAATCATGTGAAGGTACGTGGCTGATGTTTAATAAATGAACATTTGTTTATTCAACATATTTACTGAGTATTTCCCCTTTTCTAGATTCTATCATGGCCTTCAGTCTTGTAGGGGATATTTTTACAATACCTTATCATAAACCCCTTAAAATAACGATGCCCAGCATAGTGGCACACACCTATATTCCTAGCTACCTGGGAGACTGAGGCAGGGGGATCTGATGAACCCAGGAGTTCAAAACGTGACTACACAGCATAGCGAGTCTGTCTCAAAAAACAACAAAATAAAACAACAAACAAAATACATAATCAGCCCTTAAATATTGGTTTCTATGTGCCAAATCCTTTTCTGAGTATTTGATAAGTTTTTGAATCCTCCTCACAATTTTCCTGTGAAAAGACTTACTCTGTGTGCCATACAGATGAAGGAATTTAAGTTTGGTAGTTTGATGATTTACCAGGTGTTTTACAACCAGAAATGGATTTAAACAAAGGCAGTCAGTCTAGCTCCAGAATTTATACACTCAGATGCTATACTATTCTGCCTCTCCCAGGATACAGAGTGGAAAGAAGGTCCTAAAATTTTAATTGTCAGTAGAAATTTGTTTTATTTTGTTTATTTTTTGAGACTGGGTCTTGCTATGTAACCCATGCTGGCTGGCCTGGAATTTGTGGTGCTCTTCATGCCTCAGCCTTCCAAATACTGGGATTACAGGTGTGTGTACCATCACACCCTGCTGAAAGATGCTTAAAGGTGATGTTTGAATTGGATCTCAAAGGGCAAGTAGAAGAGTGTCATTAAGGAACAGTGTTTTAGGGTTAGAAATGAGTAGAGTTGGGCCAGGGATTTAGCTCAGTGGCTTAAGCGCCTGCCTGGCAAACACAAGGTCGAGTTTGATCCCTGGTACCAAGAGAAAAAAAAAATGAGTAGACTCAAGAACAAACAGGAATATTGAGGGCCACACAGTCTTCGTGGCATGAGAGTTCGTGGTAAGGGAAAGGCTGTGATGGACTACGGTGCTGGCAGCAGACAGCCAAACTCTGAAGATCAGTGAGGGACTGGGAGTGTGGGTGTAGGAGAGGGCATCTAGGACTCTTGAGAGTTCTGAGAGTCCTGTGAGATTGGGCAAGAACAGAGGTGTCTTGAGCACCCAAATCTAATGTGTGTTTATTCCTTGCCAAAGATATCAGAAGAAGAGATTGAAAGGATAATGTCTGGGCAGGAGTTTGAGGAAGAAACCAATCACTGGAGCAACCATGGTGATAGCGACCATAGTTCCCCTGGAAACAGGGCTTCGGAGAGCAACCAGCCCTCACCAGGCTCCACGCTGTCCTCCAGGTGAGCTTTAAGGCAAACTCAGCTTCTGTATCTAGGACCACATAAAATGTCCCCCACAGGGAACCCCTGGCTGAGTTCCTACCAGGACGCACCAGCCACTGTGCTCTTAATCCCTCAGCCTCTTCTGCTGCAGCCAGGATGACACAGAGCCTTGTTTCTTGCCCTACTTTATGTTAAGGCCTCAACATGTCAGCAGTTTTTTCTGCAGACTGGTAAACTATGATAGTTTTTCTCTGAATATACATATAGGCTTCATGAAGTAGAATGTTTGAAATAATAGTGCTTCCTGTTATTCCCTCATTCATTGGTATTGGGCACTGGATTTCTTACTTATCACTGAAATAGTACAAACCACACAGCTGAGCATAGTGGCATGTGCCTGCAGTCCCAGTTACTCAGGAGGCTGAGGCAAGAGGATTGCAAGTCAAGACCAGCCTGGGAGATTTAGTAATAGCCTGTCTCAAAATAAAAAGGGCTGGTAATATAGCTCAGTGGTAGAGGATCTCTGGGTTCATTTGATGCCAGTACTACAAAACAAAATAAAATGTCACACTAATTGTGCTGAATTAAATTATAATTTTTCAGCCATGCAAGAATCAGTGTTTTTCAATTTATAAATTTTAAGAAACAGTAAAAGTTTTTGAAGCCAGACAGATTTGCTGCTGTATAAGGATATGCAAATTTGGAGGCTGGGGATTTAGCTCAGCGGCATAAGCGCCTGCCTTGCAAGCAGACAGTTGTAAGTTCGATCCCCAGTACCGATAAAAATGAAAAAGACCAAAAAAAAAAAAAAAGGATATGCAAATTTTAGATTCATGGTTCAAGTGTGGTATTTTTTTTTAATTTCTATTTTTGTTAGTACATGTTTGTAGTACATAATGATTACATTTATTGTGGAGAGTTGGTACGTGTACCTAATACATCTTAATCCTTTTTATGTCCCTTTTCCTGCCCCTTCTGCCCCCCTGTGTTCCTTCTTTTCTCCCTCCCTCCATCTTTTGGTCCCTTTCCCATTTGCAAAAGATCTGTTTTCCTGTTTCCTATCATATGTCCTTTATTTTGTTTTGTTGTTGTTGTTTTGTTTGTTTTTTGAGACATTGTCTCACTGTGTAGTTCAAGGTGGCCTTGAACTCAGTATGTAGCCAAAATTGATCTTGAGCTCCTGATGATCTTCCTGCCTCAGCCTCCAGGGTTCTGGGATTATAGGCATGTGTCACCATGCCCAGCTATTTTGCTTTTTAAATTATGTATACTTTGGGTTTGTCATATAAGAAAAACTGTGACAGCCAGGGATTTACCTCAGCGACATAAGCGCCTGCCTGGCAAGTGCTAAGTCATGAGTTTGATCCCCCGGTAAAAAAAAAAAAAGAAAAGAAAAAGAAAAACTGCGACAAATATGGCATCTTCACTTTTTTTTAAACAGGGTTTCATTGTGTGGTTCAAGATGGCCTTGAACTCACTTTGTAGTCTAGGATGGCCTCGAATTCACAGTAACCTTCTTGCTTCAGCCTTCTGAGTGCTGGGATTACAGGCATGTGCCACCACACCCAATCAAACATGGCATTTTAAAATAGCTGTCAAGTATAAAATAGAACCCTCAACTGCCAGAGAAGGACAAGAATTGACAGACTTTTTCTGTAAAGGTCATATAGTAAAATACTTAATACTTTTGCTGGCCTAGTGGTCTAAGTCTCAACTATTCAGCTATACCTTTGGTGGATGTCACAAGCAGTCACAAATAGCATGTAAACCAGTGAGTATGGCTATGCTTCAATAAAACTTCATTTGCCAAAACAGGCTAGAGCAGTGGTGGTGAACGTGTGGCACAGGTGCCACAGTGGGCTGTTGTGTCATTGAAAGATCTGAAAGGTTTGCCCTCACTGGGGAATACACTCAGCTTGGCCTACAGACTGCAGTCTGCAACACTTAGTTATAGGAATATATCTAGGTTAAAAGCTACAGAATTTTAAAATTTCATTGCCAGAGTGGTTAGAGTTCTCCAAGAATGGAGAGGCAGGTAAAAATCTACTTCCTTTTAATGTTTAATTATAACTTTTATTCCATTCAAGTGCCCTGTTTGTTCCATCCTTTGAATAGTAAGGGGTTAAGGCTATATGTCACATTCCTTCCTAGATGTGTTATGACTGGACAAGACACTCTGTGTCTTGTGTTCTGTTTTTTATTTTCCTACCAATTTTGTCATCATTGTTTATGAGTGTCCATCAGAAAGTCTTTAGAGATGATAGCCATACAAAGAATTCACCCAACCAATGTTTATTTTTTTCTTTTTTTTTTAAATTTTATTTAAAGAAAGACTAAACAGAACACAAAATGGGTAGAAATAATACATACGTTCAGAGAAAAAATAAACAGTAAGAAATCAATAGTTGGGGGCTGGGGATTTAGCTCAGCGGCATAAGCGCCTGCCTTGCAAGCAGGTGGTCGTGAGTTCAATCCCCGGTACTGATAAAAATGAAAAAGACAAAAAAAAAAAAGAAATCAATAGTTGATGTTTACATACTGTCCTTTTACAATAGTTGTTCAGGATACAAAAGTGGAACATATAAAGTGGGAATTCAAACAGCAAGACTGCAAACAATTTTATTCAATTATCCAACAAAAACTTAGTAATATGGTTGTCAATCCTATACACTTAAACATACATGCAGTTATCCATTTCTCTCTCTCTCTCTCTCTCTCTCTCTCTCTCTCTCTCTCTCTCTCTACCGGGGATCGAACTCACGACCGCCTGCTTGCAAGGCAGGTGTTTATGCCACTGAGCTAAATGCCCAGCCCCTCATATCTTCATTTATTCACTACCTCCTCTGCCGGACACTGAGTGTCCAGTGTGAACCCCACATTCATGCCACCCACACAGTCCTTGACTTACAGATGGGAGTCTAGTAGCAGTGATAAGCATGAAACCACTGATTATGTTCCCTGGCTTAATGAGATACTGACTTTATAGCCAAAGAACACCTAAACTACCTAGTGGCTCATTTCTTGTGAGTAGGCACGAGACCTGCTGTGACTTTGCTTGACATGAAATTTTTCTTTCCAGTAGGTCTGTGGAACTAAATGGATTCATGACATTCAGGGAGCAGTACATGGGGATGTCTGTGCCTCCACATTATCAATACATTCCACACCTTTTGAGCTATTCTGGCCATTCACCACTTCTGCCCCCACAAGCTCGCAGCCTGGACCCCCAGTCATACAGTCTGATTCACCAGTTGATGTCAGCCGAAGACCTGGAGCCACTGGGCACACCCATGTTGATCGAAGATGGGTAAGTGAGCTCTGCCCTGTTTATCACCCTTAAAGCTTCAAAATGTCCTTACTCTATACCTGCCTACATCCCTGCCAAATCTACCTCAGGCTTTGGCATAAATCAGGAGATAATGGGTGATGACACAAGTATCAAGTGACAGATCTGCTCATCTGTGAAGTCAGTAGTCCCTCGTTTTTTCCCCTTAATCATCTTTTCTCATAGAGTTGGGATTACTTTTCATTCCCTGTGGAATTGGAGTCAAATCACCTGACCCAGGATGGGTCAGAGCTTCTGTGCCAGAGATGAATTATAATCATATACCAATCTAGGCTCCTTAACAAGGCATCCAAGGCCTAACTGATGCATCTGTGTACATCTCTAGCCACCATACTCATAGGTAGCCTGGTGGCATGTTACCCTTGGGTACAGGCCTGAGTGGATAGAACAACTACTGTGAGTCTACAGTTGTCTCTGCCTAAGTAAGTTATATTCAGCCGTCAGGCCCACCCATTGCTGCATCCTTGAGCCCAGAGCCCAGAGCATAGGCTGTTGTAATGTTATCAGTCTTAGACCTCCCAGAAAGTATCCTAAGGTTTCCTAAGCAAACCTTCAGCTTCAGAAGAGGAGACTCAAATATCCACCCACGAGAAGACACACAGAGCCTTTCCATGTCTGAATAAAGAGGCATAAAAAGATGCCAAGGAACGTGGGAAGGAAGAAACTGGGGCACTGAGTCTGTGGCCCCAGAGGCCCCCCTCAGGCAAAAGTTGAGAAATGTGCTGTAAGCTTAAGGGAAAGATGAACAACTCTGACTCCTGAACTCACCACCAGAGGGTGCAGTGAGAGCAGCAAAAGCTGCTGCACTCATTCTGTGCTTTCAGCTGTGGCCCCTCTGCTCTTCTTTTGTGCTGGCCCCTGAATTATATGGATACTAGATTCACCGCACTGGAGTTCTCACGGCCAAAACTAGGGCAGTAGTGACTTGGAATTTTCTCTAAGACATGGAACATTAGAGGTCACCAATATTAAAAGTCATTTTTCCTGATAATTGTACAAATTTCTAAGTCTTCTTTTCTCTCAGCATCCTTTACTTACCAGGTCCACTTCTGCTTCCCTAAGCTTGCTTCTGGCCTTAGTCTTGCCCTCTTATAAGAAAACAGTCAAAATGGGTATGGGGCACATCAGTAAAACCCAGCACTCTGGGAAACTTACGCAAGAAGATCTCAAGTTCACACCTACTCTGGGCAACTTAGCAAGACTCTGTCTCAAAATAACCAGTAGAGAAAAAGGACAGAGGTTGGGGCCGTAGCTTATTGATGAAGTGCTTATCTAGCATGCTAAAGCCCTAGGTTTGATTCCCAGAACCACAAAATAGAAGAAGAAGAGGAGGAAGAGGAGGAGGAAGAAAAAGAAAATGGGCTGGAGATATAACTCAGTACAGTACTGAGTTCAATCCCTAGTACCACAAAATATAAATAAATAAAATTGAACTGAATGACCCTGGAGATCTCTGATCAAGGGGGAAGGATCTCACTGCCAGGGACGCTTTGTGCCTTTAGGGGTGGCTTCTTGTGTCTATGCTCATCCTCCAGCTGATAGAAATGACTTTCCCTGTCCCCAGATATGCTGTGACACAGGCAGAGTTGTTCGCCCTGCTTTGCCGACTGGCTGACGAGCTGCTCTTTAGGCAGATTGCTTGGATCAAGAAGCTGCCTTTCTTCTGTGAGCTGTCAATCAAAGATTACACGTGCCTCTTGAGCTCTACATGGCAGGAGTTAATCCTGCTGTCGTCCCTCACGGTTTACAGCAAGCAGATCTTTGGGGAGCTGGCTGATGTTACTGCCAAATACTCACCCTCTGATGAAGAACTGCACAGGTAAGACTGCTGTCTTGGAAGGAACCCAAGCAACCAAACCACTTGCACCTTTCAAGCCGCTCCTCATGCACACCTGAATTTGGATACTCACTATGCCACTTAGTAGTAGTTCTGTGATGTCAGCCACGTCTCTTATCTTTAGGTCGTAAATTTTAAAAATGAGATAAGAATAATAACCTCCTGGAACTAAGGACATGGCTCAATAGTAGAGTTCTTGCCTTGCATGTCCTGGGTTTGATCCTCAGCACCAAAAAAAAACCACCTTCCTCAAAAAGTGGGTGTGAAGAGCAAACACTGTGGAGTCAGACTTAGCAGAGTGCTAAGCTGTTGTTTTTATGACATCTAGATTAGTGAGATATGACAGTGTAACTGGAAGAAACAAAAATCGAAACTCTGCCTACAAGAAAGAGGCTCTGAACTATAGTTTTAATTCAAAAAAGAGACCTAGGAGTCTTTGTGGCACTATTATATGTCAGAGGCTAAGCTAGATATTTCATAGTGTCTATTTCCTTCTCACAGTGTTCAAGGTTATAGGTCATTGTGCCTTTTTATGGGCAAGAAAACTGAAATTCAGAAAGCCCAACCTTGGTCTTCGGTTTGCATCCAGAGCCAATGTTTGAGCTTGCACTTGCCTAACTGTGAAGTTTAGACTCTTTCACGCAGCTGAGATGTGGTGAGGTATTCAGAACAAGTAACTAAGAGATGGAGTAGTTCTCTTGTCTGTTTTCTGTCATAAAGTTTCATCTCAGTGGCCACATTCTTCTTACCCTACAGGTGAGAATGTACTGACTTCCTCCCTGTGGCACCATAGCCTCTTCCAGCACTTTTTTGCTTTGGAGACTTGGAACACATGGTGACTATTTTCTGACCCCAAAGATCAAGATGGATGATCTGTTGAGGCAACTTTTCTGGCTTATTAAATTATTCATATGAAGTGTCTTACATAGCTTAACTCACATTTAAATAAACATTTTCAATAAACCGCCTTTGTTGGGCATTTAAAAAATAATTGGAAGTCATAGGATTTCAAATCAAAGCACACTCGGAAGGAAGAAAGATGCACATGGATAAGAGCCAGAGAAGGTGGAATGGCAGCCCCCATGCTTCTCTTCACAGGACTGGGGTTCATCCCCTTCCCCCCAGTCATGGCATAGAAACAAGGCCAAGGCTCAAGCCAGAAGCAAAGCTCTGAGACCTTCCGGGGCCCTTTGCACAGCTGAGGGAGGGAGGAGTCTGGGCGCCAACTCTCTCCCCTGCTTTTCTAATATTTCCTTATTAATGATGCTCACTGGCTTCAAGATGATCTATAAGTGACAAGAGTTTTGAACCCAGCTGACTCTTTGTCCTGTAAACAGAGCTGTCTAATTTTGTAGATAAGCTAACCCCTTGTCCAGAGCCTCTAATTCATTATTTCCAGCAAAGTCCTATCTCCAGCTCCATAACTCTGGGCTGAGGGGGTGTTTGGATAGCAGTCCGCCTGCTCTCTTGTTGTCAGGAGTTTGCCAGCTGGCTTCCCTGTTTGCCTGGGACTGCCTACAAAGTCAGCAAAGCCAGGGGCTAGTAGCAGTTGAATTAGTGAGGAAACCTTTATTTCCTAGAATGTCTCCTTATAAAGGAGGATCTAAAGCTACACTGTCTGGTGTAGTAGCCACTAGCTTCCTATGACTTCTCAAACAGTTAGCTAAAATTAAAAATCCTCATTTGCCATTGACCACATTTCAGGTACACAGTAGCTACATGTGTCTTATGGCTGCCGTACTGACTAGAGCAAATGTTAGGACTTTTCCATCATCACAGTTTTAACAGAGCTAACTCTAGAACACATGATTCTGCTGAACTCCAAATAGGTCCCGAGGATTTAAAAAAGGGATTTATTGTTAGGATTCTCATCCTGTTGTGGAACCCATCAATGGAAAAAGAAGACTTGAACTTTGGTATGTTAATTCTGATCCATGGCTGTTTACTGATCATCTGTTGTACATTTGGGAAAGGGGGCTGGGATTGCAGATGATACAAATAGTGGTTTGTGACTCAGAGTCCATATTCTTGGTTGAGAGGGCTGGGAGGCAAATAGAAGCAGATCCAATGTACAGTGCAAGGTCCTGTTGTTGGAGGTTGAGGTGTGTGAAGGACCATACAAGCAGACTAGGGAATGAGGGCCACTCCTTACAGAATTAGAGGACTTCCCAGAAGAATAGACTTTTATTGGAGGTGTACTTGCAAGTAGGAAGTCTCTGGGTACATTGTGGGAAACAGAAGAAGGGCAGGAGAGTAACACAATAGTTAGTTCTAGGTGAATGCTATGTGCAGAGACCCAAAAGCAAGCCTACAGACTAAGGTATAAAGACATTGTGTGGGGGAGAAACAGAGGAGTGATTGGAGACAAGGGTACGGCCAAGACAGTTCAGAAAGGGGCTCAACTGCCAATCTGAAGAATTCAGATTTGGGGCTGGGGGTTTAGCTCAGTGGTGTAAGCTCCTGCCCCACAAGCACGAGGTCATGAGTTCAATCCTCTGTACCAAAAAAAAAAAAAAAAGCGGATTTGATAGTGTAGTAGTAGTTTATGTTGTAGGAAGTATTTCTCTGGGAGAATTAGATAATTAGATTTCTACGACTGCAAAGCTCAAGGTAGATTGGTATGGATAACCTTACAGCCCCGTAGCTGAATTGGAGGCTCTTCACAGCCATCTGAAAGAAAACAAGGCCTGGACCAGGCAGCAGTGATGTGGGACCAGAAAGGGCAGCACAAAGCCAAGCATTGGCGAAGAGGTTGTTGGCCACCCCTGAGTGGGAGAAGTTGGGTGACTGCTATGTTTTCCCAGTAGCTGGGCACATAGGTACAGATCCTCTTGCCGAGAGAAAGGAGCTTGGGAAGAGCACGATAGGAGATGAATTGCTCTGAGTTTGGCTTGGGTTTCTGGGAAGCCTAAAGTGCGAGTAAAACTGGGAACACGTGGCATGGGAGATGTGAGGCTTCTAGAGGGAAAGTAATCACTGAAGTCTCCCCCTCTGCTGGAAGCCCAGAGTGTGCAGCCTGTAATTAGCCATAGCTCTTTCCTACTCCACTTGTGCCTGTGTTACTCCCACTGCCTCAGGCAGCCTTTACTTGTGCACAACTCTTGAGTGTGAGTGCCTGCTGTCAGGAAAAACCTTTTCCCAGATGATACATGGCCACCTCCTTTTCTCCCCTGAAATATTCAATCAAATTTATGGTGTCCATATTCCTTAATCAGACTGTTATCACAGTGAGCTAGACCAATTTGATTTAAAGCAGATTGTAGCACCAGCCAGAGACTGCTCCTGGCCCTAATCAACACTCCTTCACTCCCAGAAGGAGATACCTTGAGCTGAATGGAACACCAGTTCCATTTTGGCCAAGTCTCTGGAAAGTTGCCTTCCAGCTTCCCAGCCTGGACCCTAAAAAGCTATTTCCTAAACCTGTAAAGACTGTCATCTTCTTTGCTGCAGTAATGGGAGCAGTGATGATGGCAATAATTCTATTAATAATAACAGTTATAGAGAATTTATTGCACTAAATTGCATTGTAAGTGCATTACATAGGTTATTTGTTAAATTCTCACTGCCATCCTGAGACTGGCACTGATACTATTCCTGCTGTAGAAATGAGGATCTTCAAAGCTAGAAAGAGATGGAGTTCAGACCATCACCTGGGTCTTTTGTGTTCCAGAATGCAAGCTCTTTACCATTACCCTCCACTAAATTTATTTTCCCTGAGCCTGTTCGGAAGGTTTGACTTTGAGAAGTTGGTCCTGGAGCTACACAACCTGACTTTGCATGGAAGTCTGTGTGGATCCCAAGATGACAGTTCCTTGTAGGCTATAGCTGACTGCTGCTGGAGAAGACACATTTAGATGAATGGAACAGAGACAACTGGGCCTCTTCACCCCTCTGTGGGATATAACTTACATAGTGTCAGCTTCAATTGCTGCCTGAATGGTCCAGTGGTCTGGGGGATCCTGGCAGGAATGTTTTCCTTGCCCTAGCATGCTTGTGTGATAGGAACCTAGAAGAAGAATGGGTGTGTTTGTCCAGCTTTATGGCTTCAAATGCTGATAACTTGCAGACAGGGAATACAGTGGCATCAGAACTGTGGAGTGGGCAGATGTGGAGGAGGCTTGGCTGCAGGAGAAAGCATGCCCGTGGAACAGAGAACAACTTTGTTTATCAAGGGGTGGGATGTGGGTGTGGAGGCAAGCTCTGCAGTCAAGCTGTGGAGACTGAGTGGGGGCTGGTGGGCTGGCTGCCAGCCCCCACCAATGCCAGGGGTCCAGAATAGTTGCCTGGTAAAGGAAATTTGGAAAAAATGGATTTTCTGTCCCCAAAAGAAACAGCAGATCTGGCACAGATGTATGAGCCAGCCACTTGAGAGCCTCTTTGTGCCCCCCAGGTCAAGATGCAGCCAGGAACAGGAACCTGGGATCTGGCCGACAGCCACACACCTGCAAGCTCAGCAGTGCCAGGGTGAACACTTGGGGCAAGAGGTTGCTGATTGAGGGAGAGCATTATCTTTGCTTGTTAGGTACTCGGTGACCAGACAGATGCTGACTCCATTTCTCCCCTTAGCCCACCTCATCTCAGCCCCATTCCACTCTTCCATGTACGTGCTAAAGGGAATCGAGGCTAAAGCTCTGATTTTCTTCTCAAGAGCATACTCCAGAAAAGTATAATGTTGGAGTGATCTTTATTCTCTTCATGCTGCCTTCTGCAGATCTTAGCATCATGGATGCACCCAACACCTATGCAGATCCACTGTCCCAGTAGGCAGTTCAAGATTGGGCATGGAGAGTGGCACAGGGGAAAACCTACAGGTTGAGATTAGGAAGCCTAGGTTTAAACTGGGGCTCCCTGGTTCTTACATACTGTGTGACTTTGGAGAAGCCATCTGTGTATCTGTACCCTCATCCCTAACATAAATATTTTTACTTGCAATTATCAGGAAGGTAAATTGTAAGAATGCATGTAAAGAGTGTAAGTAAGTAATAGGGGTTAAGTAAATAACCTCTCTGAGCTTTATTTTGAGAGAGAACAAAAAAAGTCTATGACTGATACACTTTTTATTTATTAAAAATATCCAGTGAGATATATGTGGAATAAAGTGCCTAGCAGGTAGCAAACCCTCGGCACGTAATTTGACATGGGTTTGTCCATCAGCCATTCTGGGAAAGTATCAGTAAAGGGGTAAAAGCCATTGGGCCAGGTATACAGACAAACTGAATCACCATCATAATCGGCGAACAGAGAAGCCCTAGCTCAAACTGGACTCCATGCCATATGGTGAAGGGCGCAGAGTTCTGGATTACAGGTACCTGCAGCCATGGCTCTACTGGTTCTTGAGAAGTACAGGGATCTCTGGCTTCAACCACAGCAAGGCTTTCCCCAGGGAAGAGAAAATACTATATTCTGTTTGCCCAGGAAGTCAAAGCCTGCAGTTAACACAAAAATCAGTAGAGTCCAGAAATTGTAGTACATTCCCAGGTGTTCTAGGTCCTTCCCAGATTGGGCCCCCTTGTCTGGCACATGGCTGTGTGCCCAGATCTGAACATATCACTGGGAAGTGCAGTAGAGCTGAGTTTCTTTTCTTCATGACTAAGCTGACATCTGAGGCCTGTGTAGAACTCTTCTTGAACTACTGTCTAGCTCACTCTTGCTGTGATTTAGGCCATCCTGAGCCTAGTGTTTATAAACTCCTGTTTTCCCATTAAGCACTTACTTCCTTGGTTTGGTGATGTGCAGTCTCTGGTATAAGCATACCTAGAACACTAGGCCCTATCTTGGGAGCTATGCGGAGAGGTGTGGCCAATTTTGAGCCATCTCTTCTGGGACAGGCCAAGGACACCACCACACATTGCAAACCAAGCCCTTAAGAAGTTAGCCCAGGTTCCAAGTTCTAATTCTACATACAGGTCTGCCTTCTTTCAACTTGATTATCTCATCTTTACAATGGTAGTGATTGTCTCACCCAGCTTGTACACTTGAAAGAATTAAATACCAGCAGAGGCTAACATGTCATGGAGAGTCAGTGTTTTCTTCCCTCCAGGACAGCAGTAAAATTTTTCATTGTGTGTAACTTTGGGCCTACTGAAAACAGTGAACCTAAACAAAAATGACTGGCACTTTTTTCAGTATTGGGCAGAGGCTCACGTAGTGTCACCATGGCAGCTGTGTCTCAACAAAAGCTGTATCTTAAAGCCAGACATGATGGCATAGTGCTAGCACACTGGGAGGCTAAAAAAAGCAGAACACAAGTTCAACCCCACCCTGGACTACTTTGAATTTTGAGACTCTGTCTCAAATTTTTAAAAAATGAGGGCTGGGGATTTAGCTCAGCAGCATAAGCACCTGCCTTGCAAGCAGGCGGTCATGAGTTCAATCCCTGGTACGAATACAAAGTTTAAAAAAAAATTTTTTTTTTTAAAGTACTGAGGATATAGATCAGTGCAAAGGCCCTTGGCTCAATCCTCAATACCACTGAAAAGAAGTATCTTAATATTGTGATGTTGCTCCACATTTACATCTCAGTGCTCCTGTGGCTCTTCTTAGCCCAAGCAGGCTCACATTATTTTACAAAGGAGGACTTCAGATCTTGAGGAATGACCTTCACAGAGTCTTAGAGCTGTGTGAGATAGAGCTAAAATTGAGCCCAGATCTGACTGTCTGACCTCAAGACAAACAGCCTGAGAGCTGGGGATTTAGCGCAGCAGCATAAGCACCTGCCTGGTGAGCACAAGGTCGTGAGTTCGATCCCTGGAACAACAACAACAAAAAGAGAAAACAGCCTGCAAGAGCTGTGCTGGCCCTGAACAAACTGTGGATCTGCCTGTGGGTTCTGTTTCCCCAAGGTCAGCCTCTTTCCTAAGGTAGACCTTAGGAAACGAGCTGTGAGAGCTCTTTATCTGCCCTTTCTGAGGTCACTGATATCAGAGCCCATAGGTGAAACCTCTGTCTGTTCCCCAGATTTAGTGATGAAGGCATGGAGGTAATCGAGCGGCTCATCTACCTGTATCACAAGTTCCACCAGCTGAAGGTCAGCAATGAGGAGTATGCGTGCATGAAAGCCATTAACTTCCTAAATCAAGGTGAGTGTCTGGGGTGGGGCTGGGGAAAGGCATATTTCTTTCTTACCAATGAGCATTTCCCTCCTGTTTCATAACCATGTGCACGAGCATGCACACACACAAACACACTCTCTCCCTCTTTGAGACTGTTGCAGAACCTATCACACCATGTGACGACCAATCTTGGAAGGCCTAAACCTCCCCCCTTGTCATCATCTGCCCCTTTACAGAGCAGGGAATGCTTTCGACTTTTTTCTTGAAACCTAAATGCCACAATCTCTATAACTCACAGAGGAAGGAAGAGGATTCACTTTGTTTAGTCAGTTTTCATGCATTTAAACACAGACACCAAGGACAGTACATGCGTCATTTAAAATATGTACCAAGTTTACCAGTCATTGAAGAGCAGAGTGACTGATGAAGCTATTGGAGATAAGGCCTCTGTGACAGGCCAGCAGCAGTTCTGAAACCCCTTTGGGAAGAATGGCAGTGCATAAAAGTGTAATGCCTATCAAGCATGATTGTTAATTAGAAGAATAACTGGATGTGATTATGGAGAATTAGCTGCAAAGTGGCACACGGTAGCTGCTGGTAACCAGCATATTCAGAATTTATGTTCTTTTTTCTGCAGTGACATGTGAGTTCTCTACTGCCAAAGTGGAACTGGGCAGTGTTGGTGTCTGTGAAAGTGCTTTTTTCCTGTGTTCAGTTTGCCAATTCAGATATTCTTAGTCTCCTGTTGCATGTCTTCCCCCATGCTGGCCGGACCTACTCCTCTAGCCTCTGCACTGCGTATGTATTTATCTGGTGTCTGCAGGCAAAGCCCTATGCTGAGCACTAGCAACATTAAAGAAAATCAGACCTCAGGCCCCTTGAGCAGCACACATTCTGCTAGCACTCAGCACAGTCACTGCTTCTCTGTAGAGGAGGAGGTCACAGTGACTTCTTGGAGGAGAAATTTGAGCTGGGCTTCAAAGCCTGGGTAAAATTGATATAGAGACTATTTTATTCATATTCTATATAGAAAAATGTATTTTTCTAGATAGATAGCTAGAGAAAAGAGTATACAGAAAAAGAGAGCAGAGGGAAATGAAGCTACGTGTGTGTGTTTATGTTTTAGGTGTTGTATATGTATTTGGCACACATGAACATGTAGGTATCAGCAAGAGTTCTGATTGACTCCAGCATTAGGCAAATTCAAAGATACTGTGAAATTTGAAAAGCTGGGTAGTTGGGGCTGGGGATTTAGCTCAGCGGCATAAGCGCCTGCCTTGCAAGCAGGCAGTCGTGAGTTCAATCCCCAGTACCCATAAAAAGAAAAAAGACCAAAAAAAAAAAAAAAAAAAAAAAAGCTGGGTAGTCATTCACATGATAATGTTTCATTGTTCATTGGCTGTTTAGTGTTGGCCCTGTACTGGGAGCTGGGTGTGAAATTGAGAAAGACACAACCTAGCCTTCAAGTCTAGTAACTGTCCTTATACATACATTTTTTCTTTTATTTCTTTTCTTTTACCTAGAGTTTAGGTCATCCATATCAGAAATATAAAAGACCCTCTGTTGTGACCATTTTTAATAGTTTTTAATTGGAAGATACACATACTCAATAATGTGTTTTTCTGCATTAGAAAGCCCCTCCCATTATCTGTGTGATTTGTTTTTTCCCCCCCGCTTCAGATATCAGGGGTCTGACCAGTGCCTCACAGCTGGAACAGTTGAACAAGCGATACTGGTACATTTGCCAGGATTTCACTGAATATAAATATACACATCAGCCCAACCGCTTTCCTGATCTCATGATGTGCTTACCTGAGATTCGATACATTGCAGGTAACATTCTGTGTCCTGGGCTTCCATCTCTTCCTTGCTTCTCTTAGCTTGTGAAACTGTGTTTTCAAGAGGCTGATTCCAGGCCCACCTGCATAAAATCATACTGCCTTTACCCTCAGAGAACAGGAAATTGTGTTTCCTTTGTAGAGAAGTACACAATTCTTAAACTCCTATGATGTACAGGATACTTTGTGGCCTTATTTAATCTCAGAATAATCTCCACAAGACTGATGATTGATGATACTAACATTCTCTGAATGGAAAGACAGGCTGAAGAATCTCAAATTAATTTCATCTCCTGAAATACATACTTTGTGTGTATGTAGTACTAGAGGTGAAACCCAGGGCCTCACCATACTACGCAAGTGCTCCGCCACTGAGCTATATACCCGGACCATGAATTATATACTTTAAAATAGTTCATTCAATATGTGAATTACATCTCAATTTTAAAAAAAACTTTCATAGGTTTAGACGTTCAGGAATCATGGAAAGTGTTATCTTTAAAATCAAGGAATTTTTTGTGTTAGGTGTGTCTTTGTGGTCTTGACCCCTTCTGAGCTTCTTGACATTTAATGGGTCCATTTTACTGCATAATGTTAGCTTTTTTTTTTTTTTTTTTTTAACTTCCTTTAGTAAAGATTCTTGTTTCTAGCTGTCTAGTGTATACTGAGAGGTAGCTCAGAAATGTGACCTTTAGACTGGGATTGTTCCTGCAAAATTGAGCAATAATAATTTTCAATTGAAAAACTTAGAATCTGATAGGGAATTTCTTGCCCACCTCTTGGGCCACAGCACAGTCTAGCAAATGTAAACTGGTCCTAAAAGTACTTTGAATCATCTGGGAACTTTTTAAAAACCATTGTTAGTGTTCAGTTTTCAGCTTCACACAGTCTCATTTAATTAGTCTGGGAAGAGCCTGGAAATCAGTATTTTTAAAATGTCCCTCAAAAAAAAAAAAGTCCCTCAAGGGCTGGGGATTTAACTCAGTGGCATAAGTGCCTGCTTGGCAAGCACGAGGTCATGAGTTTGATCCCTGGTACCAAAAATATAAAAATGTCCCTCAAGTGATTCTAAGTTACTGCCAGGGAGAAGCAACTGAGTCTTAGCAATTTACAAAGTGTATTAGTACACTAAATGATCTGAGAAGTCCTCAATAAAGAAACCTATACAACTGCTTTAACCCTGAATTTCACAAATTTCTTTGCCCCATGACCCTTTATCCCCACACTTCTATTAACATATTACATTAGTTTGAAGAACAGTGTTTTTAATACTAGAAATTCTACTATGGAAAAAGTCAATATAAAACTCTGGTATTTTAAGGGCTAGCTTAGCAGCATAGGGCCTGACTGGCAAGTATGAAGTCATGAGTTTGATCCCCAATACCAAAAAAAAAAAAAAAAAAAAAAAAAAATGGTATTTTAGCTCTAAGAGGGCTGGGTAGGACAGTGCCTTTCAGTGTCAGATTTTTCATCTACAAAATGAGGATTAAAAAGTAACATCTATCATATGGGAACTTGTGAGACTAAAGGAGATAATGCATTTGCCCACCTGGCACAGCCACAGATAGTAGAATGATATGAGTCTCCCAAGGACTCCAAAAGGAGCGGGTAGTAGATGCCAGCCCTATCTAACCTTTATAGTCTTTCTGCCACTTCCTGCACCAGCAACTTCTCCTTTCACTAGCACAAGAGAAGGCAGGACCAGCCTTCTGCTGTTGGCCACTGCTAACTCCTCTTCTCTGCCTTTCCCCAGGAAAGATGGTGAATGTCCCCCTGGAGCAGCTGCCCCTCCTCTTTAAGGTGGTGCTGCATTCCTGCAAGACAAGTGTGGTCAAGGAGTGACCTGTTCCCTGCGAACCCTCAGGCAACCACAGAGCCTTGGGTAGGCAGGACAGGCTCAGGAAGAGAGAGCCAGAGACCAAGGTGGAGGCGTGATGCAGTTGCCTCCATAACAAGAAGAGTGTTTGTTTGTTTGTCTGTTTTTTTAACCTCATTTTTCTATATATTTATTTCACGACAGAGTTGAATGTATGGCCTTCAACATGATGCACATGCTTTTGTGTGAATGCAGCAGATGCATTTCCTTGCAGTTTACAGAATGTGAAGATGTCTGATGTTACAGTATTGTCATTGTTTAGTGATAGTTCTTTTGTATTTTGAGGGAGAGGGTGGGGTGGGCTGAGATGACTGTTTCCGTATTAACAAAGATGACTACCTCAATGGAAGTGGGGGTGTGACCATCCCTACTATTTCCACTTTTTCTGAGCAGACGTGTGTATTCGTCTGTCAGAGAGCAAACTGCCTTTTTCTAGCCATATGCTTGTCAGGAATACACCAAAGGGGTGAAGTGGTGGTAGGGATTCACTGAGTGAGATGGGCAAGCCGTGTGGAACAGGAAGTGAGGGCTGAGCCATCTTGATGGAAAGCGTGAGAGTTCAGAGCAGAGCTCCATGACCAGATGTAAAGCAGGTATCCTCTCAGCAGGTCGCACGTAGGGGCGAAAAGTCTTCTGTTCTCACACCCTGCTGCCCTCCTCTCCCTGCGCCTCCACCATCCATGTCTGCCACTGTCAACTATTCATCCAACAAAGGTGTGGCACTAAGTCAGTCCCTCGACTTGCCTACGAGCTCCGCTAGGGCTTACGGCTACCTAGGTTCCTGCTTGATCTTCTAAGACCTGCCCTCTCAGACTTCTTCCCGCTCCCTTGTAAGTTTGACTTCCTCACAACCCTTTGAAAAACTGACCAAAATGCCATGTTCTGAAGCACAGTGCCCACTACTGATTTATTCTCCTCTCACCTCTTTGCTTCAAGGGGTGGGAAGACGAAGGCAAAACTGCTGAACTATTCCTCCTTTAGAATCCCCTGCCCTACCACCACCTCCATCACCCCACCCACAAGACTGAATCTAAACTTCATCTCTTTTTTAGATAGTGGAAAGGACCATTCACCCTTCTGCTGGCCAAAATTTAAACTTCTGAATCCTACTCCCAAGTTCTCCTAATCTCTCCATAATGAGATCAGGTTTTCCCAGGGCCCCAGAACAGAAAGCCTAGAGTAGCCCAGCTACCCTTCTGTGAATCAGTGCCTGGCCAACCAAGGCCTGGAAGACTGGGGCCAAATGCACCTGGAAGGGAAGGGGGACTTTAAACTACCTCATATGCCTAAGGGCCTGTCTCCTGTCTCTGCAGATATGGCCTGTACCCCTTTTCTTTCCCTACCTGCCCCACCTAACCCCGGAAAGTGTTCTTGCCCCTCTGGACTTTGGCAAGGGCCACACTGTGTCTGTCTTGGAGCTCTTTCAGGTGCTTTTCTCCTTTTCTGCCTTAATGCAGCATTTGTTCCTGCCCACACTCAGGCACCTTCTGTAGCCAGTGCACCCTTGGGAGGACGTAAGGGACCCTCAGTACTTCCTGTGTCATTTTGTTCAAAGATTGTGCTTTCCTGACTCAGCTCGGTAAACCTACCCAGGTGATCACAGTGTACACACACAGGGTAGTGTGCTTCGGTTTATAATTTTTTCTTTTTGGTGAAGTGTTACGGGTACCAACCAGCAAAGGAGCAATGTTTATCCTTTGCTGGATCTAAAATTCAGAGTGTTCCCCCTCAATGCTATTTCTCCAGCTGTGTAAGAGAGAGGAGACATGTACCTTAGAAAAACTCCAACCAGCACGTGTCATATGACAGTGGGAAGATTTATGTGATCGTGTGTGTCTTAATTTGTAAGTTCACAGTATTTTTCTTGCTTTCCTGAAGTTTTTATTTAACCAACTAGATCATACCCTTTGGCTCCAGGTCAGATTCCGAGCTGCTTTCCTCAAATAGGAGAAGAGACACATACACTGGAGACTCCTTCTCTAAGACGGCTCCTGTGTGCAGCATCTTTTCTTGTTTAGACCTCCATATATCAAATTGTATTTTTTTTCAAATTACTATTTTTTCAGATTCCTTTTTAAATTAAGCATCCTACCCATTGGGTTGAGTGTCAAAGGAAACTGCTCTCTGATCAGGCAAGAACGTATCCCTCCAATCATGTAGTATTAAACAGATCAAGTTGTTAATTTGTGGAGTGGAGAAAGGTTCTGCAAGTTGCCATTGTACAAATCCATTTTTACAAATGTTTGCAGCAGATTCCACAGAACAAAGAGCCCATTCATTGCCAAGAGCCCTGCAGAATCTCTGAGCCAAGTGGCTGTGTGTTCCGAGCCGGAGCCTGACCTGTGGACCGTATTTAATGTCTTCTGCACCCAGTCCTTTTATGACGTGGGCTTCTTTTAAACAGGGTAAAGTGAATGTGTTGCATTGCAAACTCAGGTATTATGAGGAGAAGGTAGGAGTATAGCTAGCAGTGTGGAGACATTAGGTCAGCCACTAGATGTATTTGTGAATTTGGTTTGAAGGACACAGAGAAAGGTTGGAGGGGGAGGTTTGGCTTGTTTGTTTTTCGCATAATGTTTAGTGAACAGGCAGCCTTTTTGCTAGTAGAAGAAGAAAAAAGCTGTATATGTTGTTTCAAATCCTCTGTCCTGTCTCTATCCTAGCCACCATAAGCACTCACTTTGAGTGAGTTTCCCACCATAAAAATATGACCCTGTGAGCTGTGTGGAAAAGGAGAACCCCACCTCCTTGCACTATATTGAAACATGCAAGCTTTTCCCTCCATTTTGAACACTTCCTTGACCCAAGACAATAGTTAGATTCTTGGAGATTCATCTCTACTTCATGCTTTCTGGCTCCCTTTGTGAACTATGGAGTCCTTTGCACGGTGTGATGTGCTTGCCCTTATCTGGAGAAATTTCCCAGGACCTGTCTAAGCACTCCACGTAGCTCAGAGGACACTAGCCCATTGCCCAGCCTGTAAGAGGTGGGCCAGCCTCCAGCGATAGAAAGGAGCAAGCAGGAAGTTTCCTATCTGGATCCCAGGAACAGAGCAGGCTCGGGAGGAGCCTAGGCATCTGTATGGCTTCCCCACCTCACACTAGCCTGCTGCTGCCCTGCCCTGCCTTTCAGGGAGGTATCTGCCCAGGTCAGCACTGGCAGTACTTTAAAACCCTGGCCCCTCTGCTAGCCTCCCTGCTTTGCTACCCATTCCCTGCATTTACTTGTTCTTGGTTTCCTGGGGAATGGGACAGATGGGACAGACAAATCAGTGTGGGCAGCATCTACATCATGCCCAGGATAGGCTAGAGTAAAGAGACCCTGGCTTCCCAGCAAGGAAGGAAGTTGGGCAGTGGCTCCAAACTCATAGTTTCAGCCACCTGGTCTATGTGCTTTTCCTTGTTACTTTTTAAATTTTTGCTTTTAGGAAATTTCAGTCCTCAGGCTAGTCCTTTTTATTAAACTTTAAATTTTTCTTTACTGATTTTCTTGAAGGTTTAAAAAAAAAAAAGAACAGAAAAAAACCACCTCTAAATAAAGGCCCCACTACTCTTTTTCTCCCCCACCTTGACCTATGAGAGCCTCCTCCTCTGCCCCACACTCCCCTTTGCCTTTGCAGTTGACCATCCTTCCTTTTTCCTCGGCTGGAAGCATCTCCATCCAGTGTCTAAAATGATGCTTCACCTGTGTCTCAGGATGAGAGACGGCAATCATCCCACCAGGGGCTGGAAGCACGCGAGCCTTGAGGTCAGGGTTTCTAGGGCCACAGCTCAGGGATGTGTATTTAACTACAGGGTCCCAGAAACCCCTCTCTTGGCTGCCATAAGCAACATCTCCTTTTCTGGGCTTGGGAGCCATACCCAGACTGTTTCCCTCAGAGGCAGGAGCCCCAGAGAGCCTGTGGCCTCCTCTTTGGCCTTCTTGGGCCACTTTGAGACTTGAAGACTTCTAACTGCCCTGCAGCATGAGCCTTGGTGGCCCTGCCTCTGCCAGCTCGTGAGAAACCTGACTCCTCTGCCCAGTCTGTTCTCTGACCTCCTCCTTCTGGGCCTGCAGCCCAAGTGGGCCATGGCATGCTCAGGAATCAGCTGTCAGCTCAAAAGGAAACTAGGAACGAGGCAGAGCCCGCTCAAAGTCCAAGAAAAACACTGTGATCCTGGTGAAGGCTAGTCTTCCAAATCCTGAAGCCAGCCCAGCCGGCCAAAGGATCCTCTTTGCCCCTTGGTGACCCTTGTTTTCTTTGATGAAATGTCTTACTATAGGTGATAATGTTGTTGACTCAAATTTCCATGAAAAACAAAAAAAAAAAAAAAAAAAAAAAAAAAAACTACCTCTCCAGTGACATCCTGGTTGATTCCTCTCAGAGGAATCCTGTGGGAAAAGAATACTGTAGCTCCCGCGCTGTTTACATGTTTCTGTCGGGAAAGAAACCCTGCCTGCCCTGGGGTGTTGGTGTTTTTGTCTATGTTGCCATCCCAGGCCTGTGATAGGGGCTTGTGGCTGCATTGTAATGTCTGGCTATGTGTGGGGAGTCCTTCCCACCTGCCCAGCAAGGGACAAGCCGCCCCTCTTGAAGAGGTTTCCCCTCCTGAGCTCCAGGCATGGGGGCACTGCCTCCCACAGCCCCCGACTCGGGGGCTCTGATGGCACCTGTGTCATGAGCCCATCCTGGGCTGCACCCCTGGTCTACCTCCACCCACAGTCCCGGGGAAGAATCGGGTAAACGGGATGTCTCTGAGCCCTTGCTCCCAAAGGGCTGGCCAAGGGCTGCCTGCCAGCCTGGCACCATCTACCCTGCATGATCAAACGGTAGTTGGCGGGCTCTGCAGGGTTCTCAGGCCCTCTGCTACCTCCCACACCTGCCTTCCGGCACGGGATGGGCCCTGTTCTGTGAATTGACTACCTGTGGAAATGTGACCAGTTAGTGTGAAATGCATGTTTAGCAAGTATTAGGTACTGTATTGGAACCAATAAATGTGAATCCTGCACATGCATCTGGCTGTGAAGCTTGTCTGGGGCTCAGGGGTGGGAAGCAGCATATCCTGAGGTGCCTCTGCTCTGGCCAGTGCTCATCTCAAGTCCTGCACCTGAGTCCTGGCAGAAGATAGCAGTTCTCAGAACTGCACGGTGCAGTGGACCAGCACCGTCTGCAGTGCCTGCTGTGTGGGCCAAGCACAGCGTTGCGGCTTTTCGTGAACCAGAGCCTTCCTCAACTTCAAGGATGGTGGCTTCTCTTTTATAAATGAAGAAACTAAGGTTGTAAAGGGTAAAGCAACTACCCCAAGGCCACCCAACCACAAAGTGGTACAACTGAGCTAAATCTGTTGGGAGAGGCACACAGACCTTCACCATGCCAAGGGAGGAGAGCCTTGTGCTGGGCAGGAAAGGCCCGGGGAGGGAGCAGCTTGTACTGGGCAGCGCCCGGAGAAGCTTCTCCGGGAGGTAGAGTTGAAGGTAGCCCTGGAAGCAGGTCCCCAGGCCAAGAGGAAGGCAGTAGGTAGCAGGCTCAACAGGGTGTTCAGAGGCCTAATGATGGAGGAGAAAGGTGAGGAGGTTTCAGGTGTGTGGGGCTGTCCTGGCCAGAGAATGAGACCGGGAAGAGTATCAAGAGGAGGCTGGAGAGTGGCTGGGAGCTTGCAGAAAGAAAGCAGCTGCTGAGGCACACAACAGCTGCACTTCCCTGGCCACGGTGTGTTGTCCACAACCTTGCTGTGTGGTTTGCAGTCTCAGATCAATACCTACTTTCCAGAAAGCACGTGACATCCTTCCTAGCTTTCCTAGAGGTGATCACAGGGCAGCTCTGCGGCATTAAGAGACATGGCCGGAGTCACACGGGCAGTGTCAGAGTTGGGCCTCAACTGTCCCGTGACCATGCATACTCAGGAGTGGCATTTGGGTTGGGGCTGGATGAAGACCAGCAGGAGACTGACTCCGCAGCCTGGGAAGATAAAGGCTGAAGAGAGTATGACTATGAAATGGGTGGAGGTGCCCATCTGTCCACCGTGCCTCAGCCCCCAGCCCAAGGCACCAGAGAGCTCTTGAGGCTTGAAAGAGGTAGTTTCAAACAAAGGAACTGTTATAAAGGAAGCATGGGCTGTCATCACCACACCACAAGAGGGACCAGACTCCTGCTGCCTCCAGGTGGGCAGTGTCTCCTGTGGTCCTCAGAACAACCTCTCAAGGTTTGAGCATTTGCCCCAGTTTACAATGAAGCAAACAGGCTTGGGGAATGAAGCCGTTTGCTGGGATGTGCGGACAAGAAGCAGAATTAGCTTTTGAATCCAGGTCTATCTGATACCAAAGTTACAACAGCTTCCTCCCTGCTGAGCCTTACAGTTCAATAGTGCTGAATATGTATGCCTGGAGTTGAAACAAAGCTCAAGAGTGGCCTTAGGTTGAACCTTGTGGATTCAAACAAAACCATGAAACAAGTTAACTGCATAAAGTAGATGAACAGGTCCAGCCAAGTTGAACCAATCAGTACTGTCCCAAACACAGAAGGCGACACAGTCTGTAATTCTGGGAATCTAGCATCCAGTGTCTTTTCGTTCCTACCCACCAAAAGATCACAGTTCAGCTGCCAAAAATGTAGGAAATGCTGTACTCTTTTGCCCTCCCACTGATCCCTACCTTCCTTGGCATGGTAAAGGCTCTGCGAAGTCTTACCCGAAGAAAGCTCATTTTGTTTTAGCCCAGGTTCTACCAAAAGTGTGTGAGCATTGGACATTTGTTCCTGGTGTTAAAACTATTGAGATGATGCTCCATGAACTAAAATTTAGGACACGGCTTCACATTTATAAATTGCTACTTAAGTAACACTGAGCTCTTGGCTTCTTGGAGTGCTAGGCAATAATCCAGAAAAGAACTATAAAATCGGGCCGAGGGTGTAACTCAGTGAGTGCTTAGTATAGACAAGGCCCTGTCTATACTAAGGCCCTGTCCCCATCACCAAAACAATAGCATAGAGTAAGGTATCTTTTTTTGTGGGCTAAATTCCCCAGAGCAACAATAAATAATGATGCTGTCCTAACCTCATTTTACAAATTAAAAAATCAAGAACCAGAGGAAAACAATTTACCTAAGGTTATATAACCAGTAAGAGCTCAGGAGCTGGTAAAAACTGGCACTGACCACCTATTCCTAGCACTCCTAAGTGCTAAGAGCCTCCTTGGGCCAACCCCAGGGCAGAGTCAGGTTATTTCTTTGTCACCACAGGATGTGCAGCCAGCACAATGGCAGGGAGGGTGCCTGGGTCTTACACATGGAGTCCTTCCCTGGGCACAATTTTCCCAGGCAGCCTGTGAGACCAAGCTTGTCATCAGGGTCTCACTAACATGTATTCCAGCTTTGCCCTTCCCACTTGGTTCAAGTTCTCTGATCCCTCACTTTCCCTGGCCGCAGTAGAGGTGATGGTGCCCATGGTGCAAGGCTTCCAGAGGATTGGGGCTGGCTCAAAGTTGGGGTGCCGAAACTGTGCTGGGAGGTGCTGCCCCTGCATCTCAACAACAGAAGCTCAGCAGACAGGAGCCACCTCTCAGGCTCGGCCTAGCCTTGGCCTGGCTGCCTGTCAGGGTCTCATGTCCACAGTGGCAGTCAGCCTCTCCGAGCCTGTGGCAAAAGTGCCCAACTGCCAGACCCAGGGCTCTTGGAGTCTTGTTCCCTTGGCAACAAGTCTCACCATGGAGACCACAACCCCATCCTTGCCCTCCAAGCAAACTCCCACTCCACAAACCTCTGTTCGCAGCCAGTCATAGGAGCGGTTGTAGGCTCCAGGACGCATTAAGGAAGCACTTCCACAGGGTGAGGAGTTCAAGGCACATCCTAGGAGCAGCAAGGGGAACTCGGTGTTCTGAGTGTCCACTTTCTGCCTGCCAAGGTCCGAGGTGGCTGCTCTACTCTTTCCTTTTGGTGGCTAGCCAGGAACCCAACCCTGTTTTCCATGAGTGAAAAACTGAGGCTCGAAGGCAGCAAGGACCATACCAAAGTCTCACAGCTGGTCAGTGTCGGGTTCAGGACTTCTGACTCTGCGTCTGCCCCCTCCCCACTTGTGGCCAGGACAGTCTGCAGCTGCCACGTAGGGAGGGCTTGATAGTGAGATGGACCCCTCTACCATAGGCCTCTGCTGCTAGCACCGGTGGCAGCCTGTGGCCCTTTGAGGCCTGGGCTGGGCTCAGCAGCAGTGGAGGAACTGCACTATTTTAAGCCAGGGCCAGCAAGCCCCATGTGGGCACAGGGAGGGTGGCCTCAGGCCCTTGGCCAGCTTCCCGGAAGTCACCATGGCCTCCCTCCTCTCCCCCGAATGGCTCTTGGAGGCAGTCACTTCCCTGCAAACAGGAAGGAGGCCCACAGGCCAAGACCTCCAGCCCCAGCTTCCTTCCCTGCCCCCCTGGTCTTCTCTAGTATATAGGGGAGCTTCCAGCTCCAGGTCCTGATCCATGGCCTTACCCAGGCCGACTCCTGGCAGGTGAGTGAAAGGAGGCTTGAATTTTTTCTGGTGCCCCAATTCTTCTATGGCAGTCCTACACTTTCCCTTTCCTAGACCCTTTGTCCCCTCTCCATGGCCTCAGTTGTACCCTAGGAAGCTGGTTGCTGTGAGCCAGAAAGAAGAGCAGAGATTTCCCCAGATTTAGTCCCATTCAAGTCTCCCCAGAATTAAATTGGGACACTCCAAAAGATGGGTACAGGAGTAAACTGACAGAGCCATCATGCCAGAAGGCAAAATTAGATGCCCAGAGATAAAAGCAGAGAACACCAGCCGTGGCTGCAGAAGAAAGGAGCCAAAGAAGCAGGGAGATGACTCTCAGCGGTGGCTCCTGACCACCCCCCAAACACAGGGCTGTGGGGGGCCCAACGGCTGTATGGCTGAAGAGGAATGTGGGGAGCAAGGCTGGGTCACCCCTTGAGGGCCGAGCGTGTGCACTGTGAGATAAACTACCCAGGAAGAGCTTCCAGCTGCGCCGCCTGCTCGAGGAGCATGGAGAGGCCTGGGCCCAAGGCTGGAGCCCCCCCAGCTGCCAGCACCTGCCTTGCCCTGGGGGCCTCCATCAGGCCTCTTCTGGAAAGTCCTGGGTCCCCAGTCTTGCCTGGCACCTCCAGCTCTGGGCTCCTGTGAGAGAGGGGGACAGGGGCACCAGCAGGCTGGAGGGTGCAGAGAGGCACGGTGGCATGCTGTCCTGTATGACATTGTACACTCCTATGTGCACGTGTCCACATGTGTGTCCGCTGATGTGGGGGTGTGCAGAGACGTACGTGTCCGCATGTTGCCAGGAGCTCCATTCCGCCTCCACAAGTGTCCCTGTTCTCAGTGTAGAGAAGTGGCCCCCAGGGGCACCTGGTCTCTTCCACCCCCCACCAGGTGGTCCAGCCTGGAGAGCCATGAGGCAGAGGGGGAGTGTGCAGGTCTAGTGCAGGCCTCCGGCCCCCCTCCCCACGCCGCAGCTGAGGCTCCCGGCGGCCACGGCCTTGACCCAGCACTATGGACTTCTCTGACATTGGCATCGGATCTGAACATCTGGCAGCAGGCTGATAAGGGGTGCAGCGGAAACAGCCTCTGCTGCTGCCAGCAGGCCCGCCCCCTCCGCTGCCTGGAATGGGGAGCAGGGTCTCAGTCTCCATCCCCCCTCCAGCCCCAGGGCCCTGCCCCTCTTTTCTCATTCTCTGCTTCTTCTCTCTTGAATCTCTGTCCTGATGGATTCGTATCACATGCCACCTCCCTGCCCATCTTTGGGTCTGTTTTGCTATCACTGTGTCTTCCTTTTTTCTTTTTCATTTTCTGCTTTGGTCTTTCTATATACCTCCCCTCTTTCTGGCTATCAACACTGGAGCCCTACTGCAGCCCAATAACTCTGTTCCTCTCTCTTCAGTTTCAGTTTCTGGGTCTCTGACTTATTTATCCTCTATTCCACCTCCAGGAAATAAGCCTGGCACTTTGGGGAAGTCCCTGTTCAGGAGTAAGATTCTGGGCTTTGTTTGCCTGGGGTGGGGGCAGCTCAAGTCTGGACTATACACCCCTTCTCTTCCTGGTGGGTCTCATGGCCTGGACCACCTGGGCTGGATCTTGAAGGAAAGGACAAATGGACAGGCCACCCAGGACTCTGGCAGGGTGGAGAGGAGTCTGATCCTGCAGGCCTAGCTCTGGGTTCCTGTTGGCTGGCTTTGAACACTGAGCCCATCACCCCTGCTTTGTGATTTGGGCCCAAGTCCTCATCTCTCAGGTGCTGTTTATGATGGGGAGCGGAGGCTACTACTCCTACTGCAGGATGGGGTGAGGATTTGAGACTAAGCACAGGTATGGATGGAGTGGCTCTGGGGACCCAGCACACATGGGTGTGTTTGTGTTAGGGGAGCTGTTCTATGCTGGCAGTGCCCAGGCCCCCTCCTGGCCCTGTCCCCTGGAGTACAGGAGGGCCAGTGAGGGGAGGGGAGCAGTGGCCCAGAGGAAGGGGGCTGTGGCAACATCCAGCATCAATTCAGGGATGAAGAGCACCAGCCTGCATGGTGGCAGTTGAGGGAGGCAGCAGAGCCTTGTGCTACAGGCAGCACACAGGGCCTTCAGTGCAGGGACAGCAGCCATTCAAGAAACACTGTCCCATTCTTGTCCTGTGCTGGCCGCCATGGACCCAGAAAGAAATCAGGCCTTTCCTTGAGGGTTCCCCTCTCCGAGGTGAATCATCGGTCACAGAAGGGCAAGCGGCACTCGGCACGATGGAGCAAATTCAACACAGACCCAGAAGCCAGGCCTTCTGCCCGTGGTTATTTGTGTTTTGCTGACATTTACAGGGAATACATGAAATACCAGGCAGCCACTTAGTATGTGACATGTGCCTCACGCTGTCCCCACCTTATCGGGAAGACTTGAGGCCTAGAACAGGGACACAAATGGTCCTGGGTCACAAAGCCAGAAGTAACGGAACTGGGATTTGATCTATGTTCTGCCAGTGATTCAACTTCCGAGGTCAAGGACTCACCAGGAGACCAAACCTAGCCTGGTTATTTCTATGGCATCGTGACATTGAAAGAGGACATTTGTCTTGCTTAAGAAGACAAGAAAAATGGACTCTACTTCATAAAGCTCTTATCAAAAATCAAGCAAAGGATCAGGATTTTGTTGTTACGGTGTATAACGTATTGGTGATATGGAATATTTATTGGCATATTTCTTTGTCAAATGAGTAAATGAGTGATAAAAGTCCTTAATTCAAAAAAAATCATTGAATTAAAATGGATAAAGCTAAAAAAATAAAAATGAGAATAGAAGAATAATCAAATGAAATAAACAAGGACCTAAGAAGTACATCGTGTGTTAGGTGAAAAAGATGTGACTATTAGACCATGCATGTTGGAAAATAAATTATGTGTTATGTTGTAAGTGAAATTAGAATATAATCAGAATAAATTATGAGTAGCAGTAAACTGATTTTTTTTTTTTTTTTTGTACCGAGGATTGAACTCCCAACCCTGTGCTTGCCAGGCAGGCGCTTATACCACTGAGCTAAATTCCTGGCCCAGCAAACTGATTTTTACATGCTCGTGATTTTAAAAATTAGTAGCATAATTAGGAGAAAGACATACTACATTTTAAATATAGTTGGTTTGATGATTATTAAGAAAAACCCTCCTCATCCCAAGTGAAGCGTTTTGTGCGGATTTTCCCATTTTCCTCAAGTGAAGGAGTAGGCTGCGCACAGCACCGTGCAGCAGGGGTTCTTAGCAGGCTGCCCTTGGTGGCCCTGTGCCCCTCCTCATCAGGATGCATGGCTGGGAGGTAAGCCCTCTGGGGACAGGCTTCCTCTCTCTCTCTTTCACTGCGTGAGCCCCTGGGCTGAAACAGTGCCTGGCGCCCAGAACACCCAGTAGGAGATGAAAACATAATACACAGGGGAGCATGTCGAGCATGGAACAGGTACAGGGCTCAGCAATCAGGGCTGGGCAACCTGGAGACTGGACAAACAGTGCAGGCTGGGGGGAAGGCTTGGCCTTCCTGACCATATCCCCTTTGCTCCTCCCAGCTCTGTCCTGACCTGGCTACCACTTGGTGCAGCCTGGGGCCACCACATCTGACCACCTGGCTCCACAGGCATAGCCAGCCTCAGTTTCTGCACCAGGCCTGGGAATATCCACAGCACGGTAAATGGTGACATTCGGAGAAGCCAATGTTGACTGCATGTATGAGGTATCTGTCAGCTCACCTGCCGACCTCTGCCCTTCCTTCACCTTCGGGCAGAGTAAAGGACTAGGCCAAAGCCACCACCTATCCACCTGGTCCATCTTGTCGGTCCACCTGGCCAGGTTATCCAGGCCCCTGCCTCCACACTGCCCACCCCAATTCCGCTCCCATGTCTGGGCTGAGCCGGACCCACGCTAGGCCAGGTCTCAAGGAGGAAGCCATTCATGGGGGTGGGGGAAGAAGGCCGGCTGCAGGCCGGGTGGGGGAGCAGCCCATAAATCAGGTCCCACTCCCAGCCAGTCCCTAACAAGCAGGCTGCTACCCACCTCCATGGGGTCCCTGCCTCTGGGCTCCCACAGTTGGCCTGGAGCAGCCAGCTGGCCAAGGCCTTCAGAGTGCCTTGGCCTCTGCCCCCACCCGCGGCCCCCAGATAGATAGGGGTAGTTTTTTTTTCTTTTCCTTTTAGGAGAAGAGAAAAAAAAATAGATCTAAATGAAGAGAAACACCAACAAAGGAGGAGAGAGAGGCCTGCGGAGTCACGTGGGGGCAGAGACCAATTGGGCCTCCGGTAGCCCCCCCCTGGCGGGGAGGAGGAGGAGGACGACGGACAGGGCCAGTTTGCTGTCCGCCCGCCGCCCACTGTGGTGGGAAGGAGTTCCTCCGTGCCCACGGCCACCATTGCCCACCTGGGCGGCCGGAGCCTCCCTGCCCCAGCCCGTGCCCGCCGTGCACCCTCATCCGGTGTGAGAGCTCTCCTTCCGCTCCGTAAGTGAGGGCCTGGGCCCAGGCCTCTAATGCCCAGCCTCCCCCTCAGTGCCTCCCTCTGGCCGGGGCCGGCCACTGCCTGCCTTGGGGAGTGACCGGTGCCCACTGCTCTGGGCAGGGAAGTGGCCAGGGGTCTCCCCAGACCTGCTCTCCTAGCATGGTATCCCCTCTTCTTCTCAGGCAGCTGATGGGAGGAGCTAGGCCTATGGCGACAGACCCTGTGGGGTCAGTCCCAGTGTGTCCCGCTGTCTAGTGGTGTCTGAGTATTCACCCGGGGGTGTTGGCTGGAGCCTGGTGGGCTGTGCATGTTTGCGAGTCCTCTCTGGGCCTTGGGGTCTCTTTGCTCTGTGTGTGCTATCTTTCTGGAGATAGCCGAGTCTGCACGTATGTGCGGTGTGTCGCCAGCGTCCATCTGTCAGGCGGGTTGGTGGGTGGGCCAGGGTCTCTGGTTGTGACCCTGGGCATCTGAGTGAGCAGCTGAGTCCCTATGTGGAACTGAGGGGGCACAATGGAGCCATGGGCCTCCCAGTCTGGGACAGAAGGCCCTGGGGAGGGGGGCAGAGCTGGCTCAGAGCCCAGCCCCCACCCACCTGGGCCCCCAGGTCAGACTTGTGTCTGTGCTGCTGGGACCCCCGGTGGACCCTACTGCAGAGAAGCTCCATATCTTCTTTCACTCCCCCACAGCAATAGGGGGTGCGTTCTGGGTGTCCCTTCCTGAGGGCTCCTCTCTGACAGTGTCATTCAGAGGCAGAAGTTGCCCCCATCTCCAGCTCTGACACAAGCCTGCTGTCCTTTCTCAGGAGGCTGAGTGGGGAATTTGCCACTAAGTCTTCTCTGGCTGTCTCTCCTCCCAGGTCACCGAGATTGTTCATGACATCTCAAAGACCCCATCTGTAGGGCCTGCTTCCCATTTTACAGTCTAAGAGGAGCAAGTGATTTCTTAGAACTTGCACAGCCAAGGGGCTGCAGAGTTTGCTCCTCATGGTGGGATGGGCTGTGGGGTGATCTGCAGGGTTCTGGGGGCACAGGCAGGACACAAGGCATCGGCTCCTTTTCCAAAAACCCCAGGCATTCTCCAAATGCCACCACAGGACCGAAACTTGCTGGCCCCACTGTCCCAAGCTCTCTCTGACCCAGGGCCGAGGCAGGATAGGTGTAGGTGCTGTCCTCCTTCCTGCTTCAGTTTCTATGCCAAAGAACAGGAGCCCAGGGCTGTTCCCCAGCCCAGGACAATTGCTCTGCTCATCCCAGCCAAGGGCTCCCTTTGTCTTCCAGTCCCAGCTCTCTTCCTTCTACCCAGGTGGGGACTTAGGGGGCTGTAGGTACAACCTCCCACTCTGCTCTCCATCAGTGTCCAGAATCTTTCAGAGTAGGATTTTCAGGATTCCCATGCAAGTATGGCTCATGGAGAGGGGTTCGAGCCTTCTCCTGTCAGTCAAGGGCTTTGCCACCAACTCTTCTGCCCACCCTCAACTACCCTCAAAGAAGAGTGCCCATCACCCCACTTCACAGATGAGGAAACTGAGGACTAGAGAGGGACAGATTTGCCTCCAACTCGAGTTAGAAAATGTGGCTGGGCAACGTTAGAACCTGGTTTTCAGCCTTCAACTCCTGCCTCGGACCCCCACGGCCCCACACTTGCCCTCACCCACTTCCACATTGCAAAACGGCCAGTGTCCCCAGCTTAGCTCTGGCCGAGACCAAGCCAGACCTACACGCAGGAGCTTGCCTTCTCACAGTACAGGGGGCAACGGGTGGCTGAGGCGCCCCTGAGCCCACCCAGCGGACACCTGCCCAGATTCAGGGCACTCCCGGGCCTGGGGTACGCCACAGATGGGGGCCGATGGGTGAAGGTGCAGCCAGGAGCAGGCGGGGGCGGGCAGGGCGCGGGCCGGGCTGGGGGAGGATGCGGGCCGGGCTTCCGCCCCCGGATACCGCACGCGTCCATATAGCGCGGCCGCCGGCCGGCGCCGGTTCGCGCAGCGCGCAGTGGCGGCAGAGGGCCCGGGTCCCAGGTGCGCCTCGGGCGCCGCGGGGAGAGCAGGGCGGGTGGGCAGCGCCGAGGCCCCGCGCGCACCCCGCGCCCCCGCCTCCCCGCCCGGCCCGAGCGGCAGTCATCGCGGGCGGCGCTGCGCCCGGGTGCGGCTCACAGCGGCGGCGCAGGGAGGTGCGGGGTCCGCGCAGGCGAGACGCGGGGCGCCGTCGCGCCGCATCTCGCGCCCGGGCCGCGGCTCTGCCTCCGCCTGCTCCCCGGGCCCGCCGTCCGCCGAGGTCACTGCTCCCTCCCGTGCCCGGCGTCTTGGGCTGCGCAGCTCTCCGGGCCGTCGCGGCGCCCTGGCTTTGTCCCTCCCGGCCAGGGACCCCGGTGGTGGCCGCTCCGCACCGTTGGCACCTGGAGCCGGGCGCCGTTGTTTTCCGCCCCTCGCGGCGCGGCCCCCCGGCCGGTGCACTGCGCGGCCCGACCCCCTGGCCGGGCGCCTCCCTCTCCAGGGTTCCTCTCCGAGTCTCTGCGCCCCTGCACCGCGGGGTCCCTGGGGTCGTGGCCTCGCCTTGTCTCTCACCGTGTCTCTGACTCTGCATCCCCCTCTCCAGGTTTTCCTTCGGGCTTCGGTCTCTCCGCGGCTCTGGTCTGTCTCTTTCGTTGTCCATCCATCCGCCGATCCCCATCCGTCCGTCCGCCTGCCATCAGCCACCCATCCACCCCTCCGCCGTCTCTCCACCCCGCCATCGTCCACCACCCATCCGCCCACCCGTCTCCGCACACCTCGCCTCCCCGGCGCCCCGACCCGGCCTCCTGCGTCCCTGTCCCCGCTCGCTCCCCGCGGAGCAGCGTCGGTCGGGGTCCCTGGCTGTGGTCCCCGCCCGCCGTCGCTGCTCCCCCCGACCGTCCCTGCCGCCCTGTGTCTGCCGCCTCCCCACTCGACCCCGGTTCCCTGGGCCTGTCTCCTCGGTTCCCGAACCGATCTCGTTTTTTCTCAGAATCGGGGTTTTGTTCTCAGACAAACGAATCCGATCGAAGCGCCTGGGACCCGAGGGCCGGCGGTCGGGCGATCGGGCGTGGAGGCGGCGGCGGCGGAGGCGGCAGCGCGGGAGGAGCCAGGAGGGCGGTGAGCGGTGAGCGGCGGGGCCTGCGGGCCAGGTCGCTGTGGTCGTCGTTGGCGTTCCCGGCGGTGACCGCGCCTCCCTCTGCAGGTGGACGCCGCGGGCATGGACTATTCGTACGACGAGGACCTGGACGAGCTATGCCCGGTGTGCGGGGACAAGGTGTCCGGCTACCACTACGGGCTGCTCACGTGCGAGAGCTGCAAGGTGAGCGGTGAGCGGCGCCCGCAGTGGCGGAGCAGGGGGCGCGGGGCGCGGGGCGCGGGCTCACCGTGCCCCCCCTCCCGCAGGGCTTCTTCAAGCGCACGGTGCAGAACAACAAGCACTACACGTGCACCGAGAGCCAGAGCTGCAAGATCGACAAGACGCAGCGCAAGCGCTGTCCCTTCTGCCGCTTCCAGAAGTGCCTGACGGTGGGGATGCGCCTGGAAGGTGGGCCCAGCCCGCGACCTCCGACCGGGCCAGGGGAGGGAGCAGGGCCGGGCGAGGGGCTAGAACAGTGGCCTGAGAAGTTTCTGGGGCCAGGCGAGTGGCCCGAAGCTGTGGCGGGACGCGAGGGAGGGTCGGATGTTTTGAGGAGCGGAGAGAGTGAGGAAACAGGCGCTGGCTGGGCCCAGGGCCTGGGGGAGCGCGATGCCTGCGGGCCGCTGGCCTGGGTAGGGCGAAGGATCCAATACCGAGCCCCAGGGGGGCTTTCCACTGCCCAAAGGGGCCCAGCACGAGACAGCGCCCCCGACCGACCCCGCACCCCAGCACTACCCACCACGCAGCCAAAGCTTGAATCCCTTTACCTGGCAAGTCCCAGTGCCACCGGGTAGACTGGGGACAGGGGTGCACTCCTTAACCTCCGTGAGCTATAGATTCTCGATCTGAAAAAAAAAAAAAAAAGTGGGGTAGTGCCTGCCTGCCTGCCTGCTGGGGGTTTCTTGAAAGACTGAGGGAAAGCAAGAAAACTGAAGGTGCTGGTTTGTGGTAAATACCGCACAGCTTGGCTATTTTTCTTTTTCTTTTTTCTTTCTTTCTTTTTTTTTTTTTTTTTTTTGGTCTTTTTCATTTTTATCGGTACGGGGGATCGAACTCACGACCGCCTGCTTATGCCGCTGAGCTAAATCCCCAGCCCCTACTTGGCTATTTTTAATATCACTGTGTTTTGTATTATTGTCCACGTTGTTGTCTAGTCTGTCTATCCAGCTTGTCTGTCCACCTGAAGGGTCCCTCAGATCATCCGAGAGCAGTGGGTGAGATTCCTTCAGGTTGTGTTCTCAGCCAGGCAGGTCGGGAGTGGGAGTCATGGCTGGGGACCCAGGGCACCTCTGCCTCCCACCCCCATTTTCATCCAGGGAAGAGGGACCATCGGGAGAGACCAGCACAGCTGTTAGTTAAAGTTTTGTGGGTTTTGGCTACAGTTTTTGAACAACAGAGATGAGTCTCTGAGGCCATGCACCGAGTGCAGGGTCTCTGGATTCAGAGACACCCTGGCTTGTCCACAGACCCGACATCCCTATGTCCTGAGGGGCCAGAAAAGCTGGTGGCCGCCAGAAGGTGTGTGCATCACTGAGGCTCCAGCCTTTGCCTCTTTCCTGCTCTCTCTGCCGTCCTGTCTCGGCAGGAAAGGGGGCCCACAGTCCAGCTGCAGAGATGCACCTGTTGGGACACCTGTGGTGACATATTCTTGGCCAGGCAGAAGGGTACCTGGTTAGTAAGGAAAGTTTGCTTCCCCAGCACGAAGCCTCCACCAGCCCCAAGCTTTGCCTCACACCAATGCCAGTGCCACATTGTTGTAACCGGCTCAGTGTCAGGCAATCAGCTGATAACCAGCTGGATACCGGCGACCCTCTTTGAACTAAGCTGACCAGGACCCTGTTCCTGCCACTATGTTCCTCCCAGGAGCCATCCCCTGAACCCAGAGCTGAGCCCCAGGAGATCTGAGCCGGCCACCTAAGAGAAGAAACTACATGTGTGTGTGAGGGGGGGAGAGGGGGAAAGTTCACTCAGCAAGACACTGGGGGCAAGGACAGTAAATTCTGCATGGGTGAATCCAGGATTGCTTCCTGGAGGTGGTGACGCTGAGGCACAAGGAAAAAAGATGGATTTGTGAAAGAAGAAATATCAGAGCAGGGAGAGGAAGAAGTGCCAGTGGAGGAGTAGAGTGAGTCAGGGAGGGAAAGGGCTGCAGGCCTCACCACCGGGAAGTGGAGTGGGGCCCTGAATGCCAGGCTGAGGAGATGGACCTCGCCTGCTCACTCAGGCAGTGGGAGCAGGGGAGCGGCCCAGATCTGTTTGGGAAGATCTGCGTAGGGCAGGGTGGAAGTTAAGTGTGGCCCTCTGCTCCTGCCCACAGCCGTGCGAGCTGACCGCATGCGGGGTGGCAGGAATAAGTTTGGGCCCATGTACAAGCGGGACCGGGCGCTGAAGCAGCAGAAGAAAGCACAGATCCGCGCCAACAGCTTCAAGCTGGAGACAGGACCCCCAGTGGGGGTGCCCCCCCCACCCCCTCCTCCTCCGGACTACATGCTGCCCCCTGCCCTGCAAGCGCCAGAGCCCAAGGGCCTGGCATCTGGGCCACCTACCGGGCCCCTGGGCGACTTTGGAGCCCCTGCATTGCCTATGGCTGTGCCTGGCACCCACGGGCCACTGGCTGGTTACCTCTACCCTGCCTTCCCCGGCCGGGCCATCAAGTCTGAGTACCCAGAGCCCTATGCCAGCCCGCCGCAGCCCGGGCCACCCTACGGCTACCCGGAGCCCTTCTCAGGCGGCCCAAGCGTGCCTGAGCTCATCCTGCAGCTGCTGCAGCTGGAGCCCGAGGAGGACCAGGTGCGGGCTCGAATCGTGGGCTGCCTGCAGGAGCCAGCCAAGGGCCGCCCCGACCAGCCAGCACCCTTCAGCCTCCTGTGCAGAATGGCGGACCAGACCTTCATCTCCATCGTGGACTGGGCGCGCCGCTGCATGGTGTTCAAGGAGTTGGAGGTGAGTCCTTCTCCGCCCACTCGGCCGGCCCTGCACCCTCTCGGCAGCCCACACTCTGCCTCCGAAGGGCTTCCGGTGGTGCCGGTGCTGGGCAGGGAGGCCCCTCTAGGACGCTCAGGAGCCTTCCTGGTCCCTTGAAGCCTCCCGGTGCCCCTCTGAGCCCGGCCCACTCCTGTTCCTCCCTCTCCCTCCTCTGTGCCTCACTGCCTCTGCTTCTTTGATCTCTGCCTCTGCCTCTGTCGTCTCCTCCCCACCCCTTTGCTTGTCTCTGCTTCTGATTGTATTTTGTTTTGGTACTGAGATTACGTCCCCATCCCCTTTTATTTTGAGACAAGATCTCACTAAGTAACTGAGTTGCCCAGGATGAACTCAAATTTGTTTTGTGGTCCTCCTGCCTCATCCTACCAGAGAGCTGGGGTTACAGGTGTGTGCCACCTTGCCTGGCTTATTTCCGGGTTTTCAAACAGTCTCTGGTCCGAGTCTCTCTGGGCACCCCTCTCTTTTCCTGAAACCCTAGGATCCCTGAAAGAACTACCTGGATTTTATCTTATCCATCAGAAGCCCAGCCCAGTGTCAGGAGGGGATCCAGCCTACACTGTCCTCCCATTCAGGGAGCCTGCCAGTCCCGTCAGCCTCAGATGTCAGAGACCTGCCGCTTGGTCTGAGTTTGGGACATGTGTGAGCCCCCTCCTCCCCAGCTGGGATGAAAGATCCTGCTGGCCTGCACCATCTCTGGTGTAGGGTAGTTGCCTCAGTGTGTGTGTGTGTGTGTTTGTATGTGTGCAGGGGGAGTGCAGTGGCCAGTTGAGTGGCCTCTACCTCAAAGCCATTTTCCTCCAGGAGTAAGGTGCTTGAGACTACAGGAAGCAGGACAACAGGAGGAGAAACTGAGGCCAGACATAGGAAAGAACTTTCCTTCCACCTCCCCTAGAGGGGCATAGGTCCAGAGACCTGAGAGCTGTCCCTTCGGTCCCCTGGCTCCCTGTGAAGCCTCCCAGCAGCCTTAAATCTCTGGCCAAGGCCCATTGACCTGGCCTGCTGCAGTTGCGATCCCACGCCCAGCCTGGGATCCCTGGTCTTTTTCATTAAGGCTGCTCTAAGCAGTAGAGCCATAGCAGCCTTGAGCACCGTTGTAGGTACTGATGCCAGCCAGACCTGGGCTTCCACTGGGCTCTCTGCCAGATGGGCCAGGGGCCCCGTGCACCCTGGTTGGCAGAGAGGGGGAACAAGGTGGGCCTCGGACACTGTGAGACCTAGGGCAACATAGGGTCCCTGCGGCTGTCGGGGTTCTGGGAGCTGGGCACTACTGGTGGTTGCTTCAGCACTACTGTGGAGAGCCTATCGTGGCTGAGGCCTGGGCACCATATATGTCTATACCCCAACCCCTCCCACTGGCCCTCTCCGGGCCCAGCTTACCGATGGGGTGGAAGGCAGGCATTGGACGCTCCCCTGCCTTCTATGCCACTTGGGCTGAGGACCCCAAGGCCTGAAGGGTGGTTGCCAGCTTCCCCTGCTGACTTCCCATGGAGACCCTGTGCAAAGGGGAGGAGCAGCAAGCCATTCCCAGCCTCCAGACCCTGGATGCAGAGGCAGGGCACTTCCTCTGGCTGCCTTCCTGGTGTCTAGCGGTTTCACACAGGATGGGAAGGGCTTTTGTCCCATGTTTGCTGAGTGTTTTTTCCTGCTTCTGGCTTCTCGCACATGGTAGTGCTAGGCTGGGGACACCAGGACGAGCTGGACCCAGGAAGCTGCCAGACTAAAACAGAAGACAGACATGCGTAGGTGATGCCAGTGCAGGGTGCCCAGGCTGTCAGAGCAGGGGATGGGGCCAGAGGCATTGAGAGAAGGTTAAGTGCATTCCAGGCAGTGGAAAGAGCACAAGCAGGGACCCAGAAATGGTGGCCCCAAGAGACAGACTAGAGAGCTGGTGGAGTCAGTGTGGAGTGGGAATGGGCCCTGGGCAGAGGATGATGGGGCCCTGTGCTCTTTCAGGAGCCCACCTGGCCCTGCAGATGCCCACCTGGCCCTGCAGATGCCCATGACATCTTGCTGCTCAGGGGAGGCCAGGCTGGCTCATAGCTGGACTGTCAGGGACATGTCTTAGCCAGGCCCGGGTTCCACTGGCGCCTTTCCCACCTTCATCCACTTCCCCAGCTGAGTCTGCTGTGCCTCTGTCTGTGTCCCCACCTCCCACAATCAGAGCAGGCATAGAAATGATTACTGAAGACCAGAGTCAGAGAGACCTGGTGCTGAATTCCACCTCGCTCCTTAGAAGCTATGTGCGGTGGGGCAGGTGACTTTGCCTCTCTGAGCCTCAGTTTTCTCATGTAGAAAATGGGAGGAGTTTAAATAATTCCATTCCTGGGGTTGCTGTGAGGGTTTCATGAGCTCAGATGGGCCAGGAGCAGCATAGGGCACCCAGGAAGGGCCCTTGGTGGCCTGTGGTGCTGTCCTCATGGTACCCTGCACTGTGCGCTTCAGTGCACACCTGCAGGCTGTGCCCAGACCTGGCTGGGAAGAGAGCAGGCGGAGGTTCATGGTGGACCCCATAATTCTGGGCCCTTGGTGCCCTGGGCTCCTGCAGCACCGTGCCAGAAACTCACCTTTCCCTGCTGCTCAGCGGGGCAGGAGCCAGGGGTACTCAGCTCCTCTGGACAGTTTCGGAAAGGACAGGCCAGGAGGAGGGAGGGCAAGGTTGCCAGGGAGGGGAGGTGTCTGATGATGCTGCTTACCCTCCATGTCCCCTCAGAGGCCCCTGCCGGCTACAGATCTAATTCTCCTGCTCTGTAGTTCCCTTTACGGCACAGTAACCCTGTCTATCCCAGCTGACAAATGGCAGTCCCACGACACTCACCCGGGGAATGCCATGGCCAGCCTGTGGCATGTCAGCCCCTGGAGAATTACTGAGCCCCTGGCCTTCGGCTGCCAGATGGATGAGACCCCAGAAGCTCCCCTGGACAGGGCTGGGGGAGAGGTCGGTGTGGCTCCCATAAATACCCAGCTGGACACCGGCTGCAGAGTCAGGACTCTGGGGAGATTTGTGGCTGTCCTGTGGGAGGGCTGGGCCAGACTGGTAGGGACCCCAGGTCCTGGACTGCAAATGTCCTTGTCCCCAGGGTGACAGGGGGCCTGATGGCAGGGAGGAGGCATCTTGAGAGTAAGGAGAAATATTTGGGAGGAAGAGACCAGCTCTCCGGGGTTCAGCAGGCTTTTGGTCACCCACTTTCCTGTAGAGATAATTAGGAGCTGCAGCCCTCTGAGTTTTTGTGCAATAAAAAGTTATGCATGTGTGGGCTGGAGATTTAGCTCAGCGGCATAAGCACCTGCCTTGCAAGCAGGCAGTCGTGAGTTCGATCCTGGTACCGATAAAAATGACAAAGACAAAAAAAAAAAAAAAAAGTTATGCATGTGTGTGTGTGTGTCTGTCTGTGTGTGCATGCACATACAGTGCTCATCATTTGCAGTATCTGTGTGTCCACCTGTCTTTCCCAGAAGGCAGGAAAGTTTGCCTGGATGACAAGTGGGGCAGCAACCCTGGGAGGGCAGACCATAGGTGCCCGTTGGGGTGCTCTATGTTTTCTGTCATCCAGAGAGGGAGGGATAAACTCTCCCATTGTGCAGAGCAGGAAATGAAGGCTGAGGAGGACGAGGTGATGGCTGGGGGCTTGCATGGAGCACGGTGTCTGAGCTCGGGCACCACCCCGCAGTTCTCTGCTGTGGCTGCCCCGTGGGCCCCTGAGGTCCTGGACAGTGTCTGCTCCCAGAGCTGGGCCAGCCGGGTCATTATGACCCCTCTGCTTCTCCCTAAGCTCAGCCCGATTATCTCCTAATTCCGCCTTATCTCCCCTCTCCTACCCCTTCCTCCAGTGTGGGCACGAGGGTGTCTGCCCCAGGCTTGCCGTGGGTGAGGGGCAGAGCCCAGCCCCATGCAGCCTCCGTCTGGGTCATACAAGGTGGACCTGAGTTTTCCTTGTCTACACTGAGCCTGGGGCAGGCACCTGCCACCTGGGTCCCAGGGTCCCCCAAAATGGGACATGTGGCTGCGTGTCACGTTAGGTGAGCAGTAACTGGGGGAGGGGAGGCACAAGCTCCCAAGGGTAGGCGCTCCCCATGCCCTGCCTCCATCCCGGGGGCAGGGGGGAGGCTTGTGCTTCAGCTGCATGGGGGTGGGCGAGGCCAGTTGGGGCATAGGGGTTCCCTGGCTGGGTTTCTGTTTGACAGTGGTGGGCCTCTGGGCCAGGGAGAGGTCGTGGTGAGGCAGGACAGATGGGAGGCTTTCCTTCTGCTTCCTGGTGGGCCTGGCTGGGTAGGCTGAGGCAGGCATATCCCAGCTGTACCTCCAGCTGCTCATTTCTATCAGCACCTTCTTGCTCCTCCCAGACACAGGCCCCAGGGATCCCCGTGGGAGTGGGGTATCTGTGCCATAGAAGAAAACCTGGGCCAGGTTCCCTGGGGCCAGAGGCTGCTGCATTGCTGGGTTAGGGTTGGGGAGGAGCAGGCTGTCCTGCTAAGCTGTGTCTGCTCATCAGCCTTCAGGGGGCTTCCTGGAGGAGGCAGTGAGCCAGCAGGAGATAGCTAACTCCTGGATGACTGGAAGAGTGGGGCCAGGTCTTTTTTTTCCATTCTTGGTGGGTAAGAGCATGGCTCTGGAGCCAGGCAAACTGGTGCGAGCTTGGGACATTCCTTGGCTTGTGCTCTCCATAAAGTGACCAATAACTAGACCAATCCCATGGTGCTGTGTGGCTGCCATGCGAGGACTGTCTGCCAGTGCTTTTGGCTTCACTCCGAGGCTGGCTGTGACTGTGGGTGCTAAGTGCAGCCATGTCTGCCCTGCGCCTTCTGAGGAGGACTTGTGATGCCACTTTCTTCTGAAAGGCTCAGTTTGTCCCTGGAGATTGTGCACCTGCAGTGTTAGCCATGTCTCTGTCCTGGCTCTACCCAAGTCCCTGGCCCTCTCTGGGTACCACATTCTTCATTTGAAAAGGAAGCACTTGGGCAGGGAGTCCCTGGCTCTCTGTGGTTCTGGCAGAATCTGCCATTGTCACAAGTGTTCACCTCTGTTGGGTGTGGTGCCACACAACTGTAATCCCAGCACTCAGGAGGCCGAGGCAGGATTACCCCGAGTTCAAAGCCAGCGTGGGCTACATAGTAAGCTCAAGATCAGCTAGAACTACAGAATGAGATCTTGTCTTAAAAAAAACAAAAAATAAGGGCTGGGGATTTAGCTCAGTAGTATAAGCGCCTGCCTGGCAAGCGCAAGGTCGTGAGTTCAATCTCTGGTACAAAAAAATAATAATAATAAAATAAAACAAAAAGATGTCTACTGTAGCTATGTTAGAATGCAGTGACCCCACAGGCCCAAGGACACTGCACAGGGGCTGTCCCCAGCCCTATTGGGTGCCCTCTTCAGGATTGTTCCCACTTCAGTTGTCCAGCCACTGCCCTCCACCAACCACCCCTGTTACATCTGCCCACAGAACAGGTTGGCTTTCCAGTCTTCTCTGGGCCTGAAATCCCTGCAGTCGGCCCAGTGGAGCCCTCTGTGTGCCCCTCCAACCATGGCTCCTTTTGGAGTGGTTGTGGCTGCCAAAGTTATAACCCCAGACCAAATGCGCACCACCACGTTAATAAGAAGAATCGCCTTTCCTGAGTGCTTCGGGGTCATTAGCCACTCTCTCTTCCTGAGCGCCAGTGAGACCACTTGGTCCACTTCCCAGATGAGAGTGCTGAGGTGCAGAGAAGCTGGAGACTCGCTCGAGGTCATGCACGTTGGGAAGGGTGGGACAGGGCTTGAGGCCAGGTGCATTGGGGCCCCAAGCACCTCTGGTGCGCCTGTCCTTGTTTTGCTGGCCTCCTGCCACACCTGATGAAGTGGGCAAAGGGGCAGGCGGGCCACTCCCCTGCGTCGCAAACTGGGCTGTTTCTGATTTGAGTGCTGGGGAAAGAGGGAGGCCGTTTCCAGCTGGACTGTGTGTGGCCCTTCTCTGCAGGTGGCCGACCAGATGACCCTGCTACAGAACTGCTGGAGTGAGCTGCTGGTGTTTGATCACATCTACCGCCAGGTCCAGTACGGCAAGGAGGGCAGCATCCTGCTGGTCACCGGGCAGGAGGTGACCAACCCTGCTTCCAGAACTCCCAACCCTGACTTGGTCCCCAGCCTCCGCCAGGCTGGCTCCAGGTGTCCTGAATCCCCCAAGTTCAGGAGACATCCACAGGCCAAGACTCTGTGTGGCCAGCCCTGGCCTGGGGGTCTTCTGTGGTGTGAGATGGCCACGGAGGCTCTTGGGTGACCATGGGCCTCCTAAGGATGGATCCAAAAGAAAAATCAGAATTGGTAGAATAAGGTGACACACAGTGGGGCCAGCAGAGCGAGGCTCTGCGAGGGGCCTGGGGTGAGGGAGATGAAGCCGCAGGGCTGGCTGGAGGTAGCGGCCACGCCTTGCGGCCTGTGGCTCTGAGTGAATGCGTGAATGAATGAGTGCGCAGGAGGCTGCACAGCCAGAGCGGGAACCTGGGCCCCTGAGAGGAGGGAGTATGGAGGGACAGAGGTGGGAGACGTGGGCGGAGGCAGGAGGAGGCAGGATGGGAGGAAGTGGGGGCTGCACTGGCTCAGAGGCAGGGAGCTGGGAGGGCCCCCAGCTGGCTAGAGTTCGTGCGGGGGAAGAAGGAGGTGGTGGGGACCAGGGTCTGTCTCCCTTGTTGGCGGAAGACCAAGGCTCTTTTCCCTGCCATTCTCATTGTCACTTCTCACCCTAATGGCTCCGGCCATAGGGGACAGGAGGCAGGGACATTGGTCCTAGGAGAGTAACTTTGGGACACTTTCAAGTGCCAGTGTGGGGAGTCCAAGATGAGTGTCCATGCATGGGTCCAAGCCCCTGTGGCCACACAGGTGTCCTGTGCACGTACACACCTGTGTTTTATTGTGCAGACCACTCTGTACACCCAAGTGCGGATCACCATGCTGCAAGCCGGCATACACGCGTAGGCGTGTGCCCACATTGCCAAATGACCATCCAAGGGCCAGTGGGGTGGGTGTGAGCAGATGGTGCCCTTTGCTGCATGGCGCAGCAGCAACCCTGTGGATGCGTCTGTGCATGCGTATGAGCTGGGACCAGGCGCTGAGAACCAGTGTGCAGGGCAGGTGTGCAGCCAGAAGTCCTCTTTCTTGCTGGGCCTGGTGGCAGTCTGCTCCCCCCAGGTGCCCACCTGCCTGGTGTCACCTGCTGCCATCTGTGGGGAGAGCCTGGGGGCCCTTAGCAGGGGTGACCCAGACCAGCTGTAGGGCTGTGGGCACCCTGGATGCCGGGGCCCTGATCAGAGCTTCCTGCTGTGCCTTTGGCTCGAGCCCGTCTCCTGGTGCCTGGCCTCTGACTCTCTGACCCTCTTGCTGCCTAGGTGGAGCTGAGCGTGGTGGCTTCCCAGGCTGGCTCGCTGCTGCACAGCCTGGTGCTGCGGGCACAGGAGCTGGTCCTGCAGCTGCATGCGCTGCAGCTGGACCGCCAGGAGTTCGTCTGCCTCAAGTTCCTCATCCTCCTCAGCCTCGGTGAGTGGCTCTGACCAGGGCTGGGCAGGGGTGATGGCTGCTACCTGCCAGAGCTCAGGGCTTTGTCATGGCGCCCCGAGGGCCTGGGGCCCATCCAAGACTTGCCCTGCATGGGCTGTGGGGTGTGGACGAGGAGCCCTCCTGAGCATCCACCCCAGATTGTCCCACCCGCACAGAAATTGCTTTCTCTCCCCCAGCTCCCACCTACACGCCCTGCTTTCTGTAACCCCCGACCCACAGGCACCCACCTTCTGATCCTGAGCTCTGTGCGCCCAGATACCGTTGCCCATTCACTCATCACCCATCCATCCTGCAGACGTTTGTGGGGTCTGCACATGCAAGGCCCTCGGGAAGGACACAGAACAAACAGACCCCTCTCCCTGCCCCTCGGAGCTGACTAGGGACGGAGGTGACAGCGTCAGCATCCTGTGCCCAGGGACATTCAGGGGTTGGTGAAAGGCACGGTCAGGAGGAGGGGGACAAGGGAGAAGAAGGGGAAGAAAGCAGGGAACCGGGAGAGGGTGAGCCCAGCCCACCTGCCGCATCCTTCCATGCCTGCCTGCCACTTGTCCAGCCTGCACCCCCAAGCCTCCAGGCTTCCTGTGGGCTCAGCAACCACACTGCCCTGTGTCCAGTGATGCTGCACACATGAGTCTGATCCTTGCTTCCAGGTGCTCTCCGTTTGGGAGACACCCGCAGCCCTGGGTTTAGGGCTGGTGCAGAGAAATAGGTGTGGCTCAAGGAGGTGGGGTGATGACCAAGAGCTTGGCTTGGAAGGTTTCCTAGAAGAGGGCTCTTTGAGCAGGGTCCTGCAGGATAAGTAAGAGTTTTCTGGGTAGATGAAATCTTACAGCAGAGGAGTGATAGGGGATAGGAGACTCAGCAGAGAGGAGAGCTTCTCACCTAAGGGGGCAGGGTTGAGATGTCTCTGTGGCAGTTGCCATTGCAGTCAGTCTGACAAGGGGGTGCCTACCAGAGAGTGGGGGAGTGGGAGGTGTGGGAAGCAGAGGAGAAGGGATTGAAGAGTGGAATGTGGGTGTCCAGTGTGGTGGGGCTGGAGTGCCCGTGGGACTGCGGGTGGGGGACAGTGGGTGCATCCCTGACTGGCAGGACAAGCTGTCTCTTGCCACCTGCAGGGTCCCAAAGGGGTGACACAGTGGGGAGGGCCAGAGCTGGGGAGCCACTTTGAGCTCGAGGGCTCCTCCAGCCTGAGCCTGAGAGGCTACCCCCACGTGTGCCCCGTGTCCCTTGAGCTTCAGGCTGTGAACCCCGCACAGGCCAGAGCTGCAGGCTGCGTGGCTGGGGTCCCTGGGGGCCCATGTGTACATCTCCATGTACATCCATGTGCTGTGTACACTAGGCTTTCGTGGGTCACCTAGGAAGGATTGGTGTGCAACTGGGGGTGACAGGAGATGGGGAAGGTGTCGAATTTAGAGGGGTGGGCAGTGGTGCTTGGAGGAATTGGAGTGTGGGATCTGGAGGCCTTGGGTGATAGCATGGGGCGTTTTTTTTTGGTTTTTCATTGTATGGAGGCCAGGCCCCAGAGCCTTTGCACTGAGCTATATCCCAGCTCTTTCTTTTCTATTCTTTTTTTTTTTTTTTTTTTTTTTTTAAGTTTTAAAACAGGGTCTAAGTTGCTTAAATTACCCAGGCTGGGCTGGAATTTGCCATCCTCCTGCCTCAGCCTCCCACCATGCTGGAGTTACAGGCATGCTCCTCCACACTGGCTTCGGTCATAATTCTTGACCTGACTTTGTCAGGGGCCACTGTGGGATCTGAGGAGGGGCAGTGGAAGAGGGCCCATTTAGGCTTGGACTCCATCTGGGCACCCTCTGAAGAGCATGGTCCCTCTTCCATGAAACCCTGGTACTTGGGAGTGATAGTCCCAGCCTGGCACTGGCTGCCCTGTGGGGCCTTGGTGGCTCACAGTTGCCTGCCTGCATGTTTTTGGAGGGCATGTTTCAGGTTTGGAGGGGACTGAATAGGCCAGGAGAGTCAGCACCGGCCAATTCCACTTCAGCTATCCAGGAGGGCTTCTAGGGTGAGGTGAATCTGAGCGGGGTGTCGCAGTATGAGTAGAAGTGTTCTGGCTAAAACACAGACAGCAGCAGCATTAAAAGCTGTTTTGTACAGGTTGCTGGGGAGCCCTGAGAGCTCCGGGTTGGGACAGGCTGAGCTGAGCCAGGCCTTGGACGCCAGGCCCAGTTCCTTGAACTTTCCCTGGGGATGGACCAGAAGCTGGAGCAGCAGGATCTGATTTGCGTTTTATCAGTGCCCTCCCCACTGTCACCTGGGTAAAGGAAGGCAGGAGGGCGACGGGAGCCCCGCAAGAGGCCGGACGGGCCTGGGGTGGCTCGGATTTGAGTCTGGAACCGAGTGTTCTTCACACCATCCCACCCGGCCACCACAGCTAGGCTGCGAGGGAACCGGGAGCCCAGAGTGGGGTGCCGGGGCCCCGCGGGCGGGCGGGCGGGGCACCTCCCGGGGTGGGGCTGCCTGTCGCCCACCCAGCCCACCGCCCGGCGCCCGCGCGCTCTCCTCCTGCCGCCTCTGCAGAAGGGTGCCATTTGGAGTCTAAATAGCCGCCTCGGCGGCGCGGCGGCAGGTAAGGAGGTTTAATTAAAATTAGTGCCTCTCTCCTGGCAATCGCGGTGTTTATGAAGATGGGCCCGGCGGGCATTGTTCCGCCGAGGACTTAATCGAAGCTTAATGGATTGACCTAACATTCGATTTCCTGATTTCCATTGAGGCGCCGCGGCAGCATTCCCTTAAGCGTTTGCAATTTACCCACTGCTCCCCGCCAACAAAAGGCGGCCTCAATAGCAGCGGCACTCGAGGGGCCATTGTGCGCGGGGGCGCCTGCCTGAGTCACCGCTATTGGGACAACATTCTTTATGCCTCGCTGGAATGAAAGGATTATTCAAATATTCAATTAAACCGTGAAAAGGGGGCTTTTCTGAGATCCTGGGGGCCTCAGAGCTCCGCAGCGCTGGCGGGCGGCTCCCTGAGGTGGGGTGCCATCGCCCGGCCCTGCCCACTGCCCACCGCCCACCGCCCACCTCTGGGACTTGGGGCACTGAGCAGGCTGGGGACACGGGCAGCTCCACCTCGCGCTCCTACCCCACAGTGCTTGCAATCAGAGCTGGGCACATGGGGCAGGCCTAGCTCCCGGCTGCCTACGGGGCACAGATTTCGTTTATCCCCATTTTGCAGATGCTGGGAGACTGAGGCAGTAGAGAGGGGAAGTGACTTGCACAGGGTTTCCCAGCGGGTGGTGGAGCAGGATTGGAAGCCCCAGCAGAGTGAGCAGTGTCTCCTGGTGTTCGTGAGTCCCTGCTGTGTCTGAGGAGAGAAGGCAGGCACCCAATGTCTGAGATGTCCCGCCCCTTAAAATCTGCATAACGTGCTCCTGACCCATCAGGGGCTTGAGGTGAAGGGGTGGCGTTGAGTCCGGAGCCTACAGCAGCCTCTCCAGGGACCCTGAGGCCCCAGGTGTATGTCAGATTGGGTGTGAAGCTGGTCCTGTCTCCAGGTGTGGCTGAGCTGGCACTGATGCCCAGTGCTGTCCACCCACTGTGGTGGGCTTAGGCTCTGGAGCCCGGGAGACCTGGCTGAACCCCGCTGTGTAGCTCAGGCCTGCCCTGGCACTCTGAGCCTCGGGGTGCCTCTCTGCCACTCGAGCTTCTGTGAGGATTAGATGAGGAGTGCAAGGTATCTAGTGGGTGGCAAGGAAACGGGATCCCAGCTGTGGGGTGAAAGCCCCCAGGACTACGCCTGCATCCCCCGCCCTGTGGCTTCATGTGACTTCATAAGTCCACAGGGGGTCTCAGTCTCTGGGGAGCCAGGGGCAGAGGGTGTGGGGAGGGTCTGTCCCTGAAATTGTCCTTGTCCTGCACCCCCATGCCTCTCCACCCCCTGCCGTCCCTGGCATGCTGTTGCTGAGAACAGTAAATCCTGGTAAAGCCTAGGCCCCAGTCCTCCCTGGGCCCCACCCACCCCTGCAGCTTCTAGCCGCTCCTCCCCACCCCCCACTCTTCCTCTTGGCCCCTTCACTGCTGTGTGGCCTTGAGGTGATCCCTGTCCTTTTCTGGTCCTCCATGGTGAACTGTCAGGAGATAGTGTTAGGATACTTGCCTACTAGCCCCAGGAGAAGGGAGGACAGAAGAGACATGATTGATGTGGACAGGTCGAGGCTGGGATGGAGCAAATAGGCACCGTTTGCTTCTAGGAGTTCAGCCATCGAGATAGTTTCCTAAGATTTCCCTTTGATTGTTCTGGCCAGCTAAGTGAGGAGGGCTGCCAGGAACCGTTGAATGGGTTGTTCACTGCACAAGGGTTCCAAGGCAGGAAAGGGCTGGGAGCTGAAATCTAGCTGTACCTCTGCATTGGTACAAAGGTGCCTTGAAGGCTTACGGTGACCCTGGGGAGCGAGAAGGAAAACGACCCTGGCTCACTTTCCTGAGGGAAGGTGAGGAGGCCTGCCATATGACCTGGGTCCAGCTCGGGTTTCCCTAAATCCAACTTTGGACAACACAGGCCTCTGCAGGCGCACCGGGGGCGGTGGGGGATCAGGGTTGCCAGGGGCGCCAAGCTTTCCTGGCGCAATGGGTGTTAGGAGGGATTAGGGGACAGAGACTCCCCTGGAGCAGCAGGCCCGGGCCGCTGGTGGAGAGGGAGGGTTAGATGGCCACTTGCTGAGCCCCTGGAAGCCAACTCCCCTGGAAGCCAGGCTGGGACCAGGCCAGGGGCTGATTCCGTGGGCTCCTGGCGGGCAGGGCACTGCCAGAAGGTCAGTTTAGGGGTTGGGAAGCCTGAAAGGTGCATGCGACAAAGCCTTGGGGAAGAGAAGCCAGCCCTTGCTGCTGTCTCTACTCCTCCCTCCTGGAGGAGGAGGGTGCTGGGGTCAGAGTGGGCCGGGTGTCCACAGGGTCACTGCCCTCCGTGATGGTTTTTGGAATCTGGGTGCCTGTCGATGTGGTAGTTGCCCCCATACCTGGCTCTATTTTTGTTTTTGAGACAGGGCCATGATGTCGCTCAGGCTGGCCTGGAACTCACTATGTAGCCTAGGCTGGCCTCAAACTGAATTTACTGGGATCCTCCTGTCTCAGCCTCCCAGATGCTGGGATACAGGCATGTGCCACCACGCCAGGCTCACTTTTGGGTCTTGAGTGGACTCCAGTGCGAGATAAACTCCTGCCGCTCTGTCTGCAGTGACAGCCGAAACCCTTGTCCCTCTCACCGGAAATCGTTCTTGCCTATCTGCCAGGATCTTCCATAATGATCTGCCACACGTACCGGCATGATCGTGGAAATGGAACCCAGCGCCTCCCGCATGCCAGGCCAGCGCCCAGGCCCTGAGCGCGGCTTGGGACCCGAGTTACTGCGCGGAGCGGCGCTGTAGATCTTGCGCATGCGCTTCACCTTCCCTCTGGTCCGCCTCCACCTGGTGGTGTTCTCCCTGGCTGGCCTTGTGGTTTACCCCGGGGCGCGACCTCCATGACAGTCCAGGTCACGCCCTTGGTAGTTTGCACCCTGCTGTGGCGAACACTGTGTGCCCCATGGCCCTAAAGGGTGCTCCTTGGGGTGCTGAGTTCTTGCTTTGTCACGGGGGAACCCAGAGTGTTGTGACTACTACTGCCGGGGTCCAGTCCTTGGGTCTCATCATGTGTCACAACGTGTCCCTGAGCATTCCTCTGAGCCCATGCCTGGCATCCTCGAGACAGTCTGGCAGGGACTGTTGTCACCCCATTCCACAGATGAGAAACCGACTGCATGTTTCAAATGGCACACCCCGAGGCGCACCTGGGGAGGTTGGCATGGGTTCCTGGTGGTCATCAGTGTCCATTGTCACCATCGTGGCAGCAATGGTACAAGTGACGCTGATAGCCGTAACTGTTTTGGCTGTTGACAGCAGAGGTGGCCATGTTGGTGGAAGGCACAGGGAAGTCTGTTTGGATGACAGTGATGGTGGCGGTGTCTCAGCTGAGGTGACAATTTAGTGGTGGCGATACAGTGACAAGGGTCCCGTTACGGCAATGCCCTCGGCTTTGGTGGTTTCAGGGAAGGGGCTGCTGGAAGTAGCAGTGTCAGCATGGACCCAGCCTGACAGGGATGGGGATGGGACGGGGCGGGACAAGAGGGTGATGGAGCGCCTCCCTCCGCAGACGTGAAATTCCTGAACAACCACAGCCTGGTGAAAGATGCCCAAGAGAAGGCGAACGCGGCCCTGCTGGACTACACGCTGTGCCACTACCCGCACTGCGGGGACAAGTTCCAGCAGCTGCTGCTGTGCCTGGTGGAGGTGCGGGCCCTGAGTGTGCAGGCCAAGGAATACCTGTACCACAAGCACCTGGGCAATGAGATGCCGCGTAACAACCTGCTCATCGAGATGCTGCAGGCCAAGCAGACCTGAGCCACCAGCTGAGGCCCAGCCCGAGCTAGCAGCTGTGCGTGGGACGGGCAGGGCCTGGCTTAGGAGGTGGCCCTCACCGGCCGCGGCACTTGCCTGCCACCCAGAGTGCCCTGAGGAGGTGGCTGCCAGCCATCCCTTCCTTTCCCTGCTCCCAGCTTCTGTCCTAGAGGCTGAAGCACAGCGCAGGTCAGGGGAGGAGGTCGGGGCTCCCTGGGAGGCCTTGATGTCCTCCCTCCCCCTGTCCTGGAATCAGAAGCAAGGGAAGTTAAGTGAGCACCTGTGGGGGAAAGAGAGCGGGTCTGTAGATCCGGGTGGAGGGGAGGGGAGCCTTGTGTTTGTGACACTAGAAAAAAGTGGGTTTGCTAAATTGGGCAGGGGCTATTGGCTTTAGAGGAAAGCTGGACACTGGTGAGAGCCAAAGACCTCTCCCTGGCCCTCAACCCATCTCGCTTCTGCAGAGGCAGCTCTGGTCCTGGAGTTTGCTACAGTCGGCCTTCTCTCCCCACGCTCTGCCTCCCCCCACAAGGAAGGGCTTTGGTACAGTCCGCCTCCCACCGCTGGCTGGGACATTACTGCAAGAGTGTAATCAAGAGGGTTTTGCCTTTTTGTTTCCCAGTCTCCCGGATACTCTTCCAGGGTGTGTGTGCCAGAGGGCAGGGGTGGATTGGAGGACTGAGTAGAGATCCTGAGGGTAGGTTTCTTCCCCAGATACCAGTCCCCAGTACCCCGAGGTTGGGCGGGGCTGGAGGCCGGGTCATATTTCTGAGTGTCCTGCTACAATCCAGAGACCTGTGCCTCTCCTCCACACCATGAGGTGAAGTGCAGGGGCCTTTGGCACTGTGGGCAGAATATGGCTAAACCCGGGAGGGTGCCCAGGTCTCTGGAACGGCCTGCGCTGATGAGCCCGTCCTCAGGGCCCTGTCCCTCCTTGCCCTGTCCCGGCTGCAACCCTTGAAGCTGGCCCCAGCTCCCTGGCCTCCTCTGCTGTGCACCCTGCTTTCCCGTCGCTGTGGCAGCTTGTGCTGAGCCTGCCAGGTTGGACGAGGCTGGGCGTCCCTGCCCTGCTTTCCGTGGCCCTTTCTCAGCCCCCACGTCGGCCCCTCAAAATGCATGCCCCTGCCAAGGCCAGAGACCCACAGCTCCAAAACAAGAAGTGCCCTTATGAATCTCCCCAGCCCCTAAAGCCCTCAAATAAATTTTGCAATTAGTTTCCAGCTCCCTGTGCCGATTAGCAAGGCAGAAACCCCTTGGCGGATAAGGGAGGACTGGGGTGGGTGAAACTTGACTGGAATGGTGGTGTCACCCAGACAACCTGTGGTTCCAAACTCTGGGGCAGCAGGATGGGTCGTAGGTGCCAAGGTGAGGGGACATGGCACCGTGTTGGGTCCCCTGTGAGCACCTATTGCGTCCCCTCCTGTCCCTCACTCTCCCTTCAGCATCCCTGGAGCCACCCATGGAGTCTGATCCAGGAGGCGGATCTGCCAAGGGGCCTTCACCAGGGACCTGGGGGACATGCCCCGCTGAGTCCTCTTCAGCCCTCAGTCACCTCCCTGGATGCCTCCTCCCCTCCCCCAGGCATGCCAGGTGGGTGACATCAAAGATGCTTGCTTTGTCCCAGGCATCCAGGCAGAGGCCTCGCCTGCCTTGTCCTGCTGTCCCACGTGTTCCTCAAAGTCATTGGTGAAGGTGGCAGCCCTAGACGACAGGCAAGGAAACTGAGGCACAGAGGAGTGAGTGGCCCCTCCCAGACCACACAGCTAGGAAGAGATGCAGCCACTCATGGTGCACCGCTCCATTGTCCTGACTTACCTTGACCAACTTTCCGGCCACTCTTGGCCCTTTCAGGACCTGGCTTAGATGAGAGACAGTCTCCTCTAGGGGGAGATAGCATCGACTACTATGTTGGGGAAAAGGTGCCCCCCTGACCACTGCAGACTCTAGCAGGACCCCAGCTCCTGCTCCAAGCACTGTCCAGTCTCATAAAAGGAGTCTCTTGATCAGATATTAATTCAGTGCAATGTATCATGAAACAGATAAAATGAAGAAGTGAACTTTTTTATTCCTGGGGGACAAGAGAACAGACAGGAAAGTTTTATAGCTAAGCCACCATTCAAATTAGGTTTTGAAGGATGCCTAGGAGTTCACCAACTAGAGAGAGGTTGAGGTAGTCCAGCAGAAAGAACAGTATGAGGGCAAAGGGATGGAAGGAGGTCAGCGGGCAGTGTTTGGAGACTGAAGAAGGCATGTGCACAGGGGAAGGGTACAGAACAGAAAGGGGCATCTTGATCCCCTCAGCAGCTCTTTTAATTGGTTGTGGCAATATAGGAACCCTCCCAAAGAGAGGGGAAGGAGTCAGAGCACAAGAAAAGGCAGGCGGTCTTTGCTTCCTCCTCAGACGTTCAGGCCCCATGCTGGTCCCTCATGCTGCCCAACACTCAACGGGGCCACCCTGTTGGGACTGAGTGACCAGTTTGACCCACCCTCCTCCCAGCTTCTGCCATCTTCAGTCGCCGGGCAGGGACTCCACTGCCCTCTGGCTCCCAGCCTGGCATCCTCAAGACCTCAGCATGGTCTGCAGGCCAGGGCACCTTCCATACATCCTGGCTATGTGCCACAGTGACCAGAACGAGTTGCCAGAGCTTCTCGTCTGCTCGCTGTCCCCAAGAGGGGACTGAGACTCGGAGGGGAATCTCACCAGCCATCTCAGTGTTTGGTGGCTGGGCCTGGCCCCTCTGTGGTCACCTTGGAGATATCTTTCCCCTGCTCTTGTGCTGTGTGGCCAGAGGCCCCCAGGTCTGAACTTTGGAACTGGCCTCTTCCCCCCGGGAGGGCAAGGGCCGGCCTGCGCTTCCAACTCCAACCCCAGGGACCCACCAGGGACCAGGCTGTCCCAAAGCCAAAGTGGTTACACAGCCCCCACCCCTACCCCAGGCTAGCAGGACCCCAGACAGGGATAGCAGAGCCTCTACAGCACTGTTTATTACCAGACACGGGCAGGACGTGGGGCGAGGCTTGGGACCAGTCTCAGACAGGAGGATGGGGGACAGCGGGGTTGGGGACGAGCAGGCCCCACATGGGGGCGTGCAGTGGGCTGGTCCCGGCTGCTGGCCTCACTTGGGACGGCCAGCTGCATCTCACATCCAAGTTGGGGTTCCAGGATGAGGTCCCCAGGGCAGCTGCGCTAGAAACCTAGCGCAGGGGGTGGGGGGAATGTGGGAGGGTGTCAGCTCTTTGAATGGCTCCCCAACCCCAGATGGGGCGGGGGCTGGAGGGCACTTTGGTGGGGAAGCCCGGCCTGGGTCACCCCGACCAACTCCCCTCAGGGCCTCTCTGAGCCTCAGTTTCTCTATCTAAGGCCACATACACAGCCCCAAGGCTCCCTGGGCTTTCAGGAGGGGCGTGTTGGCACCGTGAAGGTCACACGATGGGCAGTTCCTGCTCCCTGCGCCTCTGCCTAGGTCCCTAGCGGGTCGCGGGGTGGTTGGGTGGGTGTGGAAGCTGGAGCGGCGCAAAGGCTGGGGCTGGGGGTCCGGAGGGTGGGGCCGAAGTGGAAGCGACTCCGTTGCTACGAGCGGCCCTAGCAACGCACCCATTCAGCAGAGACAAAGGCGCTGTCACTTGAGCGCAGAGGCACCGCGCGGCTCTTGTTCCGGCAGACTCAGCGCCCGCGGGTGCCGTGGGGGCGGGGTCCCCCCCTCAGATCGCCCCCCTCCCCCGCCGGCCCTGCGCGCCCCCTACCGGCCTGCAGGCCCAGTTTGCAGAAGGGGAAGCCGAGCCCCGGACAAGGGAATATGGGTCCGCCTGTGCCTACACTCACACCCATGGGACTGGAGCTGTGCCTCAGTTTCCCCATCTATGCAGGTTGGCCTGGCTCTGTTCTGAGCCAGGGCAGCACGCTTCCCGCGTCACTGATGCCAGGGGTTCGACAAGGGCGGGCCCCAGGGACAGCGCTTAGCCAGGCCTCTGGTCCCCACTGGAGCGAGAGGCTGGGCATTGTGGGTCTGAGACTGTGGGAACTCAACCTGGGAGTGGTGGTGCATGCCTGTCATCCCAGTTCTTTGGGAGGCTGAGGCAGGAGGCACTCACAAGTTCAAACCCAGCATGGACAATTCTGCAACTTAAGGAGGACCTGTCTCTAAATAAAGCACTCAAAGTGGGCTGGGGATGTAGCTCAGTGTGCAGGCCCAAGGTTCAATCTCCAGCGTGGGGTGGGGTACATGAGACTCGGGCTAAAGAGGCAGGCAGCAGGATCGCCGTGGCTCCCCCAGGCCAGGCCATCGCCCCCCCCCCCCCCAGCAGGGCCTGGCTTTCAGGCCCGGGCGGAGATCAGCACGGGGAAAGTTGAGGGAGGTCCGTGTGGCTGCGTCCCAAGTAACTGGCACTGGGGCTGGGTGAGGGTGTCGCCCCGAGTTAAGGGGATCACCTACCCGAGGCCTTGAACGCTGTCAGCTCCACGGCCTGAAGACAGAGGGCACAGCGTGGGCCCCCGCCCGGCTGCCTTGCAGATGGCGCCTCCCTCCGCCCGCTGGCCTTGGCATTCACTTCTGCCTGCGGCTCTCAGGCTCTCACAGCGGCTCCCGGAGACCGAGACCGAGGGCCCAGTCCCAGGGGTGGGGGAAGCCTGCTCCGCCTGAGCCCCAGACTCACCGGTCTCTCGGGGTCTGTGATGGAGGAGAAGGCTTCGGGGATCCCGGGGCTGGAGGCCGCTGGCAGGGGAAGAACCCGGCGCTGAGGGTCAACGCAAACCCCTCCGCTTCCCACCCTGCCGGGGCCTCCACATCAACTTCCCTGCTACCCCAGATCAGCGACAGGAAACAGGTCCCGCGTGGCATGCAGGAGGGGCAGGGGGCTGGACTGGCCTTGGGGTCACAACCCATGCATTCACCTGTGTGCAAGCCCCCGCACCCCCACCCCCAGGAGCTCACCCCACAAGCCTCAACTCTGGCTGGGCACCAAAGTTTCTCATTCCTCCAGGAGGTGGTAGTTGGGTTGGGCACAAGCTTCTTTTGTTTTTTAATTTTTGTTGTTGTTTTGTTTTTTGGTACTGGGTATCGAACTCACGACCTTGAGCTTGCCAGGCAGCACTTATACCACTAAGCTAAATCCCCAGCTACTTTTTTTGTTTTTTGTTTTTTTGACACAGGGCCTGAATGTGTAGTTTAGGTTGGCCTTGGACTCACTACTTAATCCAGGTTGGCTTCAAACGCACAGGGATTCTCCTGCCTCGGCCTCCTGATGGGATTACAGGCAGGCACCACCACTCCTGGCTCAACAAATCATTTCTAAGCCACTCCTCAACGCTGCAGAGTCTCTAGGCCTCAGTTTCCTTTTCTTTCAGACCAGCTGACAGGGTGTGTCACTGTCCTCGCGTCTCTGCCTGCGCCCCAGGGGAAACCGAGGTACGGCAGGGGGTGAGGCCGGACCTCTGAGAGCCAGGTGTCTTCTCGGAGGACTCCAGGCTGTGGGGCCCTCCTGGGAGCGCGTCTGGAAGGCGCGGGCGTGGGCGTCGGGTCCCCCGCGGGGCGCCGCGAGCGCTGCCTTCTTCTCTGTCACCCTCTGTAACGCGTTCCGCACCTGCAGGAAGGCGCCGAGGTCCGGTGGGAGACCCTCCTGCCCGGCCCCAGGCAGGCCCCGCAGTCTGCGACCTGGACTCACCTCCGCGTTGCAGGCGGCGTAGACCAGGAAGATGTAGGGCCCCTGGGGACAGACCCGGCTTCACTGCCCGGACCCCCGGCCACCCCACCCCGCCGCCGTCTTTCTGGGGTCGCGGCGCCCCCTAGTGGTCTCCGGGCATGGCAGAGCTGTAGTAGAGCCCTGCCGCTAGGGGGCGTCTCCGAACTGCGTCCCTTGAGCCCGAAGCACATAGCCCATTCCGGCAGCCCCGCCACCCTGCAGGGGCGGATCAGACACCTTCCGATAGCCCGAGGCCTTACCATCTGGCAAGGGGGATAGGCCGATTCCCCTTTTGCGGCGGGGAGGTGCTGCATGTGAGGGGCTCAGAGCTGCAGCCTCTGGGGTCCCCTGGACCCTCACAGCGGCTGCACGGGGTAGGGTGCTCCTTCCCATGTGATGGACAGTGGCCCTTTTGGCCTGGGGTAGGGGACACAGAAATGGGTCTCAAGCTGCAGCGTGGCCCAGCAGGTGGGATTTGGAGCCTGGGATAGAAAGGGCAGGGGCTCGTGCCCTGAGGCCAGGCCTGGGGGACACTGGGGTATAGGGACACCCTCCAGGGCTGGAAGCTGAAGCCCATGAGTTCCAGTTCCCAGCATCAACTGATAGACGCTGCCTTCACCCTCTGGCCCCCAAGATGGCTCCTGGCAACTCTTGCCCCAGAGCCAGCCTGTGCCCTCCCTGCAGCCTGGCACTGCCCTCCCTCCCAGTTCCTCAACCTGTTCACCCTTTCCAAACTGCTACCCAACTAATCTAGCACCTGCCTAGCACCCTCCATGGCTTCCAAGCAGCCCCAAGACAATGTCTGACCTTGTGACAGCTCTTGAGGGTCTTGCACTGTCGGGTGCCCACACACCCCATTTCTCACTTCTTCCTCCCCATGTTTACCCCAAGGTGCCATGGCTTGAGACTTTTTTTCAGTACTGGGAATTGCACCAAGCTATCTCCTAGGCCTTTAAAATTTTTTTATTATGAGGTGTGGGGGGAGGGTCTCCCTGAATTGCCAAGTTGCCTAGGCGGGCCTCAAACTTAGGATCCTCCTGCCTCAGCCTCCCAGAGTGTGGGTATGTGCACCACACTCTGCCTTGGAACATTCTTTTTTCTCTCTCCCTGTGCAGCCCTCAGGTCTTAGCCCTTCAGGATGTTCTCACTCTACCTCCCCACGAGTGGCTCCTCTGTCCCCACCCTGTCCTGACTGCCCCTGGTCTGAGACCATACCACTACCTCTCCCTCAGACTGAGAGCTGCACAGGTCTGGTTTACCTTGTTCAAGACTCAGTGTGAGGCTCTCCCCAGCAGGGGTGGTCTGAGCCACAGCTGGCTGAAGAGGGGACTTTTTTTTTTGCCTTTTTCCTTTTTATTGGTACCAGGGATTGAACTCATGACCTCCTGCTTGCAAGGCAGGTGCTTATGCCGCTGAGCTAAATCCCCAGCCCAAGAGGAGACCTTTTGTTCTCCATCCACAAAACCCAGCATAGGCAGTCAAAGGAAACAAAGTCACCCCTGAAGAGGGAGCAAGGCTGGGCCAATGCTAGTCTAGTTCCTCCTTGGTTACTGCCCTGACAGCAGACCCTGTCCAGCTAGGAGAGGGACAGGAGAGGCCAGGCTTGGGAGAGCAGAAAGGGCACCTGTCTGCGAGCCACACCCACAGAGGTCAGCAGGGCAGGAGAGAGCCAGGAAACTCCCAGAGGGGAGACAAAGAAGCCACACAGAGAAAGCCGAAGGGAAGGAGGGAGCTGGAGGGTGGTGAGGGCGCCCCATCCCTCAGCACGTCTCTGCGCACCTGGGGGCACGGGAAGACAGGGAGCCCCAAGACCCACCGCACAATCCCCATGGCAACAAGATGCTGTGCCTGGGAGGGGGAAGTCAGCCAGGGTCACAAGACACCAGGTGCGGAGCTGGAAGGGGAACCTACAAGGTGCAGAGGACTTGGGACTGGGAGGCGGCTCTGCATTTGGGGCCCAGTGCTACACTTGCCCACTCTGAACCCTTAGGTGAGTACAGGAGGCCTCAGTTTCCCTGCTGATGAGGCAGGCTGGGGGATGGAAACGCAGCCACCCCGTGTAAGCGCCTAGGTGCTGACAGTGGCTGTCATCGCCTCTGCCGCGTCTCCCTCAGAAGCTGGGGGCTCTGAGGACACAGGCTGGATGGAGTTCTGATGTCCAGGGCTCCTTCCTGTCCAGCCTTGGCCTGGGATGGCCCCACTCTTCCACCCAGAGAGGGACCCTGGCTGAGGACAGCTGGCGGAGGGACCACAGGCCACAGGGAGAGGTGTGGGGAGCCAAGCAGCACAGCAGGGCAGGGGCCTGGCCGGAGCTCCCCTTCCTCCCAGCGCCAGCTCCCAGGGCTGCCACCACCTGTCACCGTCTGGGTCCCCCAAGAGCAGGGTCTTGTGCCCATGGTCCCAGGCCACAGGGCTCCTCTGGTGCTTTCCTAACCCTCCTCCCCAACACTGTCCTCGCCCACGGTGCAGCCCAGGCTGGCTGGCCCTGCAGTGGCCACAGACCCATGAACCAAGCAGGAGGTACCTGGAGGGAATTGAGGCCCACGGCGGCGTAGGCCCAGGCTGGGCTAAGGTGCACCAGGACGCCGACCAGCCAGGTAAGGCCCAGGACAGGCAGCAGGACGAGCACTGGCTTCACTGTGGCCCTGTGGAGGGTGGGCAGGGCTGGGGGTGGGGGCAGCAGTGCAGCATATGGGAGTTTGGGGAGGGTTCCGAGCCGCACACCTGGGACCACATGCAGGCTCCTGCCCAGGCAGGACTTGGGGCTGCCACCATACCCCTGTCCCCTTCCCAGACACCCAGGGGTGCCATGAAGTCTGCGCCGAGTCCCCAGTTCTTTTCGGTTTTTGATTTTGAACTGAGCCACATGCTTAGCACAGGCCCCCCTACTCACACCGACATGCCCCATGGGCCCTGGGTCCCCCAGGCCGGCCTCACCACATCTGAATGCCAAGCTGCTGCTGCAGGCCAGGCTGCGGGCTCAGCATGCGTGCGCGGCGGCGGGCACTGGACACGGTGACCGTCACCACACGGAAGAGGATGCAGGTGTTGGCCTGGAGAGCGGGGGTCAGCAGACGAAAGGACCCTGGTCCCTGACATGTCCCCCCCCCGCCAGGACCCTTTCCCGGCTCACAGCCAGCACGAAGAGCACAGGCCCGGCGAAGGCCCAGATGGCGTCTGTGTGCACATTGAGCCAGCAGTGTCCCGAGGCCACGTAGTCGCCAGGGCTTGTGACCAGGGTGACAGCCACAATGACTGTGGGTGAACCTAGGGAGAGAAGGGGTGGCCTCAGGCCATGCTGTTCACCTCCGGTGGCACTGGGGAATTGAACCCAGGGCTACTGTACTGAGCTTCCCCAGCCCTGTTTGAACACATTTTAAATTTTAAACAGGAACTCAGTGAGTTGCCCAGGCTGGGCTGGAACTTGCCATTCCCCTGCCTTAGCCTCCCAGAGTAGGACAGGTGAGCGCCACACCTGGCTGTGTCTCTGCTTTTCTCTCTAGGACCCACCCACTAAGTGTCTCCCAGAGGTGCTTTGCTGGGGGACACTGAGGAGCAGCACGGAGTGGGCCTGACCCAGTGGGTGGCTATGGAGCCATGCGGGCTTAGGAGTGGGGACAACAGAGGCCAGGGCTCAGTACAGAGCGGGGTGCAGGCCTCACCCCAGCCTGCAGTGTAGTACAGCCACATCCGGGGCCCCGGGCGCATGCTCACAGCCACCACCTTGCTCCAGAGCAGCAACCCCTCCACCAGCATCCAGGAAAATGCAGCCAAGAAGAGGAGGTGCATAGCAGCCGTGACAGCCACACACGCCACCTGCAGGGAAGTGGGGGCCCCACGGAGGTCATTCCTTAAGCAGCCCCATCTTGGGTCCCACACCCATGCCTGGCATTGCCACCCCAACAGGCATGGTGGGAAGATCTCTGGGTGGGCCCTGAGGGACCTTTTCCTCCAGGTCCTGTTCCTCCCCCACAAAGACGGCACGGACAAGAGGACAGCCAGGAGACACTTGAGTATTTCTGGAGCCCCCGAGCTCCCAGCCCCCACTCCTCTGCCCACCTGACTGGTCTTTGCCCACTCGCTGGCCATGAGCAAGCCCTCAGCAGAGGCCAGGGAGAACGTGAGATTCTTGTGGACTGTGGTCCGCTCTGACTTGGGTACCCTGGACAGCAGAGGAGCCAGTAAACAAGGACAGCACCGCTGGTCCCTTCTCCCTGGAAGGCTCAAGTGCTGCGGGGCCTTTGGGAGGTGACTGGACCACTGAACATCACACTGGTTATAGCATTAACGCACTGATGGGTCTCAGCTGATTTGCAGTCTGGAGGTGGGGCCGGAAGAGGCGGAGCTGGGGGCGTGGTCTACAGGGGTTTGTCCCCTCTCCAGCCCTGCCGGCTCTGTTCCCTGCTCTGCTCCCTGGTTGCCCTGGTGAGAGCCACTTTCCTCCGCCAGCCCTTCCCGCCTTAGAGCTGGCTGTAGATGGAATCCTCCAGAAACCAGGAGCCCAGATCAACCCTTAAGTTGTGAGCGTCAGATGCCACGTCCCAGTGATGAGGAAGGGATTCAGACAGGCTGGCGGCGCAGTGGCCCAGCATGGCCCAACGGGAGGCCCCCTTGCATGGTCACTTCAGCCAAGGGTGGACAGACAGCGGCCTGAAGAGCTGTGGAGGCCCAGAAGGTGCAGCATCCAGCCCAGGCGCTGGGGCTGTCCTCACCTGGCCACCAGGAAGAGCAGGAAGGTGGTGGCGAGGGCACAGAAGGACACACCACAGCCCACGAAAGAGAGAGTCCTCAGCAGCGACTCCTCCTCGGGGCCTCTCTGCAGGGAGGGACACAGAAGGCCTGTCACCCCCGACTTAGACCAGACCCTCCCTGGAAAATCAGGGATGGTAACGGCACCAGCTGGCAGGGCCAGGCCTGCACACGGTAGGGGCTTAGTAAGTGGGCACCTGCACCTGTCCTGCTGGCTGTCCCCAAGCCCAGTCACAGGGAGGGCTCCCCTGGGACAGGTGACCGCACACATGGGATTCTGATGGGTCATTACAACTTGGAAATGTCTGTGCTACCTGCACAGGAAAAACCCACTGAATAATGTGCGCCCCAAAGCCAGGTAAGCTCAGCCTCCCAGGGGCTCTGGCCTCCGCAGCTGACCCAGGTACCTCTCAAGTTCCAGGAAGCTGCCCCAGCCTCAGCACCCCTAGCATTTGCCGCCCCATCTGTCAGCGCTGGCCCCTCAGGGTGCCCTTGACTGGGTCACCGCTTCCTTTTGGCCTCAGCTCCAGCCCAGGCCCCGGGCTCTCAGAGACCCCACGTGCCACTCAAAGCCGTTTCCCACTGCACCCTCTCCTGGACCTGCCCTCCTCCGCCTCTCCTGTGGGGGACTCGTGTGAGGAGCCCGCTGTGCCCTGTCCACCTCCTCGCCCCTTATGTGGGCCGGTGCTCTGTCTTGAGCTGTCTTCCTTGGCCTCTGCCCTGCCCTGCTCTTCCTTTCTGACCCGGTTGAGAGCCCTGCTCACCTGGACGTCATAGACCTGCAGCAGGATGGCGAAGCTGGTGCTGTGGTTGCAGAAGCAGGCGGTTGAATCCCGGTGCAGGGCAAGCACGGAGCAGCTGGTGGTGGCCCAGGATCCCCCTGTCTCTGGGCTTGGGGGCGGGGAGGAAGCAGAAAGTTCCTGGGGTGGGATGACCCACGGCCATGGCAGTGGCAGACAGGGGGTGGCCTCATCTCAGTGCTGCTGCCCCGTCTCTCGCCAGCTGTGTGACTCTAACCAGGCTCTGCCCTGCCATGGGCCTCAGTTTCCCATCTGTCAAATGGGATGGTGGGACTCCGGCTAACGCCAGTGACCGCCTTTCTTGCAGACACTGGTGACAGAGTAGCTGTGACTGGTGTCTCTGCTATCAGTTAAACTGGGGCAGGGGGCGGGCCACCTGCACACCTTCGATGCACCCGTCCCGCCCCACTTGACAGATGAGTTCCCTCACATACTGACAGTGGCCTCCTTACACACCGCCTGGGACTGAGCGCTCACTACTTCCTGGGTAACATGTTCTCCTGCCCAGATTGTCCTGTAGCTGGCTGGGCCCTGGAAATGACCTCTGCAAGGTCAGATACACACCTGCATCCTGCTTCAGATGTGAGCAGTTTATGTCTTTTTTAAAATGCTGCCTGATTTCAATAACCTGGAAATGGAAACTCACCTTGTACTGAGGTTCCAGAAAGCACAGACAGGCTCCACCAGCTTCTTGGGGAAGGCCTAGGGCAGGAAATAGAGGCGTGAGCAGGGCACAGGGCGGCGTGAGGGGAGCAGCCTCGGGGAAGAAGAGGCTGGAGCAGAAGGGGAGGCAAGGTGGGCGCACGTCCATTCCAGCATCGTGGGGGACCATGGAGACGGCCCTGGACTGGCAGCAGTTAAGCTACCGTACCCCGGGCCTGGTGGTGCACACCTGGAGTCTCAGCCATCGGGAGGCTGAGGCAGGAGGATTGCCATGCGTCAAGGCCACAAGAACACAGGGCTACATGGTGACGCTCTGTCTCAAAAAACCAATCCAAACTAAACCAAGCCAAACAAACAAGACGAAACCCTGCTCTCACTCTTCCCTCCTGGGAATGCCCTGCAGCTGGTCAAATCAACTTGGGGGGCTCTGTCTCCTGATGTCCAGAGACGGCCATGGTTCATTGTTCAGTAAAGAAAATGGCGCACCATCATACATGGTTGAGATTTAAGCTCCATGCGTGTGAACACGCACATGCACAATACACAGTGAGCATGCAAAATGCACACGCACACGGTCTCTGAGCAAACACAGCTCACCTGGCTGTTCTGCACCTGGATGTGGTGTGATAAGTGCACCCTTCCTTGGTAATTAAACAGGGACAACAGGGCGATTTTCTATGCTGCCATTAGCAGTGACAGGACGCCAGGTGGTCTGCGATTCGAGCCCCAGCTGGGGAGTAAACTGGGCCATTTTTCCTGACTGAGGAGGGCAACAGCCATGTCACTCCTTGGTGTTTTGCCAGTCACTTTGAGGCCCTCTAGACTGAGAAGAAAGGTATAAGTTTGTGTAACTTCAGGAGAGGAGACTGAGGCCCAGAACGGGTGTTTGCCTGGCGTATATCACACAGCACGGAGCCTGAGCCTTTGCTCAGGCAATTCCATGCTCCTCCTTCCCGTGATGATGTCTTTGGGGAGCGCACCCCTTCTCAGGCTGACTAAAGAATCCTCCTGTATATTCATTTATGATATATTTCCTTGCTGGATGTGGCAGTACATGCTGTGTTCTAGAAGGCTGAGACAGGAGGATTGCAAGTTAAAGCCCAGTCTAGGTACCTCAGCAATCTAGTGAGACCCTGCCTCAAAATATAAAGGGCTGGGGAGCAGCTCACTGTCAAGGTCCTAAATTCAATCCCCAGCACTGTTAAGAAAAACTCCTGGGTCTCAGGCACTAATAGGACTCAAACACTAACACCCCTACATTCTTAAAATGGGTGGTTACCACACCCCGTGGTGGCTCTTTCAAGCACATACACCAGAATATACATGGAGACGTACGCAACATACCTTTGTGCCCAGGATTTCAAACTAGAAAGAGGTCGCCAGACTAAGTAAGAATGGAGTAGGAATGGACTGTCGCAGGGCTGAGTGGGCTCATTGGCACAGACAAAGCCCTGCAGGTTTCTGAGGGTCAAATTCACTTCAGACCACTCCTGTGTGGGGTCGCAAGCACCAGCACAGAGCAGCCAGTGACGGGCCAGCAAAGGACACCCATGGCTGAGTGAACGTAGAAGACACCAGCAGGAGAGGCGAGAGAGGACCATGTTCGTGTGGCTCTGTGGGAAGGGCAAGGGCTTTGTTCTGTGAAAGGAAAGATGTGTTGGGCGTGGTTGCTTTTTTACCAAGATGGCGCCCAAGGCTGAGAGGGAAGTTTCTGCCCCGCCACAGAGCCAAAAGAAGGGCTGGGAAGGCCAAGAAGGCAGTGCTGAGAGGCGTCCTGGGCCTCAGAGAAGATCATCTCCATGCCACACACCTTCAGGCGGCCAGGACACTGTGACCCTGGAAGCAGCCCACATGTCCTTGGAGGGGAGGCCCCCAGAGGGACATGGTGGCCACAAGAGGAAGCCACAGCCCACTTGTGTTCATCATGGATGTCAAGGCCAACGGGCAGGGATCACACAGGCTGAGGAGCAGCTGTCACATGGAGGAGGCCCAGGTCAACACCTGACCAGGCCTAAGGGATGGAAGGAGGCATGGATTTGACTGCTCCTGACCTGGACGCTCAAATGTTACCAACAACACGAGGATCGTCTAAACAGACCTCAGCCAAACTATTTTGAAATTTTGTACCATTGTTTTTATTTATTTATTTTTCTTTAAAAAAAATAAGCTGAGCATGTTGGCTCATGCCTGTAATTCCAGTCCTCGGGAGGCTGAGGCAGGAGGATCATTGCAAGTTCAAGACCAACTTGGGCTACAAAGTGAGCCCAAGGCCAGTGTGAACTCCATAGGGAGGTCCTCTTGTCAAAAAAAACTAAATAAATAAGTAAAAATAAACTGACCTCAGCTGGCGAATTCCAAATGCGTACTGCTTTAACATTAAAAAAGAGAGATAGTTACAGCCTTCTGTAAAAGGAGTGGAGGAAAATGCACCACAACGCTCACGGCGCTATCTCTGGATAACAGGAGCCAGGCAGTGATGTGAGCCATGCGGGGGGCTGTGAACAAGCAGGTGATTTCAGGCCATCTCACCTGCTGCTCACCTTCCGCGGCGAAGCCTGATTCCTGACAGGCCAGGACCAGTGCTGGCTGGGCTGGGGTTCCTGGTCTATAGCACAGCAGGCAACTACAGTTGACAACAGTGACATTCGGAAGTAGTTACTGGAGAGGATTTTGAATGTTCAAATGACAAATGATGGCGGTGATGGGTACGTCACCTACCCCGAGCTGCTCACTGCACACAGGATGCACTGTAAAACATGACACTGTACCCCGTGGGTATGTTCAATGATTATGTGTTCACTAGAAATTAAAAAATATAGCTGGGCATGGTGGCTCACATCTGTAATCCCAGCACTCAGGAGGCTGAGGCAGGAGGATCATTGTGAGTTTGAAACCAGCCGGGCTACAAAGTGAGCTCAAGGCCAGGCTGAACTGCATAGAGAGACCCTGCCCCAGAAATATATATGATTATATATATTAAAAGTTAGCCCTTTGAAAATAAGCAAAATTGGTAAACCTCTATCTAGATTAGTCAAGAATGAAAAAGAAAACATCACTAAAGAAGCTACAGATGTTAAAAATTTAATTAGGGAACATTGCAAACAATTTAATGCTGGAAATTCTATAATCTAGATGAAGCAGAAATTCTTTGACCTGCACACCTTTTTAAATGGTTTCAAGAAGAAATAAAGCACCCAAATCACCCACATCTATTAAAGAACTATATCCCACAACTTACAGTCTCCCTGCAAAGAAAATGCTAGGCCTAGGTGCCCTCACTGAAGCCTACCGAACATTCACCGAGCAGGAGAGAACATTTTCTAACTGACTTTATGAGACCAGCATTAATTTGATAGCAAAATCAGAGGGCGAGATTACAAGAAAACTATACCACAGGTTATTCATGAGCATAAGTGCAAAAATTATTAATAAAATATTGTTAATATTAATAAAATAGTACACCATAACCAAGTGGGATGATTCCAGGAGCCCAAAGTAGGTCAACATTGGAAAAGCATCCTATGCATTGGAAGTGCAATCTACTGCATTAAGGTTACACCGTGTCAGCGTGGAAGAAGCTCAGGTGCTCCCCCCGGGACAGATGGCCACGAGAATTGTCCTACTCAGCAGGGAGCTGGACCCTACTGGTGCATTGAGCCAACACAAGAGACAACATCACGACCAGAAAGGACAAAAGCAGCTCTTCACTTGCAGACAACCTGAGCTCCTGTGCAGAAAGCCTATGAGTCCCAGGAGCGGCTCCTGGCAGGCTCCCCGCATTTAGCAGGGCTGCAGGGTGCAATGCTGGCGGCCAGGCTCAAGAGGATTCTCACACACTAGCAATGCATGACTGGAAATGCAAAGCAGGACCATCTGCAGTCGCATCTAAAACTATACAGGACTCAGGGACACGTCTGACTAAACGCATTGAAGACTGTACACTACTGTGCTGAGGGGAATTTAAGAAAACCTAAGAAATGCAGGTGGACGCCTGATCGTGAGTTATTACTGAGATGCCGGTTCTCCCAAACTGAGGTCCAGGTTCAAATCCAGGTGTTGATTTTGATTTCTGTTGATATTGATAAGATGATACTAAAATGTATATGGCAAGGGAAAAAAGCAACCTAGCCAAAGCAGATTTGAAAACAACAACAGCAACAACCAATCTGGTGGGCTTAATTTACTGATTTTAATTTATCATAAAACTGTATTGATCAGAGCGGTATGGAATTAGCGTAAGGCTGGAGCTCAGTGGAACATAACACATAACCAGGTGTGGCGCCTCGTGTTTGTGGCTGACTGTCAGCAAAAGTGATGCAGTAATTCAAGGGGGAGGACTAATCTTTTCATGACTGGTGTAGGAACCCAGTGTCTGGATAGAAGGAACTTCGATCCTACTTTACATAATAAGTTAACCTGAAGTACAGCAGAACTCAACAGAAAAGCTGTAACAATAACCTTCCTTGTGAAAACCTGTGTGACCTTGGGGTGGCCAATGAAAACCAGGAGCCATACAAGAAAAAATAATACCAAATTGGACTTGATCACGATTTGAAACTCACCTTCCAAAGGCACTGTTAAGAAAGTAAAAAGGCCACCCACGGATTAAGAGACTTATTTACAAAACTCGTATTTGAAAAGGGGCTTGTATCCAAACTATGCAGAGAATTCTCACAACTTGAAAATGGAACAGAAGGGACTGGGGATCTAGCTCAGTGACATAAGCGCCTGCCTTGCAAGCAGGCAGTCATGAGTTCAATCCCTGGTACCGGTAAAAAGGAAAAAGACAAAAAAAAAAAAAAAAGGAACAGAAAATAATTGAAAAAATATTTGTTTCTTTTCTTTTTTTCTTTTATTTTTTTGTCTTTTTCAGTACCAGGGATTGAACTCATGACCACACACTTGCAAGGCAGGCGCTTATGCCCCTGAGCTAAATCCCCAGCTCCTTGAAAAAATATTTGAACATACATTTAACAAAGGAACACACACACACATGCCATGGGTGACTCCAAAGACACTCACGATCACTGGTCTTTGAGGAACTGCAACTTAAAGCCACAGTGAGATGTCAGCATGTGACCGTCACAATGTATGATACTGACAAGACTGGGAAGAGGTCACAAAGATGCAGAGCACCTGAACTCTCAGGGATTTTCCTGGGGGAACGCAGATGGAGCAACTACCAAGGAAAGCTGGCTGCCCTGCCTCTTACAAGTTAAAAATGCACTTACACGGAACCTGGCAGGTCCGATAACAGGAATTTACCCCACAGAAAAAAAGCTGTATGTCCACAGAATGGCTTGTGTATCAGTGCACGCAGCAGATATATTAATAATAGCCCAAACTGAAAATAACTAAAATCTCTTTTCTTTTTTTCTTTATTATTTATTTGTTTTTTTTATTGGTACCGGGGACTGAACTTACGACCGCCTGCTTGCAGGGCAGGTGCTTATGCCGCTGAGCTAAATCCCCAGCCCAAAATCTCTATCAACAGGTAAATGGAATAACAAACAATGGTAATCCACACAATGGAATACTACTCAGCAGCGAAAAGGAATGAACTGCAAAAATGTGCAAACCATGGATTATTCTCAAAAATACCATCCATGCAACAGAAGCCAGATCTCAAACATTTACCCTGATTCTATTTATCAAAAGCTCTAGAAAAGACAGACACACTCTACGGTCAGAAGCAGAGCAGTGATTTCCTGAGACAGCTGTTGACTGGGGAGAGGCACAGAAAGCCCTTCGGAAGTCAGAGATGTCCCATACCTCCACTGGGGCAGTGGTGCTTGGGAATCCAGACTAAAATTCATCAAATGCACACTTAATTATGGATTTAAGCACTTGTGCCCCTGTATTTTGGGGTTTGGTATTCACAGAGTAAACCAATCACAGATGGAAAAAATAATTTTAATTGCTGTACCGAAAGGGAGGGCTTTGGGCATCACCTAGATCTGGAGATTTTTCCGTGTCAGTCTACAGAGAACCACCTCACCTGGGACAGGACTTCCACTGCCGTGTGTCACCCTCCAGGGCTCCTGCGTAGAGGGGCAGGTGAGCGGTCTCTATTCTCGGGAAGTAGGAGGCAGGGAAGCGCTATGGTCTCCCAATGCGTCAGGGGATGGCCAGTGGCTTCTGGTTTTATGAGTTCCCCAGCCCTGGACAAAATCCTTGCTCCTGCCACCTAAAGCTGGAGCAACAGCATTACGTCCCCAAAGGTGACAGGGAGTGGGCAGTGGAAGAGGTAAATGCATCTACTTATTTAATGCTTAGTTAGCATCACTGGGGGCCACAGCCTAAAGTAAGCACACAAGATGTCACTCCCCCTTTCTGTTCCCTTGAGGACAGAGGGTCGCTATGAGCAAGGTTTTTTTTTTTTTTCTTGACGTTGAGACCTTGGTTGTGCAACAGACATACAGTCCTGAGGATGGGGTGGGGCGCACCAGGGTCAGTGCCCAGGGAGTACCTGGGCCTGGTGTCGCAGGTGGAAGGTCACAGCAGTGCTGACTGGCCCGGCAGCATCCTGCAGCTCAGAGGAAAGGACAGCTGAACCCACTTGGGTGCTCAGGAACCTGTGGGGAGAACAGGGGTGCCTGAGGGCAGCTGTGGGGGTACAGGCCAGGCCCTGTGCTTACGGTGCCTTCTGCATTCAAAGAAAGTTGGTTCTTAGGGCACGGGCTCCTGCCCAGCCTCAGGGTCTTGCTGATGGCCCTCAGGGCTGAAGGCAGGACCCTAAGTGGCCCCACCAGCCCAGGAGGGGGTGGCCAGGGAGGGCCTCAGGCCGTGATCAGCCACTGCGGGGAGGGGGGGTCCCTCACCTCTGCATCCTGCTCGCCTCCTCTGGACTGGCAGGGAACTGGGGCTTCAGGCTAGGCGCTCCCAGGGTGCGCTGGAAGACACTAGATGAGAACCAGCTGTGGATGGCGGTGACTCCGGAGAGGCCTGGCTCAGGGCAAGGGAGACCCAAGACCCAGCCAGGTGACTGGGAAGGCAACCCCAGCTGGCTCTGGGGGGAGAACTCTCCACTTCACAGATAGACAAACTGAGGCCCAGAGCTCAGCCTCGAAGCTCCATGGCCCTTTGTCCTCCCCCCCCCGCCCGCCCCAGCAGCCTCAGGTGGGGCCTTCCTCTCCTGCCCACTCCTGAGGAAGACTCTGTAGGTTCAGCTGCGGAGACTAAGCGACAGTACTGCAGGGCCGGTGCTAGAACCCACCTTTCCCGAGGAGCCGCTGCATTTCCCCGGCGGGGATGTGGATGTGGCCGGGCCCCTCCGGGAGCCCACCGGGCATGGTGAACGTGTAGCCTGCAGTGCTGGCCTCCCTCAGGCGCAGGCTCCGCACCTCCAGGCCTGAGATGAAGCGGGGCAGCGGCTGCGCCTCAGGCAGAGCTCGGGGTCGAAGCCCCAGCTGGCAGCTCTGCAGGGTCACAGGCCTGAGGCCACCAGTCCTGCTCAGGGTGGCCCAGCCACTGGCCCAAGGCTGGGACTTGAGTACCATCGAGCCATCGAGCAGTGGACACCAGAGGACATGAATTTGCACTTGCAGGCCACCACAGCCACTCCACACTCAACCACCAAATTTCCTGAGCACACACTTGGCCCGGTCCTGGGTAGAGCTGGCTTGGAAACAGCCCATGGCACCCAGGGGTGTCAGGACAGGGAGCCAGTCCTGGTATATAACTACGACAAATGCATTAAGAGCCATTTTCACGTGCTGTGGTGATGGGGGAGGGACAAACTACCAGTTCAGAGCTCAACCTGGGACAGCGTCCTAGTTAGCAGGGTCCTGAAGGATGAAGAGGAGTTTGCTAGGAGATCAAGGGAGAAAGGGCATTCTGGATGGAAGGCAGAGGCAGGAAACCACACCGAGGGTCAGTAGAAGTGCAGAGAGCTCTTTTGGGCCAGGCTGAACACTGCCTGAACCAGGTATGGTGGGTGCTCACCCATGTGGCGGTACTGGATGTGTATCCGGGGCTGCTCAGGGCTCAGCGTGGTGCTCAGCAGGGATGCCAGGGGCTGCACAGTCGCCAGCAGGGCCATAGGTCCGCCAACCACCTGGGAGGAAGGGGTCCCTCAGCGCCGCTGATGCGCTGTATCCGCCGCTGCCGCAGCCCTACCCTGGGCTCAGCAGATTCTGAATGCACTGTGAGGTGGCTGAGCTGTGCTAGATTCTGCGTGGCTCCAGGAGCCTTGGGATCAAGTCCGGGGTCTTCCGCAGGCGGCAGGCGTCCCTCATTCCTGCCCCCGAATATCCCTCAGCCACCCCGACCCCAGGCTGACCCTATAATGGGTGCCCGAATTTTGATTTTAAAAAACAAGCCACATGGAAGGTGAGAATGGGAGGAGGGGACACACACACCATGCCACCAGCAACTCCTCCCCACCAAGAAAGGCACCACAGGCCTGTGTGAGAATCCACCTTTTCTCTGCCAGAAAACTGACACTCCTTCCCCAACCTGCCATGGTGCCTGAGATCCCCAATGTGGCTTGCACACTTCTTATGACAGGAAGCTCACCATCTGTCCTGGTGACAGGACCAACCTGCTAGGCAGAGCCACGCTGCTACCCACACCGGGGGCCCAATTCTGTCCTGAGGCTGTAGTGCTGGGTCTAAGCCTTCAGCCCCACGGATCCGTGGCCCCCATGCACAGCTTCTTGTTCCTTCCCAGGCTAAGGCCCCAGGGCCCCGGATGAGGCCTCCAACAGCCTCTGCTGCAGGCAGCATCTTTGTCGTCTTCTGAGGAGCTCGGCAAGTACTTGGACACCAGGAAGGCCCTTTCTGATTCATGGCTCTCAGCCTTAACTATGGATGCGGATGTTCAGGAAGATTTAACATACAAACTAGATAAATAGAGAGCTTCTTTCTTCCAAGAGATGCAGAAGTAGAGAAATGGGCACTGGCTCGCCCATGGTGACAAAACAAGCCAGGGTCCGGGCGAGCTCCACCACCTCACCTTGCTGATGGACAGCCATGTGCCAGCCAACCGCTCCTCCAGGACCAGGCTGGTCACAGACAGGACGCCCCGGGCCAGCTGCTCCCAGGGCCCCGCCAAGGGCTGTGGCTCCCTGGCCCCAAGGGCTGACACCCTCTTCAGGAAGTGCACGACAGCCAGCAATGCCGCTGGCCCCAGCTCCGGCTCCGGGGCCAGCACGCTCTCCAGGATGCCCAGGAAGCTGCAGGCCTTGTCCAGGGACAGTGGCGCTGGGGCTTCGGAGAGGGGGTCTGGCAGGAGCTGTGGATAGAGGAGTCACTAACTGCCTGGCCGAGTGTCACAAGGGGATCCCCTGGGGCACTCTTGGGCTCTGCCAGGGTCTTCTTGGTGGGTGCAGGTCAGACTTGTCAGAAGCTCCCAGCTCTCAAGGGCTCCAAACTAGGGAGCATGAGCAGTCTCAGTTCCTGCACCAGACTTCCCTCTGCAAGAAGGAAACTGAGGAACACTTAGACCCAGTTTCCTGGGGGGGACTCACCACAGTGTCCTCGGCCAACGCATTGACACGGCTGATCACATCTTGGCCCGGCCACAACTGGATGTCCCTTAGCTGCTCATAGATCTCTGTAAAAGGGAGATGCCAGACTGCTCAACAAGTCCAACACCAGCACGTGCTGCCCCGGGGGTGGAAAAACACACCCACATCTGGAGCCCTGTACATAGTGTGCTAGGTGGAGAAACTGAGGCACAGGCAGCAAAATCACTTGCCCAAGGTCGCTATCCTGGGATCCAGCCCCAGTGCTGTGTGGCCCCACTGTGCTGTGGCCTAGATTGCAAGCTGTTGAATCCTCAGACTCTGCCAAAATGGCCCCTCAGCTCCGTGGCTTCCCCTCAGGGGAGCCCAGGGCACAGCCAGGGTGCACGCACCTTTCCTGTAGCAGCAGAGGAAGAGCCGCGCCTGCACGCAGAGCTCGGAGCCCGCGGTGCCAAGACCTGGGTTCCAAGTTGGGCACTCCTCCGAGGGCACTAGCGGGGCAAGGGCGGGGTCAAGGCAGCACCCAGCTCCCTATTGGTCACATGACCCTCCCCGTGGGGTGGGAGGCGCCCGCACACTGCGCCCAGTGGTAACACTGCCTAGGGAGGGCATGGGCAGTTGGGTCAGGCAGCATGGCATAAAGGTGAACTGGGTCAGACTTCGGAAAGGTAAAGTGTCAGGAACGGGGGGGGGGGGCTGGCAGGGTCCAGTGGGGCCTGGCGGTTGGGGCGGGGCGTGAACCGCGTACCGGGACAAACAAGGTGCACGCGCACTACAGGCAGCAGAGAGGGCGTGATGTTCAGGGCGCTTGGGTCCCAGCGGAACAGCAGGTCACCTGGGGGTGGCTTGCAGGCGCGTGCCCGGAGTAGCTCTGCGGGGCTCAGCCCTCTGGCCCACAGGTGGAAGTCGGTGAGGTTGCCACTGAAGGCGTCTCGAACTGAGAAGCCGCCGCCCGGGAAGTCCTGATCTTGGCCCAGGACCAAGATGCCACCGGGCGGCACAGGATGGCCCGCGCCCAGTCCCCGCGCTCCAGCGCGCCGCCGCCCATCAGCGAACAGCGCCCAGCGCCCGCCGTGCTGCTCCCACGTGGCGCACACGTGGTGCCAGCGGCCGTCGGCGCGGAAGGCGGCCAGGAAGGGCGAGTGGTGGCCGCGCACCACGAGCGCAGCGCGCACGGCGCCGCCCGGCTCGGCGAAGGCGCGGAGCTGCAGCGCGTTGGGCAGCTCGGGCGCCGCGACGGAGAAGAGCGCGGCGGCCTCGCGGGAGGCCGCGTCCCACTGCACGAGCGCGCACGCCGTCAGCGCCGCCAGCCCCGGCAGCGGGCTCCGCAGCCTCGCCGCCCGGTCCGCGCTCCGCTGGCCGAACACCAGCGCGGAAGTCGTGTGTGCGCCTGCGGGGACAGGCAGACCCGGCCCTCAGTTTCTCCGGCTGCGCACCCCGCCCCGCCCTGCTTTTGAGTGCTATTTGGCGCACCCGCGGAGCCCCTCATGAAACTTAGGGTGCCTCCCGCCTCGGGGGGAAAAAAGAAAGGATGGGGGGGGTATCCCAGGTTCTCTGCTCCAAGGGTCACCCTACTTCCATTCTACGCAGAAGAGCCGGGAGGTACGGTGAGGTGTTTCTTTGGGCGCTTTCCACAAAGGACTGTCACTGTAGGCTCCCATCTCTGAAGGCCCCCAAATCCCTGCCTCGCCCCAGACCCCCACTCACGTCTCTGTGGGAGCCGCTGCATGGAAGCGTCTCTTTGGCCCACCCAGACTGAGTCGCTAAGCGGTGGAGCAAGAATTCCATCCGGGGGACCCAGGGCCAAGTGGCCAAACCTCTGTTCACAGGACTCTTGGGCTTGCCACCAGCTAAGCCGCTGCCCCGGGAACTTGCAAACACTGTCTGTGGTCTCCACCACCTCACCAGGGGCCACCAGGTCTGGAGGACAGAGGAATGGATGGGGGAGCACATTTTGTGGGCCCTTCGACCTTCCTGCAGTGGGCAGGGTCAGCCAAGGACATGGCACTGGGAGTCTTTTGGTCCTGAATGGACCTGACCCTCAGCTGTGTTCTGTGACCAGGTCAGTCCGGTTGCCTAGGCAGAGCCTTCCCAGATCTACACGACACAAACGAGGTGGACACGAGTGGAGCCCACGGTGGGGTCCAAACTTAACCTGGTTTCTGATCTTCCTCGGCATTGAAGAAGAGGGATCCTTCATACCAACCTGTGGCCCAAGGAATCCTTGGCTCTGTTGGGGGGTCAGAGGAGGTGCCAGAGAGGCTCCAGATCTGAGAGAAGACAGGCAGGGCTCGGACAGGTGCCCCCTCCCCACATGCAATCATCGAATGCCCACTGAGTGCTGCAGGGATGCAGTGGAAGCTCCAGGCCCTAGGGCGGGCAGGATCCTGGGCAGGTGGCTGTACTGCCCTGAGGGGTTTCAACCTTGTGGAAAGTAAACCTGGTGAATGAGTGTGAGAGGGGCTTCTGCTCTATTTCTATGCCCAGGCTTTGCAGTGGCCTCATGATGTGGGGTGGCCATGTGAACCCCTAATGTCTTTGGGTCCCCCACACCCCTCCCCCAAGTCCCTTTCTAAAGCTCAGGTACCAGCAGGTGGAGGAGGCAGCAGCAGCAGGAGGCCATGTGGATGTCCGGCTCCAGCAGGGGTGTCAGAGGCGGCAGGGGCACAGGCCTGGCCTCTGTGGGCTGAGGAAGAAGGAATGCAGCTCAGCATCCTGCTATGCTAACCCTCTGACTCTGAAGTCACACTGCCCTTTATCTGGTCCCAGATCCCACCGGGCTGGAAGCCAACCAGGGAGAGGAGCCCAGGAAAGTGTGGCCGCCCGCTGGGGATAACATTTGCTTGCACAAAGGGATGGTTTCTGGGAGCCCCTTCAAGGCTGAAGCTGGGGAACAGTAGTCCCGGTGAGGAGGAAGGGCAGGAGGCAGTCAGGCCCCCGCGGGCACTGGGCAAGGGCTTCCCAGTACGGTATCCCATCATCCCCTGCTCCTCAAACTACAGGCTGTCCCACAGTCCCGGGGAGCAGCCTGTCTCCAGACCCCCGTCCTCCGTACTGGGGACTGACCTCAGGACCTCGGCACTCAGTTCCATCTCCGGCTGTTTTTATTTTTTAAATTTTGAGCCAGGTTATTGCTAAGTTGCTCAGGCTGGGCTCAGACTTGCAGTCCTCCTGCTTCCACCTTCCAGAGTGCTGGGATTTCTTCTTTCACCATTTGCCACACTGGCCCCCACCCGACAGTGGCCTCTCCCTCACAGACATCTGCTCCAAGGCTGATTCTGTATCACTCACCCCACCCAGCCCCAATGGTAGGTCTGCACACCGGGGTGCTAACCTGAGCTGGGGTGTCCTAGTCATGGGTGACCTGGGGGTCACTCCTGTCAAGTAGGGGGAGGGGAGGGATTTGCAGGCCAGACACTGCCTCCTGGAGCCATCACCACTGACAATTTACATGCTTTCTTTCCTTCCACAGAAAGTCAGCACAAAAACCAAACATGCCCCAGCATAAGAGATTTACATTTTCTTTTTGACTCTGGAAAGCACCATCCACTATCACCCCCTTTAAACAGCACCTGAGTTCTCCTGCCTCGGCTCCCAGCTCTAAGAGGGTGAGGAATTCATCGGGAGTCTGGTCCCGGCCAACTCAGCATCTGGCATGCGCTGGGCACGCAGTTGGAGACCCACAGATGTCCACCCCTTTCAAGCTGCAGCCATTCTGCCCTCAGGCCACCTTGGCGCCCCTGTCCTCTGATGCGGCGGGCCCTGGCTAACACCGGGGAGAGAGATGAATCCCGCCTAGGCAGGTGGACCTGCGACCCAGGCTCCAGTCCCCGTTGGCCCCTTCTCTGTTCCCGTCCCCAGCTCCTCACCCGCGGTGCTAGCAGCCTGGTCAGTCCGAGCCGCTGCAGCTGCCCTCTCCTCTGCTCGGTGTTCGGCTGCTCTCTGCTCTCAGCTCCGGGGCGGGGCGGGGACCCCCCTCCGCCTGAGCTCCGCCCCCGGGTGGCTGGGAGGGCCCTTTAGTGCCGGGATGAGGCCTGTTGTTGCTTCCTGCCCCCAGCACGCAGGTAAAGTCACCTGTTAGCAAATCAAACATTTGGGAGATTCGGATCCAAAGCAAACTTGTGGCAGCCACAGGTGCCAGGAGGAGCCGCGGCCAGGAGGGTCCTTATTCCCGCGGCCACAGGGTCAACCTTGAAACCGGGCCTGTGGGCTTTCAAAGAGTCAAGTAGAAGCTAGCAGGGGGCGCAGTGCCTGTCATCCCAGCTATTCTGAGGCTGAAGCAGGAGGATCAAACTTCCAGCCCAGCTTGGCCAAATTTAGTGAGACCCTGTTTCAAAAGAAAAAATGAAAAGAGGTGGGGGTAGCTCAGTGTAAAGATCCAGGGTTTAATCCCCTGTGTGTGTGTGTGGGGGGGGGCAGGTTGGTGGGATGGAAGAGAGCTTGGGGTGAGGATTCTGAGGAAACCTGCAGGAGGGCTTGGAGGGGACGCAGAGGGGCCACAGAGTCGGGGGGACCGAGTGGGTCGGCCCAAGGCCGAGGCTTTGAGGGCACACAGTCCCAAGTTCACGTCGCCTCTGACTGAGAACACTACCTAACTGCTCCGAGCCTTGGTTTCCGTCTGTAGCTGAGGGTGGCACTGAGGCCTGCTGAGGCCTGCGACTGCTGAGGGCACCCTGGCGTTGAAGAGGTCCGAGGCCGCGTTGTATGTGGTGCCAGGCACAGGGCCCATTTAGCAACTTGGTCAGGATTTACACTTTTAAGAATAACTTGGGCTGGGGATTTAGTTCAGTGGCAAAAGCACCTGCCTGGCAAGCACAAGGTCCTGAGCTCGACTCCGGTACAAATAATAATAATAACTTGCTGGCAACATAAGTATTGATTAAATTTTTTTATTGTGGTAACACACGCAGAACAGTCAGCTCACCATTTTGTGATGGTTTATTTTGAGAAGTATCCCCATGAATGATATATTAATACTCCATGTGCTATTTATCCCCCAGTTTTTCTCTGAGGTTAAGAATTTTCAAAATAAAAATGAGGGGACAAGAGGTCACTATTTGTGGGGAGCCCTGAGCGTTTCCCAGCCTCCTGGACAGCAGATGAATACAGAACTTGCCTCTCCCTGGTCTGTGACCTGGTCAGCTGTTAGCTGTCTCTCACTGTGACAAAACTCAGAGAGAAACCACTTAAAGGAAAGATTAATTTTGGCTTCTGGTCCCATCCATGGTCCCCCCTCCCTCCCCGGCTCCATTGTTCCTGGACCCTGGGGAGGCAGAGGAATCCTGGCCGGGAGGCAAAGCAGAGTGGCTTACCTCATGCTGGACGGGAAGGAGCTCATCACTAGACATGGCCCCTTGACCTTGGACCACCAGAACTATAAGCCAAAGTAAACCACACTTCTTTGTAGAGTAGCTGCCTCTAGTAACACAAGATAGATGAATATACCACCCTGTACCATCTGGTTTAAGACAGATCTGGAGCGCCCATTGAACAGATGTGCAAACTGAGCCCAGAGAGCAAACAGGACCCGATAAGTGGAGGCCCCAGGTTTTTTGTCTTGGTGGCTTGACGTAGGGCTTACCTGCTCTGCGATGTCCTTCAAGTGCCCTCTACCTCACCCTTCCCGCCCATCTGAAAACCCTCCCTGTAGCCTGGGTAACAGCTTTTTGGTTCTTGACCCCAGCCCAACTCCCTCCATTCCCTGGGGCCGTATTTCCCAGGAGTCCCCCTGGAGATAGCCAAGTTCTGTAGTGGGCGGGTTGGGGGGCTTGAACTCCAACTTGAGACCATTCCTTGGCCGTTGGGGCTGGCTGGGGCCTGGGCCTGGCCTAATCTCTGCTCCACAGAGCCCAGGCATTGTCTGCCTGCCCAGCGTGCGGCCATCCATCGGCTTTACGGGTGGCAGCTCTGACAGGTCCCTTGTCTTTGTGGACAGGGCCTGAAGGCTGAGGGTGACTGATGGCCACTGGGGGCCTCCAGCTCATTGTCCAGGTAACGGCAGGGAGCAGTGAGGGCAGCCAGGCTCCGAGGAGCCTCGAGGTGGCCTGAGGACACACTGGTGCTCAACCCTGGCCCTGGCTCAGCCCCTCAGCCAAACTTCTGCTAGTCCGGAGCCAGACATCTTGGGAGAGAGAGCTACCAGTTGGCATGCTGTCACTTTGGGGCTCCCCCCCACCCGCCCCCCTTGCCCGGAGGCTTGACCATCAGTCAACCTACATGTGACCAGGCAAGTCTCTCTACTTTGTTTTTTCCACGGAGGCTGAATCCCCTATTCCTCTGTGGACAGAAAGGAACACAGCGTGGTGGTGCATGCCTGCCATCTTGGCACTCGGAAGGCTGAGGCAGGAGGATCGCTTAAATTCAAGGCCAGTCTGGAATACATAGCAAGATTGAAAACAGAGTTTCTCCCCTCCCCCACACCCTGCCCCAGAGAGTCTAGGGCCGGCCCAGAGCCAGCCCAGCCTCCTGTCTTCCTGCTCCAGCAGCTCACCCCACACAGCCCTGGGTGACCGCTCATGCTCATGGATTTTCTTCTGGTCCTTCCCCTGCTCAAAACCAGGGCAAAGTCTCACCTTCCTCTCCTGGTGATCCAGCCCTGCCTGTCTCCTCCTTCAGCCCTGCCTGAACCCTCTTCAGCCAGAGTGAATGCTTTCCTGCCTTTCTCTCTGGTCTTTGCTCATGATCTCCCTTCTTCTGGTTCATTTCTACTCGTGCTTCAGGTCACTATTCAGTCCTAGGATGCTGCCCCCCTGCACTGAGAGTGTTCAGGAGACACTGGTCCCTCCAACGCCAGGAAATTGTCTGCCTGTCCACAGCACCCACAGCACCCAGGCCAAGATTGACAGATATGTGTATGTGTTTGTTGATGGACTGAAAAGAATCTATCCTATCAGGCATGGTGGTAGATGCCTGTCATCCCAGCACTTGGGAGGCTAAGACAGGAGGATTGCTGTGAGCTGGAGGTCAGCTTGGGTTACATAGTGAGTTCAAGGCCAGCTTGGGCTACATAACAACAACCTGTGTCAAAAAACAAAAACAAGAAAAAAACTTAATCCTACAGAACTGGACATGCTCAGATGCCTTGTGACCCTAAGGTCTGAATGTGTGTGCTTCGGGGACTGTGTGACATAGGCAGTGGGACCAGGACTTTGGCCCATAGGACCCCAAATCCTGACACAGGCACTGCTGACTGTGGCTGCCGGAGGGCATATGATATTGCTACATTGTGTCAACTTGGGAAGTTCAGGAGCTTAATTAAGTGACTGAGCAGTTCTATATCCTACAGTACAGAGGACGCTGCCCCCAGGACTGCTGTTTATGCTCCAGGATGTTGCAATGTTTGGTTCATTGTGTGGATCTGAGAAGCTTAGAAGCTTAACCAAGTGACAGCAGTTCTACATCCCAGGGTACAGAGGCATCCTTAGGGTGGCTGTTTATGGGGACCTTGTGATAGTTGAATCATTGTGTCAACTCAAGGAGTTTAGAAGCTTAAGTGACTTAGGAGGGAGCCAGGGTCCTCACTTTGTAAACATCCTCAGCCTGTCCAAGAGGAGGGCAGGGAAATGGTTTGAGGGCTTCACCCGCCCCAGGGCGGGTAGCCTGCTTACAATCTAAGCATAGTATAAGTTTGTCTGCCCCTTCGCTCTTGCTGTCTTCTGCCGTCTTCAGCAGTCACCCCACACCATGCCACCTCGCCTGGAAGCCAGCTGATTATAGACTGAAACCTCCACAAACTGTGAGCTAAATACAAACCTTTTCCTTTTTTTTTTAACCAGGAATTGGGCTCACAACCTTGCGCTTGCCAGGCAGGCATTGTGCCTCTGAGCTATATCCCAGACCAACCTTTCCCTCTTTAATTTGAGTGTCAGGTATTTTGTCTCAGCAACTAGAGTAAACTAACAAGACAGGACAAAACAACTACCATACTCAGTGCCAGTCTGCCTCCGACTTCCACCTTGCTCAGCAGGGAAAGCCTCTCCCACCCCTCTGTCCCCACCTGTCACGGGGGCACCTCTGGAAGCTGCAGTCAGCTGAGACAGTGACTTGAGCTAGGAGTCAGAACCCATCCCTGCTATCCCGGTTACTTGTCTCTTGGAGTTGAGACAAAATACCTGAAGTCCAAAATGAAAGAAGGAAAAGTTTATTTAGCTTAAAGTTTTGTAAGCTTTAGTTCATATTCAGCTGGCTCCACGGCAGGGTGGGGTGGCGAAGGGGAAGCTGTTCATGGTGGCCACAAGCAACAAGAGTGAGCCGGGCAAAAAAGGGGAAAAGCAAACCTCTTTCCCTCCTTCCCTATATTGTATGCCAGCTACCCGCCCCTGAGTGGGTGCAGCACTCACATTGCCAATCCCAGCAGTAGACAACTAACCAACCACAAAGACTAGATTCAACAGCCACCATGGCTGCATGAAGCTTTGGGGGACACCCAGACACAAACCATAACATTCCACCCCTGGCCCCCAAAGACTTATGTACATCCTTTATGCAAAACACTTTTATTTTTTTCTTTTTTAAAAAATTTTATTTAAGAAGAAAAAAAAGCAGAGAAAGGGTACAAGTTACAGATTTACAGAAAAAAATAAACAGTAGGAAATCACTAGTTAATGGATTACATATTGTCATCTTAGAAATAATTGTTCAACTTACAAAATTAAAGCTTATAAAATGGACATTCCAACAGTAAGACTGCAAACAGTTCTGTTCAATGATCCAACAAAACTCAGTAATATCATTATCTATCTTATACACTTAAATATACATGCAGTTATATCATTTATATATCTTTCTTTTCCTCTCTTTTGTACAATGACAATTACACATTTTGGGTTTTTTTGCTCCCACAGTTCTTATTACTTTTTTGGAAGAGAGTAACATAACAGAACAGAGTCAGTCAAATCAAAAGGGTGGACATAATAGATAATGTAAAAACAT